CATCACCATCACCATCACCATCACCATCACCATCACCATCACCATCACCATCACCATCACCATCACCATCACCATCACCATCACCATCACCATCATCACCATCACCATCATCATCATCATCATCGTCGCCATCGTCATCATCATATCAGAACATGTCAGTGACAGCAGACAGCGTGCAAACCATTTACATGTACAAGAATATTACAGTGGGTCGTCCGTCGAGTGCCAGATGCTATGTGGGAGAGAGTTCACTCCAGGTCGCCGGCGGACCCGGACTCGGAGGGTGTCTTGCTGCCGCCGACGGGGATGGATGTGTCGACTGCGATCATCTCGGCGAGGATGTCGAGGACGGGCTGGCGGTCGGTTAGTGTCACTGCGGCTCGCGCTGGAGAGGCGTGCTTACCTTGGGCACCGTCTTGTCGTAGATGTTGATCAGCTCCCGCGGGTTGGGGTAGACCTTTAGCGCGCGGTAGAAGCACAGCGCGGCCTCGATGTTGTCTGCGCCTGGGGGAGGTGTCAGCTGTCATTCGGTCGAGTAGCGTGTGTGGGGGGCAGCGCACCCTTCTGCACCATGCCCTCGCCCTGGGCCACCTCCTGCATGAAGTAGGCCTCGATCTCCTCCGGGTCCTTGGGGAAGCCCTCCTCGTTCGCCTGTGCGACGGCGTCGCGGATCAGCTTCTTCTGCTCGGCGCCGTGGTGGGCGGCCTCCTCCTTTGCGGCGCGCTGGGTGCGCTTGCTCTCCTTCTTCAGGGCCTTGCGGAAGTCGGGGTCGTTCCGGCGCTTGCTGTCAAAGTAGACGGCGTATGCGAGCAGGCCGGTGACGACGGTGCCGACGCTGACGGCGACGACGGTCGATGTTTTTATCGACGACTGCTGCGACATGGCGGGTGTGTGCGGTAGAAGGGCCGGGGGAGGCGTGGCGGCGGGAGAGAATAGGTGGTGGCGGCGCGAGAGGACGGGGAGTGGCGGCGCGAGCGAGCGGGTGGTGGCGGCTCGAGAGCGAATGGGTGGTGGGAGCGGCGATGGCGGCGTGGGCGTGGAGGATGATTTTGTTGTCCGATGCGAAGAACGTCGGGGAGGTCCAATCTATACATGGTCCGAGCTTGGAGCTGCTCAGATGCCGATGTCATGCAGCTGTCCACACCTGTCGCGTCAACGGACAGGGACAGATGGACACTGACTAGCCACACCGCACCGCAGGCTCTCTCTCTGTCTCTCTCTCTGTCTCTCTCTGTCTCTCTCTGTCACACACACACACACACACACATATATATATATATATATATATACACCCACACACACACCCACCACAACCACACCCGCCGGCATGTCGGAGAAGCAAAAGGGCATCTCGCTGCGCAAGAAGCGCGGCGACAAGAGCAAGAAGAATGCTCCGACCATCAGCGCGCCGCGCCAGATCAGTGCGCCCATGCCCGCGGGCGCGGCAACCCTCCCGAGCTCAGGACGGCCCTCGCAGGACTCGGGCCGGTCGCGCACCAGAGGGCAGCGCGACGAGGGCAACGCGCAGTCGCAGTCGCAGCCGCAGCAGCGCCAGCGGGCGGACAAGACGGCCGACCTGGTCAAGCGACGGTACTCGCAGAAGATCCTGCAGCTGCCCAGCGACTTCCCCGGCAGCGGCGCGCCCATGCCGGACCTACCGCAGATGCCCAGCCAGTATAGAGACGGCAGAGACGGCAGAAGCGGCAGAAGCGGCAGAAGCGGCAGAGGCGGCGGCGGCGGCGACGACGGCAGCCAGACGCGCGACGGGCCGCCCGACCGCAGCGCCGACGGCCGCGCGCTCACGGTCGACATGCGGGCCCTGCGCGACCCCGGCCTGCAGCCCGAGCAGTACGTCGCGGCGATGCTGGCCGACGCGACCGAGGACGACGTGCGCCGCTACCAGGACGAGCTGCGCCGGGCCAGGCACCGCACCTCGATCGACCTGCAGAGCAACGTCTACCAGAATCGCACCCAGTTCATCAAGATCAGCAACGAGGCCGAGAAGCTCAAGGCCGAGATGCGCACCCTGCGCCAGCTCATGGCGGACCTGACGACCACGCTCGAGCAGACGGCCTCGGCCTCGGCCTCGGCCTCGGTCACGGCCAACGGAGACGCCGCCGCGGCCGCCCGCAGAGCCAATCGCAGCTCCATCGGCGACCTGAACCAGATCCGCGCGGGCCAGCTGCAGCAGCTCTACCGCGACGTCGAGGGCTCGCAGAAGTACCTGCCGCCCATCCCCGGCCGCTACATTGTGTGGAAGTCGCGCCGCTGGTTCGAGCTGGACTCGGCCACCCTCAAGGCCCGCCGCCGCGTCCGCCTGCTGCTGCTCAACGACCACCTGCTGCTCGCGGCGGAGAAAAAGGCCCGCAACGACGTGGCGGCGCAGCGCGACCGCAACCGCTCCGCGGTCGAGTACCTCGCGCAGCGCTGCTTCGCCCTGCAGGACGTGTCCGTCTCGCGCGCGCCCGAAGAGCGCGTCATCATCCGCGCCGGGCCCGAGTCCATCACCCTCGACACCAAGCAGGAAGACACGGCCGACAAGATCACCTTCCTGTCCACCTTCCGCAAGACCAAGGACGACCTGCGCAAGTCGCACGAGGCCGACGTCGAGGACAAGGACCGCGCCCAGGACAGCTACAACCACATGCTCTCCCGCGACCCGGCCCTGCGCAGCCAGACCGACCTGCTGGAGAGCTTGGGCGAGGGTGCGGCCCACAGCACCGTCAGCACCTTTGTCGACACGGACGGCCAGACGCGCAACGTGCGCTGGGTCGAGTCGCAGCTCGACGACCTGGATATTGAGATTGCCCTGCAGCGCTTCGAAGCCGCCGTCGCCAAGGTCGAGCGCCTCAAGACGCTGTCCCAGAACATGCGCGGCAACGAAATGGCAAAGACCATTGTCACCTTCAAGGTCAACGAGCGCGCCGCCCGCCTCGCAACCGTCCTCGTCCGCCAGCTCGGCGAGCCCAACTCGTGGAACGGCCCCATTGGCCAGCACGTCACGTGGGTCAACAGACTGGGCTTCGAGGACCGCGCCCGCGAAGCCTACCTCGACGCGCGCACCGGCCTCATTCGGGCACGCTCACGGTACGTGTATTTCCATCTGCCATTTATTCTTCGTCCAAGGACGTTGGGTGTACGTGTTGTGGCTCAAGGGAGCTGCGAGTACGCCCGTTGTACGATGTCATTCCGTCTGGAATTCGTTTTTCCGTCTAGAATTCGTTCTTCCGTCTGGAATTCGTTCTTCCGTCTGGAATTCATTCTTCCGTCTGGAACTCGTTCTTCTCAACAACCTCAGGGCTAACGTGCACAGACAATGCACCTTTGAAGGCTCCCATCCAACCTACATCTTCCAAATCTCCTACATCTACTTCCTGCTCATCAAAAACACCGTCTCCACCTTCCAGACCTGCTTCCCCCAGCCGCTCATGTCGGCCTGCGTGAAATGGGCCAAGGAGCACGTCGACCACTTCAACGTCATCCTGGCGCGGCAGCTGAGCAGCGTCGACAAGGGCGGCGACATCTGGACCCAGTGTCTGGACCTCGCGCAGGAGCATGCGGGCATGCTGCGCGACGTGGGCCTGGATTTCGCAGAGCTGGTGGGTGCGGCCGTGGGCGCGCCCGAGGGGGTGGAGCTGCGATCGAGCGAGCCCGTGGGATTGGGTGTGAGTTCGTAGGCAGCGCGGGATGCCGTGTTATGGCTATAGCATGAACTCGAATACCTTGCTGACCCTCGCCCTCCCGCCCTTGCCAAGCGGGATGACGTGTCGTGGCATGATGCCCTGTGTTGCGGCTATAGCTCGAACTCGAATACTCTGCTGTCCCCCGCCCTCCCGCCCTCACTAAGCGGGATCCCGGCGTACGTTCCGCCAGCACTGCCCTGTCGCGCCATCTTATTCTCCCGCGCCAAAACCCAGCGCAGTATCCCCGCCAGCACAGCGACCAGCAGCATGAAGCCAGCGCACATCGCCATGCCCTTGACGTACCACGGCCCCTCGCTGGCGGGGAAGATGCTCGTTCCCACGAGCGGTCCAAACTGGCCGATGACGTTCAACACAGCCATGCCCGCGCCCTTCTTACTGTCGCTGTCCTGGTTGTTGATCGTCCACGTGATGATTACAGTGATGCTGCTGAAGAATCCGGATATCGCCGGGTAGAGCGCGAGATACCGGATCAGCGTGTGTGAAGACTTGCCGTGTCCAAGCATGGCAATGGTACCGTATGCCAGAGCGGCCAGGAGGGAGTGTGCGATGACGAAGACCGAGCGTGCCTGCAAGCGGTCGGACAAGTAAGCGGTGGCTATGACTACGAAGAACGCGACGAGGTACGGCGGCGCCGTGAGGCCCTGTGCGGTGATGCTCTCGAAGCCCATGTCTCGGATGATTGTTGGGAGAAAGACGGGTATGCTGCCGAACGCGACGTTGCAGCTGAAGAACATGAATGCTGTGAGGTAGCTCTTCGGGTCCTTTAGTGTCTGGACGACTTCGCCAAAGTTGATACCGCCTGACTTCCTGCCCTGGTATTCCTCTTCCTCGTCCCTCTCTTTTTCTTGCCGCAGACGCAGAACGGCAACCTTCCTCTGCCGTGGCGTCAGCCACCGGATTGTGCCCGGCCCGTCAGGAATGAAGGACCACGCCCATACGGCCACCAACATGCTTGGAAACCCTTCAATCAGGAACAAGAGGCGCCAAGGGCTGAACGGGCTGTGACTGGCAAGCTTCGTGATGGCCCATGCTAGCACTCCGGCAAAGGCTGACGATAGAGGACTAGCCGAGATGAACAGCCCAGTCCTAAAGGCCAATTCACGGCGTCTGAAGAAGAAGGACAGGTAGAAGGGCACGCCTGGACTGAATGCGGCTTCTCCAATGCCGAGCAGGGCCCGAAGGATCAGGAGGATGCCGAAGGACGGTGCGACTGACTGGAGACATGCGATGATGCCCCAAGAGAAGATGCATATCGAGATATAGATGTGCGGCGGGACGACGCGGTACCTAAACAGTCAGCAATGCCTCGCAAGGAATTCCGAGCGCACTAACATCAATGTCATCCACTCGAAACCAATGTACGTGATGTAAAAGGCCCATATCAGCCACTCAAACTGATTGGAGCTGAGCTTGAGATCGTCTTCCATACCTGCGATTCTGGCATTGCCGATATCTACCAAAATAGTCAGTCTACCTACGCCTTGCACTTGCATCGTGCCCTTTTTGCTATAAACGTACAAACGAAGACGACTCACTCGTACGATCCAGAAAACTCAGGCAGTACAATAGCGCCATGAAGCCAACGAGCCTTCTGTCCAATTTTCGCAGCACCATCTTGTCTTCATCTGGCGTGTACAGTTCGTAGCTCTGTACCGAGTCGAACGACAGGCGGCGCGCGGTGTGATCGTCCTCGTCCTCGTCGCGTGGGGACGGAGGTACAGAATGGCTGATGGGCTGCAGCTCGTATGCGTTCGGCTCATTCAGCTTCGGCAGGTCTTCGCTAAATCGTGAAGAGCGCGACGGCGCGGGACGCGACGAGGACGTTGAACCCGTGGTACTGCCAGGGGCTCGGTCGTGCATTTGGCGAGTCGACGAGGGGGCCATTGTGGCTTTCACAGGGTCTACAGGTTATCATGCAGGAATTAATGACAGTGTGGTTATTTGAGCGATTTCATGGCTTGAGGACAACGCAAGAGCTTCACCTTTATGTGCGACCCATGTCGGTTGTGGAGTTCAGCTCCCTGCCGTCTTTCCGAATATGGCATGACGTTTCTGTTCACATCCGTGCGCGCCGCTACCCCAGTATTCAACGTCAAGGCGCGTTTAGGACAAGGGAATGATTAATTCGAGGATTTATCTCGTGCATTCGATGCCAGTCAATTTTCGGCGTAGCTTCTATCCTCACAGCTTCGAGACCCTCTCCTTTGCTGCTTCCCAGTCCTCTTCCTCGGCAGTATCAATACCCTGATCTGCCAGCTTCTGAATAGCGGTCTTAGGGTCCTCATCGCCGTCGATAACATCAAGCCAGCCCTTGAAGTCCGTCTCCAACGCCGCTACAATAGCATGTGCTGTAGTATCACGGCTGGTCTTGGCTCCTGCTCCAATCCTGCCTACTGTCACACCTCCAGCCTTCTCATCCGTCAAGCCACCCGGCCTCAAGCTAATGCCAGCGAATCGCTCTTTCTCAGGGACACCGTCTTTGGCCTCCTTCTCCAGGCGCTCGCGGGACAGTATGGTCAAGACCTCGTCCGCTGCGACCTTGGCCTTGTAGTATGTTGGCAAGATCTCCTCGTTCGTCTTCTTCGCCGTTTTTGCGTCCTCCTCACTCCACCAGCTTGGAGTTCCTCTTCTGCTGGAGAGGTATGAAACGGTAAGGAACTTCTTCACACTGGGTGTGTGGATGCTAGCCTTGGTGAACGCAATGGCAGCATCATGGTCGACAGCAATCGTGTTCGAAGCACCACCCTTGCCGCCGGCGCCAGCGCTCCAGACTACCCAGTCGGGCTTGACGCGGTCGATGATTGACTTTGCGTCTGCTTCGGTCTTGACATCTGCAACGCTGCTGATGAGCACGTCAAGCTTGCCTGGCTGGTTCTTGCCGAGAGCTTCGACTGTGGGCTTTTGGTCTGCTGTTCGAATGATGGATGTGACATTCCAGGATCGCGAAAGCAGGAGTGGCGTGAGCAGTTGTGAGACCTTGCCATGGCCGCCGATGAGGAGAACGTGGTGAGACATGATGTTGGATGCGAAGTGTCCGGGTATTTCAAGTTGACGTGGAATTCGATTTTTGAAACTTCGATCGAATGACTGAATGCTTTCTCAGTATAAATACCATTCGATTACATCGATGTTGAGCTGCTATTAGTACCTTCATGAGCGATCCGGAGCGATGACGTTGACCGTCAAACTGCCGGCTCGGCCCGACCGTACGGCTTCCATGATTCGTCAATGCTCAGCGGTATGATGGAGCTGCTTATAAACGCACCTATTGCGTGAGAATCATCGGATCTTTACTCATTTCACCATACCTGCTACGCCGAGAATATTCCACGTCTGGATCTTCGTTACTACTATCGAACGGACCTCTCAGGTGCGAGACTGCTTGGCATACGACTTCAGATTGGCAAGGCAGCTGCTGTGCATTGACGGGTTCTTACGCGTCACTAGGCAGCAGTGTACGTAAAGGCGTCGCCGTAGGATCATGCAAGCGTTGAAGACATTCCACAACCTCTATTCCACGATGGCAAACGAACGCCAGAGCACGCACTGGACATTTGCCGAGGGCCTCCTCGGTCTCCCAAAAGAGCTGCGTGAATTGGTCTACGCGGAGGTATTCAAGGACTTGGAGCCTGTGCCTTTGGAAAATGCAGACACCAGTTCAGCAGTACAAGCGTTACTTGCACTTGATGGGCATCCGCCGAACCGGACTTTCGAGGAGGAGGTCCTCAAAGCATGTTGTATCTACAGCTCATTCATTGTCCGGTTCCTGGACCACCAAGACTATTCGTGTAACGTCATGCGTGGAGATGTCAGATGCTCGTGCACTGTCTTGTGGCTTCCACAGCCACAGCACTGCCGACACATTCGCAACTTGATCATCCATACGCAAGAAGCAGGCCTAGACCTAGGGAGAAGTCAAGTCGATACCCTGGAGGACACCGAAGCTATGCACTCGGGAAGTCATTTCAGACGGTGCTGGGAGCAAGTCCTGGAGTTTCCTCGCCTCGAACAGTTAACAATTAAGTTGGAGAAATCCAACAACGACCAGTTATCTTGGGTCAGTTTCACTCCAACTCTGTCTGTATTGCGCGAGAGGTCACCCAAACTCCGAGTCTCACTCAGTGTGTCCTTTGATGGTCTACTCGAATCGTACTGGTCTGATCCAATATGGGAGAACGCCACCGAGCCTGGCAACGTCATTGAGTACCCGTACGATCCAATGGGTTTCGCCGACGTAACAGAGCTTATAGAGGCGCCTACTGGGGAGGACTTCGCGTATGTTGAGGAGCACTGTCCTCGGGAATTCAGAACACGCGGTCAAGATATACTGAGGGGCTTACTCGACGAGACTGCCTCGCAACGGAGAGCGCTAGCCATGCATTATGTTGTCAAAGAACCAGCCTTGCTGAGGGTGCGCATTAAGGAACACTACGAGGTCTATAAGAGCATGCAATTGGAAGAGATAAATCAGACGATAGTCGTATCGCAATCTTGATGCCTCCCTTCTCTATTACGATGGACGCCATTATGTCGCTCTTACTTTCACTCCTCGACTTGGCTTTCCTTCCAGTTGTAGTCGTTTGCATGTTTTCCAGAACCAGCATGCAGGCATCCCGCGCCTGTCACTCAGACTTTCTGCCTCGAATTGCAAGGAACCCCATCTCCAGATCATCGACCAAGCCAACGGAGCTCGCAACGTTAGCACACGAGCTTCGCCTGTCGGCAGCTGCCAGCTTAGATCATGGCGTCAAAGCGGCTGAGCGCCCACGAGGTAAGTGCAATCGCTATTGATCCTGCCGTTGCAAAGACCCAGGCGGATCCGCTCTCAAGAACAGATAACTCGACCAGATCTATCAAAGCAACAAGTGCGTCAAACTCGCAAGTGCTACGCTTTCAATCAGGCCCAAGGGAGCCGCCGAACCACAATCTCCACGTCACGATGTATGCTTGAACTTACCTATTGAGTAACAGCTCCACGCGTCCTACGATCATCTGGCAGCGTATAAGCTCGTGAAACCTCAGCAAATGAAAGAGAACTTTTCTCAACACGTGAAGAAAGTCACCCTTGCTGAAGAATTTATGTAGCCGATGAGAGAAATGGAGGAGCTCAGAAGCAAGCTCAAAGCGTTATTGGATAAATATAAAGCAGATTTGGTTGAACTCGAGGAGATGCTCGCAGACCTGAGTCAACAGAGCCTCATGACCTCTACGAACTCGCTGGTCCCGGTGGTAGAAGAAATGGAGAAAGCCGTGGAGCTGAGGTATTTGACTCTACAGTGCCAGTCTTATTATTGATACTTCGAATCATCACTATTTGCCATCATCAGTCAACCTGGTGGAGATGAAGGGTTGCGGCTGACATGTCAGGTAGAAACACTGCATACGCATGATGAACAGAGAGACCTCGAGAAGCGATGGCACGATCTATTGTTTACTCCGCATATCCACTGGCGTGTTCGATTTCAAGAGTCTAAAAGGACAGTTTCTTAAGACTACAAGAAAGATACAAATACCTGCCAGTTACGGCCAGTTGGGCATGCAAACCTCTCGCGCAAGGGCAGCGGCCTGCAAGTGCGTCGGCCCTTGTAGATGTGCGGCACAGCACACGGCACGACTGCGGTTGGAAGCATGACATTTCAAAGCGAACTGGACTGATTCCGATACATTCGACCTGCGTTCCCACCGAATCACCGACACGACGAGCGATTGTAAAGGAACATGGGTTTCGAAGCTCTCGGATCACACGTGGCGTTGCGGAAAGCTGAAGTTCGGGCTAGGTACACGGACCATCGGGGAGCGGCTCATCCACCACGAACCGCTGAAGAAGTAACAATTGTGTAAACTCCAAGATACAATTGTGTAAACTCGAAGATACGGAACGACAGACGAGTACCTATACGACTTGACGATGATTCAGAGGGATATTAGCCGACAACAAACACAACGGCAGCCGGCAAGCCACATGGTCTTCACCAATCACTCATTCCCATTCGACCCTTATCATGCGGGATGAGCACTAGACCGGATACAGACGGGCCCTTATCACGACCAAGGCTCTCTCTCACCACTCTCGAGAAGATCTGTTTCTGGCCAACGTCCGCTTGTAGGTCGGTCGACATGGCCTGATTCACACTTCTGACTGACGCGATTGGCTCCTCTGAATGCTCCTCCACTCCCCAGTCAGTTTGACGAGATTTAGATACGATCCTTCGGCGACGCGGGCTCGGCTTCGACATCCAACATGGGAGAGAAGGGCCTCTGCTTATCAGTGCCAAGGTCGTCGTTCTGCAAAGAGTTGGGGGCGCAGCTTGGTTGTAAGAGATGGGAGCACTAGCCGGGAATCGTGCCTCCCATGATATTGGTACGGGAAATTGACGGAAGAGGATGCGGTCCTGAGACGTTTATATGAGTCGAAAGGACCCCCTGTAAGCCATTTTCCTTCTCTATACATTCTGCGTGTCCCGGGGATACAGCACAGTCGACAAAATGGAAGCTCCAGTGGCCGTAAGTATACCCCAAATCTTTACATAGTGACCCAAGACAGCGAGCGGCGCTTCTTATAGTAAAGAGCTGATGAGCCAAACAGCGAGCGCCGTTTTATAGTAAAGAGCTTCACTGACAACCGTGTAGCCCGAGTACGACGAGACGAAGCCCAATGGCGGCAACCCCAGCCTCGAGAATGTCAACGCTCAGTATCAGGGACTCGAGTTCCACTATTTGTACTTGATCGTTATGACCTTCCTGGTCTGGCTCATCATCCCTGGCATCGCATTCTTGTATGCAGGTCTCGCACGTCGCAAGTCTGCGTTGTCTCTTCTGTTCCAGTCTCTGGCGGTGATGGGAGTGTAAGTGGGGGCCTATGATTAGTTGGGAACGAACTGACCGGGACAAGCGTCTGCTTCCAGTGGCTCTTCTGGGGCTACTCTCTGGCCTACTCGCGATCCGCTAGTCCTTTCATCGGCAACATGGAATACTTCGGTCTGAGGAACGTCATGTCCGCTCCATCGCCTGGCTCCTCCTTGCTTCCGGAGATTGTCTTCTGCTTCTATCAGATGCTGTTCTGCGCCTGCACCGTACAGCTCGTCATCGGCGGATCTTTCGAGCGCGGTCGCATCCTGCCATCCATGATCTTTGCTTTCTGCTGGGCGACTGTCGTGTATTGTCCGATTGCATGCTGGACCTGGAACGCAAACGGCTGGCTCTTCAACCTTCCCAGTCTCGACTTCGCTGTAAGTTCTACTGCCCGTTCGATATGTTTGAGGCGAACCGTTGTTGACACTCTCACAGGGTGGAGGTCCAGTCCACATCGCATCAGGCTGGTCTGCTCTTGCGTACGCCTTCGTCCTCGGAAAGCGCCTTCCCAAGGGCGATAAGATCCACAGCCGCGCCCACAACCCCACCCTCGTCTTTATTGGTACTGTCTTTATCTGGTTCGGCTGGTACGGTTTCAACGGTGGTTCTGCGCTCAACGGCACTATCCGTTCGATGCTTGCTGCCTTCAACACCAACACTGCTGCCTGCTTTGGCGTCCTCGGCTGGGTCGTCGTTGACTACATCCGCACCAGGGGCCGCTTCTCCGTTGTCGGAGCCTGCTCAGGCGCTATTGCCGGACTCGTCGGCATCACTCCTGCTGCGGGATACGTCTCGCCGTGGATTGCTGCGCTGATCGGATTCCTCACTGGTGTCGTGTGCTCTCTGTGCCACAACATCGATAGATGGATCAAGATCGACGAGGGCATGGATGTGTTCAAGCTACACGGCATCGGCGGCATGGTCGGGTCCTTCCTGACTGGTATCTTCGCGCAGTCGTGGGTGTACGACCTCGACGGCATGGGCCCTTACGATGCTCTCGGTGCCATTGACGGTAACGGCATCCAGGTCGGGTACCAGCTGGCCGAGATCTGCGCGGTTGCTTCGTACTCGTTCACGGTTTCTTGCATCCTGCTGTATGCGCTCAAGTTCATCCCGTTCCTGCACCTTCGTGTCAGCGAGGAGGCGGAGATGATGGGTCTTGACTTGGACCAGTTCTTCGAGGAGGAGATTGGCGACTGGAGCATGATGCACCAGAACGAGTACAACTCGAGCAATGCGACCAGCCACGTCAACCAAGCGCCTACAAAGTCCAGGGATGGCATCTAGTTGGAGGCAGGAGACGTTCCCGGCGGTGTCTTGGCATTTTTTGGGCCGATTCTGGTATACGATGGAGCGGACCGCAGGTCATTCGTTTGCTCCGTAACTGTACCTTGCAACTGTCCGCCTCTACAGGGCGACGCTCAGTCCGCAGTTCAAATTGATCTATATTCTATGTAACTATAATTCACCATGTTCAATTCTAACGTGCAGCCGCTGGCCTATATGGCTCACCGACAGCATGATGGCGGACTTGTTTGACGTCGTGACAGGTTCGCGCCGAGACATGTTCGCGCCAAGACATGTTCGCGCCGAGACGTGGTGGTGTCAGCAACAGACTCGGCCCGCCGCACGTCACTAGCGCAGTGCAGATGCACCCACGTGGGCAGGTCGAGCATGTGTTGATGGTCGGCGGCGCAACAGCTAGCGGGCAGCCAGCATCGCTGTTCTCCAGCTGGTTCGCTGGCAGCGGGCGCAGTTGATGAAGGAAGGCATGCATGAATGTGCGGTGGTGTTCTGAAACCAGCGGCCAATGGGAAGACGGCAGGGTGCACTATTTCCATCCCGACTCGCTGCGCATCCAGGCGGTGGCTGGGTCAGCCTCGTCTGGTGGGCTGTTTGGAACACTCTAACGGCGACAGGCGCTGCGTGTTGGGAGGCAATGCAATGCGTGCGCGAGGGGGGGGGGCCGGCGTGCAGCGGCCGTGTGCGATTCTCTGATATACTGCGTGGCTGCAGCGGCGAGTGTTGAGGAGTTCCTGCAGCGCCGCAAAGCAAAGATTCAATAGTCGTCGGCGAGCGTCTCGACTCAGCCTCGCACCATCCACTGCTAGCTGCGCCGCGGCCCGTGCGATCCTTGCAAGGAGATGAGATGCCGGGCCTTGGAAATCATAGACGCTCCCACGCGGTGTCTGTTGCCTCTGCGTCCGTTGTCATTGCCCCTCCGCCCGTCTCGCTGTGGGCGCGCCGCATCCATAACGAGCAGTACCCGGCCCTCGACACGCTGCGCCTGGCGAGCAGCCACGCCGGCGACCGCCACCCGCACCGCGTCGACCACCCGCACTACGACAACCACCACGGCCACCACGGCCACTACGGCCACGACGACCACCCGCACCACCGCGACCACGACGACGAGCAGCACGGCCATCTGCGTGCTGACAGCTCGGTGCTGGGACTCGAACGGCCCCGGATCATGAGTAGAGCCCATGTCGCTACGCCCACAACGCCCGCCTTCTCTCACCCGCCGCAGCCCTCGCCCGCGCCCTCGCCGTCGCCCACCTCGCTCTACTCGACCAGCGATCGCCTGCTCTCGCCGCCCGCCACGCCCTACGCTGTCTCCATCTCTGGCCCCATCAGCGTCCCCTTCTACCCGCGGCTCGAGGACTACGGCGGCTACCCGCTCGCCCGCCTGCCCCAGCGGCTGAGCGCCCGCATGCCGCTCGAGATCCTGCCGCGCGCGCCGTGGCTCAGTCGCATGCGCTCGTGTCTGCGCCTGCTAATCATTGTGCTGTCGGGCGCCGTCGTCGTGACGCTGATGCACACGCTGGAAATCTACAGGGGCAACCGCTACCTCGAGCTGCGCAAGGGCGAGATCCCCATGGTGTGGCCTGCCCACACCAACCTGGCGCCCACGGTCATCTTGCTTGGCGTCGCCACCGCCAACTTCCTGGCCTCGGTCGCCATCCTGAGCCTCAGCTTCAAGCGGTCGTTCCGCCGCCCCATCCGCTCGCGCGACCTGTACCGCATCGTCGCCGGCAGCTTTGGCGTCGTCTTGTGGGTTGCCGCCCTGGTCGTCTTCCATCTGCTCGACCGGGCCAGCAAGGCCAGCCTGGGGCGCTACTCGTGCCAGCACGCGTCTCGCATCACAAACGGCCGCTTCCAGTACCGCGCCGTGTGCGAGGAGCAGGTGCGTCTCCCACACGCCCCCACTCGATTGCCATTGTCTGTGCTGACTCCCTCCAGAACGTCGCATTCTACACCGCCATTGGCGCCGCCTCCGCCGAGCTGCTCACCCTCATCACTCTCGCCGCCTCCGCCATTCGATCGATGCGCGAAGAGCCCCCGCTGCCGACCATCCAGATCCACGAGAAGAAGAACTCGAACCACCTGAGCACCGCCTGGCGGCCGGCGCGCCCTAAGACGTGGATACAATAGCATCAATGCCACGTCCGATTTCCTGTACATACCGTCACCCCCTCGCATGATACCCCGCGTCTCTCGTCTCTTCCTTTTCTTTCGTCGTGTTCCGTTTTTCTTCCGTTTTTCGTCCCTTTTTCGTCTCTTTTTCGTCCCTTTTTCTTTCCGTTTCCTTTGTTTCACGACGATATTTGAGCAGCTTCGGCGCACCACACGGCATTGCATCTCCCGGCGTTATGGGATCGGCGTCCACCCCCCGCTAAAAAGCATCGCGCAAGACTTACACAAGCCTGCCATCTTGGCCATTTGGCCAAATCCTGCAGATATAACCTTTGTAATCAACCAAGATAGCTTCAATTCACGCCCTAGACTATTTCTACTCTTCTCCCGCCCGCTGCTCGAAGAAGCCCCTCAGCCCCTCGTCGGCCTCCACCAGTGCTGCTCTCTCCCTCTCCCACGCCGCCTTGACCTCGCTCTGGCTCAGCACCACATCCAGCAATTCTGCCGTGTCCTTCAGCTCTGCGCCGAATTCGCTCAGCTTGTCATCTCCAATTCTACCGCCCTCCTCCTCACATCGTCCCTTGAGCACGCACAGCCCCAGCGTAACAGCGCCGCGGTGCGCAGGAATCCTAGGCCAGCAGTTCTGCATCAGCGCCTGCATTACCCGCACGGCCGCGACCGCAAGCTCCCTGTGCGCCAGCACGAACGGGTCCTGCATGACGCCCGTCACCAACGGGATGAGGCCGGGCAGGTGCTTGGCCGTCTCGATGCCCAGGCGACCCGCGAGCCGCGCCGTCTCGTCGAACACGTGCGTCGCGAGCCGCGGATATGTCGAGGGAGTGGGGAAGTGCGAGAGAGGGACTAGGACGCCCTCGCGCATCGTCCTGTCGAGGAGTCTGACGCTGGCGGCGTGCGAGGCGCAGAGGGCCGCGAGAGAGCGCAGAGGCTCGTACACGGCTTTGAAAAGTGTGAGCGAGTCGGATTCAGGGGTGAGGGTGGGGATGTGTGTGAGCAGGGGAAACAAGGTGGAGGTGAAGAGGTCGTGGTAGCCCGTGCGGGCGAGAAAGGTCGCGGATTTATCTTTGTCGAGCTGCAGGGTTGAGAACAGGCTGGCGAGATGTTGGCATCCTTTGGCCTTTGATTCTTCCGCCGCGTCATCGAGCATCTTGAGAATGGGCGGGACGAGGAGGTGCCAGCTCTGCTCTATTGCTTTCCTATCGAGCGCCCTGATGGACCAGCCTAGCAGGCCCTGGACGAAGGCATTGTGGGGATCCTTCCACGGAGCAGGCTCCTTCGAAGCTTCGAGTGTATTCGTCGACTTAGTCTGTGGGAAGAAAGGTGGGATGGTAAGCTTGAGGAAGTGTGAGGCGAGGCGTTGGGGTAGCTCACTGTCACTCTCTCTGGCCTTCTTGACGGCCACGATGGCTTCTGTGGGGTCGGTCGCAGAAGGGTTGCGGAGTTGCCACGCCATGACTACGTCGAGAGCGTCCTTCATCCAAGGGCCTGGCTTGATGGAGAGGGCTTTTGCGAGGTCGGTGCCCTTGAGGAGGGGTTTGAAGGTGTCAGCGTCGAGAATCTCGAGCTTGGCGAGGTGAGAGAGGAACGAGGAGTAAGAGTGGAGCAGTTCTGTCGACTATTAGTAATGTCGCCGTTGTACAGCATGAAGTCATATACTCACGCTCTTGCGAGGTGTTGCCAAGCACAACCTCGTAGGTCAAGTTGAACAGGACCTGCGTTCTCCATGTCGAACCCCACCGGCGAATGGCCATGCCGAGTGTGTCTCGAGCAGTCGCATCACTTGTAGGGTTGATAGTGTCCGGTCGCTGGAGGCCTCTTGCACATTGTGCTACTAGACTGCGGATCTCCTCGCTGTTGCTCAGCGAAGCGGCAACGACATCGCAGACTTTATTGGGAGCTTTCCAGCCTTCACGAGCAACAAGATAGGCCGAGAAGTAAGGCCGTTGCAGAGGCTTCTGGTGCGGGACAGTAGGTGCGTCAGCCCACGGCATCATGGTTGCACAGATCCAGCCGAGATACTGCTCATCCGCACTGCGAAGAAGGTGATCCGCAATGACCGAGTATTTCGCGCTACCCTGGATGACCGAGTCGACGAATTCGAAAGCTGGCTGGAACAGACTTGTATCGGGGTCGGCTGGAAGTGCTCTTGTGGGATCCGTGAAGACGGTCCTGTAGAGGCCGAACCGGTTGATAAGCTCAAGCGCCATACGTGGTCGGGGGCCCTTGAGCATCTTCTCCAATTCAATGCCGACGCGTTCTCGACTGATCTTGATTTTGAGCACGTCTTGGATCTCCGGATCTGCCATGGCCTTCTCCGTCTCTGGCTCGATTGTGTAGTCCAGCCGGCTGGCAAAGCGGATCAAGCGCAGTACCCGGAGTGGATCGTCCTTGAATGTCTGAACGGGCTCTAGCGGAGTTCTGATGATCTTTGCAGCCATGTCGTCAAAGCCTTGTCCTGTGAAGTCCTCTACCTGACAGGTGTGCAAGTTGAAGAACATGGCGTTGACTGTAGCATCTCGACGTACGGCATCCTCTTCAGCAGTGCCGAACTCCATCTGCGGGTTGCGAGAGATCTCATTGTAGGTCTCTTTCCGGAGGTTGACGAGGTCCAAGTCGATGCCCATAATGTTGGTTGTTGCTGTCTCCAGGTTCTTGGACTTCTCGGGGTTGGCCTCGATCTTGTGAAGGCCGGGCGCCACTCTCTTCGCCTTGTCTTTGCTGCTCAGCTTGTCTGTCTTTTCGCTCTTCTCGAGCAAGCCGTGCTTCTCAGCATTCCCGGGAATCTCCAGGTACTCTTGCAGCTTGAGGCCAAAGTGTTCGCCGGTCATCTTGTTGATAGCTACATCGATATCGTGACTTCCCACTCGCAGGAGCTTGTCGCGCACCCAACCTCCCGTCCAGCGTAATACAATCTTCTCATCTGCAAGCTGCTTTGGCACCTCCACTGCTGTTGTTTTTGAAGCAGGCTGCTCGTCAATGTAGGAAGCTACATCCAACAACAGTTTCCGGAGCTTGGTCTCGACCTCGGTCAATTCGAGTTGGACTCCAGGTCTGGGTGACGTTTCTGGTGCCATTGTGCCGTAAGGGTGTATCAGTCTCGGTGAGCTTGGTGACGATCTTGCTATCTTTCGTCTTTTTGCGCTCCGCTCTTGCAGGTGGGGCGGCGATGCGGTAGTTGACATGCGCTGCAGGCCAGTGGTGACTGACGAGATCCGTTGAGTCACGGTGGTAAGTCGAGTGGTCGGTGAAGCAAAGTCACGTAAAGAAAATGTCCGTGGTGAACACAAACGGCAGGCTCGACTCAAAGACATGCATGTGGGTCCAACGCTATCTCTTGCAAATGCTTACTGCTCTCCGAGCATCGCTAGGCTTTTGAAATGCAATTAGGGAGCGACAGTAAAGGCAAAGCGCAGGAACCGGAGGGGTATTCTGGGGTGGTGGTGGGTTGGTGGAGATGCCGCAGTTTGTCCAGTCAGAAAGCTGAGTGGCCGCAACCACATCGTCACCTCACAGCACACGCCAGCGCCAACAAGCACCCTACAACGCCATCACGCCGCCTACGATCGCCCTAGACGTCTATACAGCGCCCGAATACATGCCGACAACCCCAGACCTCCCGCGCGCATTCAAAACCCCACGGGCGCCCCGCCCTAATCTCCCATGACGCCGCCGCAAGATGCCACGCCCAAGCCCCCGAATTTCCCGCAGAATGTAGAAGCCTCCGCCATACTCCCCAAGCACCGCGCGTCGCCTGCGTCTTCGCTGTCGGAGCTGCCCTATCGCCGGTCGAATCCGAGCCTCTCCAAACTGTTCGAATCGACTACCAGCATCTCGACCTCGCGCCCCAGCTCGGGCACAGCGACGCCGACTACCTCCACTGTTCCTGGCTCAGTCTTCTCGCCCGGGTCGCGGTCCAGTGGCTCGAGAACACCTACCGGTCTACCGCCAGGCGTGTCCGACGAGTACCGGACCCTTATACAGCGCGCATTTGTGCCACATATTGCCGTGTTGGCAGATGCAGAGACTGAGGCGCTGGTCAGGGGCAAGGGGATAGACGGAGGTTTCTTGGAGTTGCTGAGGCCCTTTGGCGAGCAGGTGCCTGGCAAGGTCACCATAAGAGATGGCATTGGCGTAAGCAAGAGCCATGAAGACTTTGGCGTGCGCTTCGTCGGTGTAGAGGATGCGTATCCAGACCTACGGGGCGGCCAGAGATCATCCACCGAGTCCACACGGCGGCCACGGCGGACAGGCGGAGACGTGCTGCAGATAGAGGAAGTGGTCGACCGACACCTGCAGTACTCTGAGTTCAACCACCAGGATCCGAATGCAGACTACATGAACAAGGGACAGCCAGCAGCGCTTGTTGAGGGTGCTGGGTCGCCCTTCTACACCCTATACCTACGGCGACTGCTATCAGGACTGCCAATCGTACCTCACGAAACATTTGCGCATCCCGTGGCTGGCATAATAGCCATCAGCTCGTCCAATCCACACCCGATTGAAGAGCTTCGGAGACTGTACAACAGGCAGCATGATGGAGACCTGCGCTTTCCACAATGGGTGGAGAATGATTTCCTGAGGTACTACGTCTTGGTGCATGATGAAGAGAACGGGGACATCGCCAAGTCGAATCAGACGTTCGACTCGATGAAGAGACACTTCGGTCTACATTGCCATCTGCTTCGCTTAAAGAGTCAAGAATGCATACCGTCAGACGACGACAGTGTGCGGTTGCCAACGTGCGAATGGATGTCTGCTGGTGAAGAGCTAGCAGAGATCCAAAAGCGAGGTATGTCTTTCATCCTCCTGGTTCTGAACTACACTGATCAGCCATGCAGAGACTACAGACGACATCACCGACCCAACACCATACTTCCATGACTCCGACATTAGCAGCTTGCGGACGTTCATGCGAGAACTCGTCACGCAGTCCATAATACCCAACATGGAGCGCAGCGTCGCGACCTGGAACGAGCAGATTCTTTCACGCCGCCGCGGTCTCTCAGGCCGCTTCATGTCGCTCTCGAAGCGCTGGACACCCTTCGGCAGCTCCCGCAGCAGCGCCTCCGCCTTACCCTCCTCAAATTCCAACTATGACAGCCTGCAAGGCTTCTACCGCCCGGACGCACCCGAAGCCATCATGCGCCGCCTGGCAGACTACTGCTTCGTGCTGCGGGACTGGAAGCTCGCACTCTCCACCTACGACATTCTCCGTACCGACTTCCAAAACGACAAAGCCTGGCGCCACTACGCCGGCGCAAGCGAAATGGCCGCGCTCTCCGCACTGATGGCGCCGACGCCGCTGAGCTCCAAAAACAGATCCGAAAATATAGATGCCTGGATCGAAGCCGCCTCCTACTCGTACACGGACCGCCAGCGCAGCGCAGCGCCCTACTACGCCCTGCGCACCCTCGCGCTCGCGACAGAACTCCTGCGCCTCCGCGGGGCCAGCGCTGCCGACGACGCCGCACGCTGGGGGACACGGGTCCTCGAGGCCGGGCTGGTGGGCAGCGTCGGACACGCGCTAGTCACCGAGCGCGTGTCTGCTTGCTACAGCATCCGCACCGGTATCGGGACGTACCGGCTCGGTAACCGGCGCAGGAAAGCAGCGCTGTGGGCGGTGCTGGCGGCAGAGGCGTGGTGGCGGTTGCAGCGCAGTCAGCAGGCGGAGAAGTGTCTTGATACTGCGCTACGGCTTTATCAGACGCGCTCCGAGACGCGAGACGGCGGCACGGTGAAGTTGCCGTTTGAGGAGATGCAAGGCTTTGTCGATGAGCTGAGGCAGCAGATTCTAGGACTGCGGCTCACTAATCAGGGATACGTTGAAGGGCGAGAGGGGGATGAGGGGGATGAGAAGGAAGCGGGTGAGGTGGAGGTGGTGGCGGAGGCGCTGGATAAGAGTCCGAGGGCGCATAGGAAGAGCCTGCTCAACCCTGTGCAGGGAGGTGATGTTGGGCCATTGAGTCCGGCGCTGGAGAGGGGCGAGAAGACTGATCCTCTTGCTGAGGGGTTCGAGTGATGAGCGGATGGGGTAACGATGTCAAGTCTTGAATTCTACTTACGCATGGCATGGCGTTGTGTTAGAGCATAGGTTACATAATGCAGTTGTCATGACGCTACGCTTGAGCGGACTGGTCACGAGGGGCGAGGATGAGCGGCATTCGACAGATGTACTGCATGGTACTGAAGCAAAGGAAATGAGGTATCAAACAGCACTGCCCAAACGCCATCATAACACATCTACGGCCTCCAGTCGGGAGTCCGCATGACCTCGCACACGGCTCCGCCCTCCTAGATGCTCTGCTCCATCTCTGTGATGTAGAGCTTGATGTGGCTCTCCATCTTGAGGTACTCATCGTGCGCTGCATGCACCTCGTTCTCGATGTTGTCCTTGAGCTCAGCCATCTTCTTCTCAGTCTGCTCGATGCGAACCCGCCTCCTCTCGATATCTCGCCCCTTCTCACCTCGCTCTTCATTGAGCTTTGCATGTGTCTCGCGGAGCTCCTCCATACGTATCCGCGCGCGCTCTGCTTCTTCGTTGCCCTTCGTCCTCAGCTTTTCCGTGCGCCCATTGACATTGCCCAACTGCTTCTGGAGAAGTCGCTCTTGCCTCTCAACGTCCCTAACGTTGTTGCTGCGGTCTGCGAGTGCGTCCCTGTGCCGTGATGCCTTCACCAGTTCTTCCTCTTCCTTTGCCAGATCGGCCTGTACGTCCGTCAGGAGTCGTGTGCAAGATGTGACATCGCCAATGACGATACCGAAGGAGTCGTTCGACGTCTGCAGAGCGCGAGCACGGCGGTCCAGGGAGTCGATTTGGCTCTTTTCTGCCGAGAGGCGGTCATTTAGGTCGCGCAGGGAGTCCTCTAGAGCAGTTGGACTCTGCTGGGTATACGGCTTAAGCTTGATGATCTCGCGCTGTACATTCTCCTTGTTTTCGACTTTCTGCTGCAGTAGCTCCTTCAGCCTGGTCTGCTCAGCTTTCGCTCGTTCGAGCTTCTCCATGACTGATTCTTGACCGCGCTTCAGTTCCAGAAGCCTCTCCTTGAGTTCATCGTTCTTCTTCTTCCTGTCTGCCATAAGCCTCTCCGTAGCGCTCCGGTTGCGCTGCAGGTCTGTGAGGTGCATCTCCTTCATCTCTTTGTCGTTATACAGCTGCTCGATGCGGAGCTTCGTGCGTTCAGCCTTGTTGAAGTGCTCATCGATGACCAGCGTCTGTGATTCCCTGAACCTTATAAAGTTGATCATGTACGAGAAGATCTTAACTAATCGATGATGGGTGGGCTTGTATAGGTCTGCGAATGTGAAGTCGTGGATACCGCACTATGCGAAGTTAGCTTTGGCCCGCCTTGCTGCACAAACTCAACGTACCTCGCGCAACAGCTTCTTCAGAATGACGAAGAATGCCATCAGGTCGCGAGTGTCGCTGGTGAACAGGCGCTCAGCGCCCTCGCCGCATAGATCTTCGGCCGCGGCGCGCATCGCTGGCGCAACCACTTCGCGAGTCGTGTTCATAAGCAGCTCTGCGAGCCATTCGAAGACCTTCTGGATGATCTGAGGATTGGGCTTCTGGAGGTCTGCGACGGTGAATGCGATGCCGATGTCTGTTATACATCCTGCAATTTCAGCATCAGGCTATAGTAGTCAGCGCTGCGCGTCAAAGATTGAGAAAAGCGCATACCAGTGTCATAAAAGCATCGTTCTCCTGCGGTGCGGGCGCGCGCTGGTTGTGAGCGCCGTGCGACGTAGTGCGCGGAGCCATGCTCATGCGCCCTCCGTAAGACATGATGGGCTTTGAATGCGACTATGATATTGTGGTTGGTACGGCGGTATGCTGCTGGGTTCGTTATTGCTATTGCGGCGGTATTGATGTTCCCGGCCAGTGTTGTTTGTCAACACAGCGTTGGCGAGGAAGGCACACCGGCGCTTGACTCGATCCGGCGACCACCTTTGGGCATCATCCACAGGGCTGAGATCGCAAGGCTCACCAGCATGTTTGCAAATGCCGACTCGAAATTCGTGCAAAAGTATCCCAGATACATCGACGCAGGTCCAGGGGTTTTCCACTTAAGCATCAACGCAGAACTGTGAAGTCTGCGAGTGAGATTCACGTATGTTAGCAGAAAGCTCATGGACTTTTCAAGCATCCAGTCAAATGTCTCTACTTTCGAACATGATCAGTGAGCAATTGGCATTGTGCAAGCTTTGCTTGATGGCTAAACATTCGAGCTCTGTGTAAAAGTGCATGAAGCAATGATGGGACCAGTTGATTCGCGTTTCTGTGTGAATGACATTGAAGACAGCCGAAAACCTGGTGGTACAGCCTGCGTTGAAGCAAAGGTAGTGCTGACAGATTCTAGATTGCATCATTGAGCTTGAGGGTCGTTGGACGGTATCCAGAGACATCAACACCTGTTGCATAACATTGGCAACGGGCACCTTGTCGTGACAACTGGCATGCAGAGGGCTCGTATACAAACAACAACCGTTGAGAGATACAAGAATCCTTCGGACTCGAAGCAGATGTGCCAAAGGCCACGTAGGGGAGCAATCGCTGGTCGAGTGCTGCGTTCCACAACAATCGATGAAGACCGTAACACCCAGTAGATACTCGTTCCAGCAACTCGGCAGCATACTCGAAGAACTGTGGCCTCGCTTCAATGCACGCATCTGCTCCCCCGTTGCTGCAGTGTGAGCACGCTGAGCTGTCGAGTATGTTGTACATTGTACAACACAGCAGGTCTCGGACGATTGGCTGCAGATCTGTTGCAACGAGTCGCTCTGTCTGAGCTCGAGCTCTGGCGAGCACCCTGCTTGTGGGCGTGCAGTTCCTAGTACAATATGCTTGGTATTATAGGTGCCATCGCCAGTTTGCGGCGACTTCTCCTTCGCAGTTTCGAGCGATGAAAAAGAGCATGCAGTTTTGTGTAACGTTGCGACGGTTATCGGTCAAGCTATGCAGGCGTCAAAGCAGTCATGCCGGCATGCAGGACCCAGAAGTCAAGGGCCCTGGTAAGGGTCCACAAAAGGAGCCGTCTCACGTCGGTACCAATACTTATCGTAGGTTAGGGAGCAGCGTGCATCAATCCCGGCAGATCCTGGAACATCGGCAGGCCGAAGCCAGCAAAATATTGTTGCATTGCAATGCACAGTAGTAGTCCACAATTGTTGTTCAGTAACTGGGGCTGCAACGTTGGCAAGACGATCTAAACAAGAAATCAAGCCTTGAAGACCCTCAAATATCCGGGGGACAGCTGCTACATATGCAGCCTAAGGTGAGACATGGTCGGACACGACATCGAGTAGTTGAAACAACTGCATACCATGCTCCTCTGTTACACAGCTTCAAGAGGCTGACTTGACACGAGAACCGAGAACCACGCAGACCTCCAACATGGAGCCGTCCGAAGCGATGTGCTGAGATCCGGCAGCTTGCACCCATGGAAGCTCAAGGCCCTGGTACCTGAGTGGATGAGATGTCGAACGTTGTTTGTCGACGGTTGCACCTCGATGTGGAGGTCTGCCGCAAGATCTGAACTCAATCGCGCTGACTAGAGACGTCCTCGTAATGATGATATACTCCCACGGGCGTGGCTAGCATTAATACCGTTGTTGCCGGACGCTGCAAAATCGACGTGGCTCTCCACGTTCCGCGGACGCTGCTAGAATCGATACATTCTGCAGGGATCGAATGCGCCGTTCCGTGATCCTCGGCATGAGCTGTCGCTAGCGAGAGGTCTAGAGTCTTCGCAGGCGATGCTCGTAGCCAGAGATGCCGGCGCGAGCGGAAGCAGGTGACTCGAGGATTTGACTTGCTGCGAGTTGTGGTCAAGAGATTGTATGTCTCTCGAAGAAATTCGCTGTCCGTGAAAATCTCTCTGCTGATGGTGGTGATTGGCACAGATATTGAATGAGCTGTGGCGGCCATGGGATCCCATGATAGACACCGGAGGCGTCTGAGCTAAGCGTAGCCACAGTGGACCTAGCACCTCGCGCTTTCCTTCTGCTCGTGAACGAGGCAGGCTCGACCGGAGGGATCGTCAGTGATCAACTGGCAGCTGTTTGGCGTTCAGTTGGCGGCCAATTGAGGGTTGTGCCAGTCACACCTCGTCGCCACGAGTTTCTGAGTGCGGCACGTCTTCTGCACGGCATTATTACGCCTGAGCAGCGAGGCACCGCGGGCAGCCGACGGTCACTCGCGAGCTGGCCGCTAAAGGAGTGGCACCGGCGGACGCAGCGTGCGCCAGGCAATTCCCCGAACCACCAAGAACGCTGAAGGGGTATTTTTGGCGCGCCCTCGTGGTGGGGCTTCAGGGCTATGCTTCGTCACAGCCGTCCGAGCCTTTACAAGGTTCAGCAGTGCCGCTACGTGACTGTCAGTTGCCCTTACATCACACATGCAGTCTGGCAGCTCCAAGCTTCAGGGCGTCCAGCACCGCTGCCTCTCCCTTCCTCTGCCGCCTCTCGAATCACTTCCCAGGTTCTCCTACACACCGGCCTGCAATTCGACGTCCGTTTGGCAGCCTGCGCTCGCCTCAGCTCCCGCTCCGCCAAGCACTCTGCCAGTCAGACATGATGCAATCTAGCCGACGCTGCAGCGACACCAACACCAGATAGGCCCGCAGGTATCAGAGCACCACGCCCGACCCCGTCGCGCTGCGCGCGGTCACGTTATCGCTGGCGACAAGCTGAGCAACACCACCACCGCTGCCCAAGTCCTGCCCGGCCGGCCAGCGTGCATCCATGCCGTGGCCGTTTGGGCGCAGAAGCGGACGAGCCGCTAAATTAAAAGAGGGTCGCTCCGCGGTTGCAGCCAGGGGCGGGCCTGTCGCAGAGCAAACGGTCGCGACTCCGGGTCAGGGCAGCGATGGCAACGATGGCCTGCAACAAAGGTCCAGTCAACGCAGCGGACGCCGGCGCCGGAGGAGTTCGCGCTCCACAGCGTCTCTGCACGACGTCGAGAAGAATCCTTTCAGCGACCCACCGCTCGACCCTGGCCTCGCGAAAGAGGCGCGTCTGCTCAACCCAAACTCAAGTGCTGAAGACATCACCGCCCTCCCACACCAGCGCCGCCTCGCCTACAGCCCACACCTGCGACCTGTCACGCAAGACTTCTCCGGCGTGCCCTACAACCTCCACCATCCCTCGCACACGAGCCTGCGCACGGCAAAAGAGCGGGGAAAGCTACAGCGACCCCAGTCATTGCGCAGGGGTCCTCCCAACGAAACATCCCTGATCCGCCGCAAGTCTAGCAAGAGGCGGAAAGAGCATGATCACATCCGAGAAGAGAAGATTCGCGCGATGACTCTGCCAATGCCGCAGAAACGACCTGCCGGCAACTCTGGCGGCATGCTGCGTCGAGACAGCAAGAAGATCAAAGGCGGCCTTAATGCCCGCTTCGAACGCCCGGAGTCCAACGTTTCGCTGCCCCTCGAAGACTCGATACACTCGTCCATGTCCGGCAATTCCGAAATACATGCCTTCCGCGTCAGCGCCCTCGACTTCTTCGCACCACGACCGACCATCCGCTTCTCCGTTGGCTCGCAATACTACTACGGTGGCGACCGCACGTCACCGACCGTACGTCTAGAAAGAGGTAACTCGAGGAGGGAAAGGAGGCCCACGAGCTCGAAAGAAAACGAGCAATGGAAGAGGACAAGCAGAATCGACGACCTCGCTGACGAACTCGATGCCGGTGCACTACGGGAGATTCTCGACAGAGACCAGAGACGTCGGGACAAGAAGGCTACCGCTGACCAAGAGCGACTTCGTCATCGACTCGAACGACGTGCGGAGAAACAGAATGCTGCCGGAGGTACACCACCAGTTCCTACTCGGACTGGCGCTGTCAGAGCGCTCGGACTTGGTATTGAGAAGGGGAACGAGGAGCCTGCGCAAGAGACAACAGTGCCGATGGAGGATGTCCGTCCAGCGACGCCATCAACGCCGCCATGGCTGCGTCCACTCACTCCACCAACAATGCACCGACTCAAGACCCTTGAGCCCCTCGCTCCCGCCGCCAACGATAACAGCCAACTGCCCACACCGATCGAAACACCGATGGAGGACATGATCATTTCGGACGCTCAGGCTATCCGCTACTCGCGGGGCAATATCGCCGGTTCCGTTCACACCCGTGGGCCATCGAACGTCTCCATGATGCCAGAGCTGCTCTCTAAAAGGCTGACCGAGGAGTCGCCCTTCGAGACAGTCGAACACGCGACCCATTATGATCCTACAAGAAGTGGATCGCTACATCCTGTCGAGACCATCGACACAACGGCATCGAACAAAGGCTCGAGCTTCCGCAGACGTAGCTCGGACGGTCGACGAATGAGTGCATTTGCGTCCTTCTTCCGACGAGGCAAGCGAAGCTCCCAGGAGCCAGGCCGTGCCACCCCCTCAGAAGCTTCCTTCTCGAACACGTCGCGAGAGTCCATGTCCCGCCAGCCACTCCCAGCTCATCTGGTGGCGACCGTACCGACCGCGCCGATCCAGATCCAGAGGCCGTCCACCGTCCCCCGCCGTACCATGTCCAAATTTAGGGAAGATTTGCCTGAGTTCCCTATATCGCCACCCGACTCCCGGGTGGCATCGCCAGAAGCAACCTCGACAAGCGCGATCGCTGCACGTCGTCGAACTCACAATCCAGAAAACATACGTGTGGGCTCACTTGGATTGGCAGCCAATGCTCGCTCGGACTCTCCTGTTAGCCCTGGTCTACCGATTGGCAACAAGATGTCACAATCACTGGCATCAGTTGACTCTGAGGGATCGTGGCTATCTGGAAAGCCTGTGAAGCGCGTCTCGAACAAATCGATGATGCGGTCGAGCATCGCCTCCTCAGCTGTCCAACAGAATCCCGAGTTCAACAATTCATTTGAAGAGCTGGGAATGGCAGATGACGAATACTTCAAACGACTTACGCCTCAATCAGATGAGCTACGTCGAGTGAACCTGCCGAGCGATCTGCTGGGAAGGAAAGCCAGCAGCACTGCCATGGCTACCCTCGACGCTGCCGCCGAGTCTGATGAGGAGAATGAGACTACTCCGTCGGCTCGGAGGTCCGAAGATAGTGAGCACGTCAAGGCCGGTGTTGCACGCCAGCCTACCGTAGTTCACCGAAATGTCCGCGTCAAGTCTGCAGAAGGCTTGCTCACCATGTTCGATGCGGATGCGCCATCGCCCGAGGAATCCCGCAAGACACTCGACATGGAGCCAGACTCGCCACAATCAGACGATTCCGGGGAGCAAGCCACTGTACAACGCGCGAAAAGCGTGGACTTCGGCAAGCACCACGTGCGGCACCTCAGTGCCGGCTCGGCCAAGCTATTAGACATAAAGCGATCAAGCACAGCTTCACACAGCAGATTGGCCCAGCACGAGCAGATGACATCTTGAGACGGTAAGAGATCGTTTTAGGGGGACTGCATGAAGCCACACCAAGCCACTCCTTTTGCTTTTCCTATGTTGTATTCAGTCCTTACTGTACTCACCTGAGTCCCTCCTTCCCCATTTCTCTTATTACTCGTCCTTTGCTTTTCCCGGTTGGCACATGCAGTTCCCTGGATGGTTCTCCATATCGAAAGATGATCAGCTAAAAGCCCGCAGATGGCGGCTGAGAGATGGCGCTTGTCTCTGCGAGACTGCATAGCGCGGCGTTGATCTGATTTGAGGAGTTTGATCTAAGGGTTCTGATTTGAGGATCTGTTTTGAGGAGTTCTGCTTTTCGGGCGTGATACCACATTGTATTGTATATAGGCTGCAAGCTGTGGCTTTGTGTCATCTCGCTCTTTTGACTCAACCTTGAACAGGCTTTTGGGACGGTTGGGTGGTCACAGATAACGAAGACGCAAAGGTGTGTCTTCCTGGGTTATTATTACGCGGTGCGTTTGGGTTTCAACAAAATGTAGTACCTAGGAACAATCTGGCACCGGGATTTTGGAGATGTATGGCCCTTGAGCGCCATATATGGAGTGTCAGAGCCCCCTGTAGTTTCAAGCTCAGCTGTCTTGACAGCTTTCCCCACTTGCTTTCCACTTTCAACCTGACCTCTGTTGCCGGTATTTGGATGTTGGCTAGTCATCCTGCAGGGTGCCCCTCCATGGAGTTGGGCTGACCCCGAAACCGTGGTGGGGCACAGAAGTTTGGTTCACGAATTTGCAACGACATGCGGGTTGAAATGTGGCAGGGAATTGGCTGGTGTCAACAGTTGTTAAGCAGACGACCAAGAGAGATCTGCTGAGACAACTGACACAGCGTCAACAATTGCTCTTGCCTGAGCATTCGTGCCTGAAAGAGAAGGCAGCCCCTGGTGGGGCGGCAAGCGCACGTCATTGCATCAGCCCACCCGCGGCGGCGAGGTAAGCCCCGGGTCTTCCAGCATTGATAATCGTTTCTCAAACTCCGCCAGCCTTCACTGAGACCTACAACACAGAGCACTGTAAGTCGCCCCTCGCCTATTCGTGTTTGATCTCTCATCTTGCGTGTGTGCACGATTCGGCGTCTTTTTGTGCAGGGACTCGACGACTCGTGCGCCTTTGCCGAATCTAAATCTGGCGGCGCGTCGTTCACTTTGTCACCGCGTTGTAATCGGCACCGGCAGGCATCTTTGTCCAGTTCATTCTATCAGCCGCGTCTTATCAATCGCCTAATCTTCTGTCGCACTTTTTTGCTGTACATATACCATGTTCACCCCGTCGGCGTCACGCATCGCAAGAACACTGCTTACCTCTGCGCGCCTGCAAACAGCTTCGATCAACCCCACATCTACCGCCAACCTATACCGACCTCTCCTCACCCAGAAGTTCTTCTCCAACACAGCCAGAATGTCTGATACCGGCGTTCACAACCTTCAGACGTAAGTTTTTCCTTGTCGCGATGGCGCAATATGCAGTGTCTCAGCTGCGGTCGCAATGTCATTGTCTCTGCGTACGGCTGACAAGAACACAGCAAGTCGGCCTTCGACGAGGCGCTCGGTGACAAGTCCAGCCTCATGGTCCTCGACTGCTTCGCTACCTGGTGCGGTCCTTGCAAGGTCATCGCCCCCCAGGTCGTCAAGTACGTCAAATCGCGCCATCCTTTCGACCGCTGCTAATGAAGGCTGCAGGCTCTCCAGCACATACCCCAACGCCCGCTTCTACAAGCTTGACGTCGACGAGGTTCCTGATGTCGCACAAGAGCTCGGCATCCGCGCCATGCCTACTTTCCTCCTCTTCAAGAACGGCGACAAGGTCGCCGAGGTCGTCGGTGCCAACCCCAAGGCTCTCGAGGCCGCCATCAAGGCCAACGTCGACGCATAGATTGCGCAAACATCACATATCCGCAGACGATCTCGTTCGATAGCTTAGCATTGGGTAGGGAGGAATATGACTCAAAAGGCGGCATTCTTAGGTGCACATGGTACCTGCAAGTCTTCGACGTGGACATGCTACAGACAGATATCATGATACCTTGCTAAATGACACGACTTTGCATAGACTACTCCTCCTTTTCGCACATCTCGCACGTATGGCTACTTGGCAATGCGGCTTTTTGAAGTCTGTGCTGACGCATGCGGAGCTTACAAATGCACAGTCTGAGACCGGCCTGCCTCGGCGTAGTTGTCTACCACAGCCACGATCCTTCCTCGGACAAAGATTTACGAGTCCTTGCAAAAGACACCAAATCTGACAAGATGCTCCAGAGCTGAACGCGACAGAGTCCGCACAGCGCACGCACTTCCTCGACACTAGCAAAATATTGTGGGGTCACGCCTGGTTGATGAGTGCACACATGCCTTTGTTGACTGCCTTTTTGACAACACTTCAACATCAGAGGTCTAAAGCAAAGCTTATGAGTGCGCTATCCATTCCTATATTCTGGGAAGTCGTCTACATTAACTCCATGATTTTGTGAAAATAGCTTTGTGCTCGAGTTACAGCAAATGGCCATCTGTCTATTATCGCATTTACTTCGCGTAGCAGTACTGAACGAGAGGATAACTAAAGGCAACGCCCACATCTAGATTTCCGTCTATTCTGGAAGTGCTTATATTCATTGCTGGATATGTGACGTCACGATGTGGCCCTTTCAGTTTCTTCGGGTCAGGGTGCAATGCCTCCGTGGTCATATGGCTGTAGATACATCTAGGCTGCGGAAACTACCACAATTTTGTGAAATGTGGTTATCCTTGGACCTTCTTAATTGAGGGTTCCAACATACACTCGACTCAGTTTGTAGAGACTTAATACAACTCTACATGTCTTCACACACCTGTAGTACTGCTAAATAGTCCAGTGGAGCTCGTCAAACACGCCTTCTTTCGCTGAAGCATCTTTATGTAAGGATGTTTTGCAATTCTAGAGGTTCATAAGATCTGGATAAGGGGCCCAGCTATTCAGGGTGTTTTTTCCAGCCTAAATGACGACGAATACCTCCAATAGGTCTTGACCCTTATGCCAGCAGCTTCTCCTCAACAAGTAAAAACAAATGGATCCTAACTACCGCACTGGATATAGAAGTCAGGGTCCATGGCAGCACAGAGTCTGCGAAGTTCCCACGCGGTCCCAGGCTCTCTTCGCCACCTGTTTTTTCAACACCTACCTGTCTGTCTCCAGAGTAAGTCAACAACATAAGCTCTATCATCCTGTTCTGTCACCTAGTCTCTTCGGTCACAGCTTTACAGGTGTACTATTCCCGACATGATCGCCAATATCAGTTGGCTCTTCGCTCTGATGGTGCTACTTTGCAGTACTATCCCGTCTACTGATGCCAGGCTCTTTGGTCACGTCAAAGTTTCTTCGGTCTCCACGATCACTGATCTCGTTTCAGCTACTACTGCTCCGGTTTCTTGTAAGTTCCTAGCTGCAGACTTTGGAATCTATACTGACCATCATACAGCTCCCCTGGTGTCTTCTTCTGCTTTTGTCAGCCCTTCTTTCGACTTCGAGCAAGCTGAGGTGGCCCATTGGTGCTCTTGGCGACACGGTGAGCACTACAAGGGATATGCCATGCACTGCGGCGTCGACTACTTCCAAGGAGGTGATCTCTTTGATCAGCGGGCCAACAATATCGACGATTGTATTGCCATGTGCAGCAATACTCCTGGCTGCAATACTGTCTCCTACCAAGCTGAAATCGATGACGGTCTCCACGGAAAGTGCTGGTTGAAAAGCAAGCCTGGCTTTCGCCGATATGACAAAACAATCTTGGGAATGGTAAAACTTACCGTTCCTGTGTCGCCTGATTCGTCTTCTGTTTTTAGTGGAGTCTCATCAACTTCATCTACAGTTGCACCTTCGGTCAGGGCCACGTTGGCAAGCATGTCGCCCAAGAGTGGGTCATTCACCAATACTCCCACGCCGATCCCTATATCGTCTTTGAAGGCCTCTCCCGCATCACCAACGATCTCTTCCTCTCCGTCTACAGCCAGGTCATCATCAGTTACTGTGCAGGGCAAGCCTACGCCTACTGCTACTCAGGGTGGATCAGGTGACCATACCTCGGTTAGTCTACCGCTCTGGTTCAGCGAAGCCAATCCATGCTGGCATACTGATTGCTCTGTTCTGGTCACTACCTATGTAGGGCCATCGTATCCTCTGACGTCGATCATCTCCTCAAGTAAACGGATCTTTTTCACGAGGTCTGTTGTTACTACCAAGGTTTTGACTAGCAAGCCAGTCACGAAGAACAAGGTGTCTACATCTTTGGAATACTTGCAGCTATCCAGGACAAAACATCCTGGCTATTATAGGCCGGAGAAAACGTCACCTGGATATGCTCGGCCCTCGTCTGGTCAAATGAGGCACAGTGCTCACCATATATCCAGCTCTAGTAAGGCCTTTCCGTCTTCGACTCGGAAGGTTCCCGCTCGGCCGACTTCATACTCTTGTACTATCTTGTCCGGCAAGATTACTTGCACGGGAAAGAACGATGCTGTATCTACAAGAACCAGTTTCGCGACGATTGCATTGGTTCCCGGAGCAAGTACAACTACGGTGTACATTCCTGTTGTTACCTGTCCTCCATCGACTTCGGCCGGTAGTTCTACCTCAAGGACGTATACTGAGCCTAGGCCTGTCACTAGTCAGACTACTGTGACTGGTAAGCCTTCAGGGACGAGCAAGTTTTCAGTAAGTGTAAGTCACTATTCCAACGCTGGATCTTGGCCAATTTCAAGAACTGCTCCTCCATCCACTGCTACGACAAAGGTATCAAGCTCTGCTAGAACCTACCCCATTCCTGTTTATCCGCCTACGACTTCTAAGGAATATGGCACTACCGTGTCATCTCAAGGGTCTGGCTACTCCTCCTCTGTTTCCGCTTTGGTATCAACTAGAAGGTCGTCTCACGTGACAACCTCGACGGCACGTGTACCTGAGGTATCGTCGTCCTTGTCCAAAGGTGGAGCTCATCCATCTAGCAGCACCAGCCTATCACAGATGTCAAGCAGCCTCGCGACGCCCACAAAGTCAGGTCCCGTCACGAAGTCAGTGAATGTGTCGTGGTCCTGGACATCGACGCCAGAGTCTTCGAGCGGACGCTCGGCAGGTCAACAATCGGTCCCCAGTCCGTCCCTTGGGATGGCTGTTGTACTCGCTTTCTCACTCGCCTTGCTGTTTTTTGCTTGGTGAATTAGGTCAATTTTCTGTCTTATTATAATTACCTAACTCTTTGCCACGTATAATGGCGACCATGGGAAGAGGAAGCTTTGCCATGGGTTCGAACATACGGTAATGTTGATGAGACAACATCAATGGGATATTAAGAAAGTCGAGAGGGGAGCCGCAAATATCGTGCCGCGGATCTGAAGGGTGATGGACTAGGTGCTCTTGGCTCTGGGAGCGGGAGTGGGGATGATACGGGTGAAAATGAAGGATCAGGGCAGACGCTGGCGAGCCCACAAATTCTGGGCGCTGGCAGGAAAGGAAGAGGGTGTAAAGTTATACAGGACACCAACCCGCAGGAGGACGGACCGAAAACATTGTATAATTTCAAACTGAAGAAAAATTCAAAATCATCGCCGATCTCCACTGCAAAATGGTGACTGTTGACTCCTCTCTCGTCTTCGCGGCACCCATTGTATCCTCACAACTGCTCCGCCCACTCCAAGACCTCTTTAGCGCCTCGTTCCCACTCGACATGATTCTGCAAATGATGACCTAGCCCCTCCGTGACCGCAAAAATAACGCCTTTATCTCCACGCCCGACGTCGTCCTCAGAAATCCCATCTAACTTGCCAGCTCTGACGCAGTGGTGGAAAGCAGCGCTATGCCTGTTCGCAGCATCTTCCAAGATGCCCGGCGTACACAAAACATCCTTTTTACCAGCGAGCACCAATAATCTCGGTGCGACTCCAGAAGAACCGTTAGGTTCTGGTGCTTTGCGTAGTGACCATCCGACGATCGCACCGGCGACATCTAGACCACTGACGAAGCTGAAAAGGACTTGCATCGGCCAGAGCATGGATTCGTATAGGCTTAGGAGGGACTCGAGGCCTTTGACGACATAATTCGGCGTTGAGGGCGTGAAGAAAGCATCGTGGACTTGCTGAGTCATGGCCAAGATGTAGCGCGGATGGAACATTCGGTATGGGAAATGAATAGGTGCTGTCAGGCTCCAGAATTTGTAGACCGACCAGCTAGAGATTTTCAGCACTCGCAAGGACCTTTCGCCTTGTCGAAATCGAGGAAGAAACTTACGACCCAAACCCCGGCACTGCTGCCAACATACAGAACCCCTGCACCTTCACCAGTCCCCCGACTCAACGCGTACTGACCCAGCGCACCACCGGCGGAATGCGCGATCATAACAACACGAGCCTTCTCTTCAGCTTTCCTCCTCTCAGTCCCCAACTTCTCAACCTCTCTCACCCCAGCACTCAGGTCCTGCCTCATCGTACCCCGCGAGGTGAAGTACATCCTCCAGAACCCAGGGTACCAGCTATTTCCATGTCCGCGATAGCTGATCGCGTAGCACGGGTAGCGGCGCGAGGAAAGTAGGTCATGTAGGAGAGCCATATCGAGGCACAACCGAAGCCTCTGTGGGCGAAGAAGAGGGGTGGTTTTGGGGACTTGGTGTCAGTTGGGATCGCGGATAGGAGCTCGAGGGGCCCGGAGGATGTCGAGATGGAGTGACGTGTTATACCTTTTGAGAGTGGTGCAGAGGGGTTGGGTGGGTTGGGAGAGGGCACATGCCATTGGAGGATGAAGGGTCCGAAGGGCATGGCGATGAATTTGATGAGGTTCTGGATGTGCTTGCAGTGGTCGTCGCTGTGATGGTGTGCAAAGGTTGCAGTCAGGCAAAGGGCCCCTTTTACGCATATGCTTAAATCTCAAGGGCTTCAACAAGTCAGCAAGTGGCTGCATTGATTAAAGGATTTGAGAAGCGTGTGATCGAGAGAATCTTCGTGCTGAAGGCACGTTGCCGGTTGTCATTACTCGATGATCTGGAAAGCAAGCTGCAGGCGAAGGGCGGTTCAGCCGCAGCTCGGCACACTAATTCTGTCTCACAAAAGCTACTGACCTAAAAGTATGTCCGTCAAGGCTCATGGGTATGCATGTGTTATTAAAGAGTCAAATATGGTGAAGGCGTGCGATGGTTCAAGGCCTGGCTTGTATTCAGCCTGACGACGTTATACGACTCGCATGTGTCTCAACGTTCTCTCTGGAACAGGTGACATGTTACACATGAGAATTCCGGAAGCTTGGAACAGTGGAAGACTTATCGTCATCGTTTGTACATTCAATATGCACAACTTATCTATAACAACACGCTTGTAGAAGACTTCCGAAGAGATTCGAGCTTTAAGTCTTATCTGGGCTGCGGAGTTGCTCACTATTTCCGCTGCTTGAGAGGCAACTTGCATGCTATTTTGCAGTTCTCGCCATGCGTCCTGTCAGACGCAGTCGGGACGCTGCCAGGCGAGGTCGACATGTCCTCATTGCTGGACACACCCAATACGGGACCGACGCTGTTCTGGACGGCGGCGGACGGAATCCAAAGACTGTGCTCTTGCTGGCGAAAACGGCGATACCGCTGGGTATGGGGGTCTCATGCCGCTAAGGCCTGATCGCAAAGTCTCTCAGTCACGACACAAGAGCAGTGTTTGAAGCGCGCGCACGCCGCAGACGTCGAGGCCCTGACTGTTGGCGGCCTGACTACACGGCGGATCATCGTAGACCTCGATGTCGAACTGGCGGGTGAGCAGAAGGGCAATGCGCGGCGCTGGTCTTCTGTTTTTGATCGGAGGTGGAATGATGGCGTGGGCGTTGACGCGCCTGCTGTGTAAATGACGTGAGATTTGTATATTGACACATTATCTGCAATCTCCAAATGCTGACTAGACCATATGTCGAGGTGAAAGCCCTGCCATACTGTACGCACCCCCCATGCTTCCGAATCCCGGGCTTGCGCCTTTCACTCTTATGCCTTTCGATGCGCCTCCTAGATAGTAACGCCCCCATTACCCCAAAATGCTTGCAATGCTTGAACGCAGATGGCAAAAATTAAACAGTAGCTCGCAACACATCAATGTACCTCGTGCACCAGCGCGGTCCTACCACGGACCGCCGATCATGCCAACGAAGCCGAGAAATCCATCGACCAGACTGATCCAGTCCTGCCCGTTCAGTGAGCCAGCGCGCCTCTTCTCCCACACCCCAGCGACCATCTCTTCAAGCTTCACCCGCCCCTTTTCCCCCGCATCCCTCGTGCCGTCGTTCCTAGTCAACAGCACTCGTCCACCCGCGTACTTCTCGCTCAAATCGATCATGAAACTCGCCTCCCCGTCCGGCGGACTGTATATGTCCTCGCGCGTCGGACTCGGCAACACGCCTACGCCGCCCGCCGGCGTATACCCGGTGTGGATGACCACAACCTGGCCGTTCACTACAACGCTCTGCGGATGCGTCTTGACGGGCTTGAACAACTTACCCCGCACGCTCAGCGTCACGAGACGCAGCTGGCTCGCGCCGTCGCCGAGGCGGATGATCCAGTCCTGGAAGGCCTCGTAGAACATGTTGTACTCTGTTTTGATGGCCCAAGTGTTGTAGCTGTAGAAGATGGCGAGGGCTTCGCGGCGGATCTGGGTGCTGACGCTCGCGAACGGGTGCTGGATCTTGGAGCCGGCGTTCTCGAGGCAGTAGCAGAGGGGGTTGGTTTTGACGAGGTCGGTGTCGAGGCGGTAGATCTGGTAGCGGATCTCCGGGGGGAGGGTGAGGAAGGTGGCTGGCGTGTGGACGCTGACGTCTTGGGTCGGCACCGGAGTCTGCTTCTGCGAGTGAGGCGGGACTGCGTATTCGAGGTGCATTATCTGGGATTCGAGGAGGGCGGTCGCTTGCTTGACCATGGCCCAGTCATGCTGGAGGGCCTTCTCGTCGAGCCGCGCGCAGTTTAGGCTGTGGCTCCGCGAGTGGGGCGGCGAGAGGGCGAGGTCCTCGACGTCGATGCCTTCGTCCTCCGTGTCTGGCAGGCACAGAGCGCTCAGCGGCAGCGAGAACTCGGGAGTTGAAGGCATTGACGTCGCCTCGCTGTGGCCCATCCAGTCCTCCTCTTCCTTATCGCTGCTGCGGAACAGATCCGTGGCATCCGAGTCCGTGTCCGTGTCCATGTCCATGCCTGGCTCGTTGTAGCTCAGCCTGTAGCGCGCCATCTTGGGCGGCAGTTCGCATGTCGGCGAGCTCGGCGAGGGCAGCTGTGTTGCGGAGCGTTTGCTGGAGGTTCGTGTGATGGTGCACGGCGACATCTTGCGGCCTCGCAGCTGCGCCGTCGCGCCCTCGTCGAGCGCCTTGGTTGCATCTGCGCCGCTTTCACAGCGCCCGCAGCTGGTCTGCACGCTGGTCTGCACGCTGGTGTCGAGGGCATGCAGCTTCGGCGAGCCGGCCTTCAGGGCTTCGGCGTCGGGCGGTGTCTGGCCGGTGACCGAGTATCGTCGTTGCGTCACCATGGCCGAGTTGACCGGACCTGACCGCGGCAGTTGCGTGTCGACGTGTGTATACAGAGGCCAGCAAGTCTGCGGCTGGTGTGCTGGTGTGCTGGTGTGCTGGTGTGCTGGTGTGCTGGTGTGCTGGCAGGCTGACAGGCTGGCAGGCTGCACGCGCGATGCGGCCTTCAGCGCTGCGTCGATTTGGGCTTGTGATTGCGTGCCCGTCTTGCGGGGTGGAGCGGCAAGCGGACCAGACTATCGATTAGGCTGTGCGTGGTGAATGGCAGTGTCTTGAGTGAGCGTGGTGAGAGGTGCGAGACCAAATGGACGGCGCTTGCAAGGTCAAGCCGACGTCAACGATCCGAGTGAAATGAGAGGGCACCGTGTCAAACGTGGGCGATGAAACGCAGTTGCCAGCCCAGGTGCTCCCCATGCCCAGGATGCGACAAGGCAAATCATCCCATCCTTTCCCTTTTACACCGCACTTTGGCACAGCCCCTGCCGCGCATGCCCCGTTCACAGGTAGACATGGCCCTGCAGGACCCTGGCCTTTAGCGAGCTGTCGTGGGTTTGTTTGTTGTCAGGGACGCTCCCACAACACCGGACCACGATTGTCGCCTCCCGCAGAAATGAATGAAGACACAAATTTCGGTGATTGCAACAACAGTCACGCGGCCAGGTACGCCATCGACCGTTAGATCGCTAAGGATTCTACCCGCGGCAGCCAACGTCTCCACATTTCATAACGGACCTGCTATCGCGCGGTACATTGTGTAACACGATTCTATTCATGCTTAAAAAGATTGTGTGCATCTACTCTCAGACACGACCTAAACCAAAAAAAGGGCAGGCTCTGTTGAAGAACCACCAAAACTCGTCAACATTCTGTGGCTTCCCAGAGTCTTCCGTGTTGAAGCGGCGCTCGTCTCACCCTATTCTACGCATCTCCCATGTCTACATTCCGGCCTTCTTCTCGCGAACAACAGGCTCTCTCACCATGATATCAAGGGAGATGTTCTTCTGCGCACGCTGCAGGTGAATCGTGCGACACTCCTCAAAGCCAAACTTCCGGTAGATGGCCGGGTTGTTCGCATTGCTCGACTCCAGGTAGCAAGCTCTGCCCTCAGCATCTGCCATCTTCGTCACGTGCTCAACGAGCTTGCGAGCGTGACCCTTGCCGCGTCCGGCAGGGCGAGTGCCGAGGTAGACGAGGTACCACGTCTCGAGCTCGCGGTCGCCGAGAGTGACTTGCATGGTGTCGTGGAGGAGAGGGAAGAACTCGCTGAAGAAGCGACGCTTGCCCTCGGGAGAGAGGCGGTAATTGAGGCGCCAGAGACCGCTACGGAACATGGTCAGGTAGTCGTCCATGTTCTGGCCAGGCGGCATCCTACCATTGTCAGTACTCGATTGCGGGAGGTCTGACTGCGTCGACATACCAGAGCGCCACGGCCTCGAAGTCTCCCACAGTAGTCACCAGACCCTTGAGGATGTGAGCGTAAGTCATGTACTCCAGGATCTCAGTATGGAGCGCATATCTCTCCTCTTCAGTCCACTCTTCACCGTCAGGCACATCAACAAAGTAACGAGCAACCTCGTCCTCAGCAAAAGCCTCTGCCAGACAGGCAGCCGCTTGTTTGTACTCATCTACTGTGACCAGACGAACACCGTCGGCGAGCGGAGGTACAACAACAGCTGGAGACTTCTGCTTGAGGAGAGTAAAGCTGGTAGGAACTTCATGACCCTTCACATTAGCAGACCTCAGCATGTACTTTGTGTCAACCATGTTGCAGGCGACTGGAGCGACGGGACCAAACGACTTCGCCATGGTTGCACTTTCGTCTGTAACTTTCTACTAGTATTCAGATGGGATCTGCCGCTTTTTCTGATGATTGGAACAGTCGTATACGCCAGCGTGGAGGTTATCGTCGGGCTAGGGCGCGATGGCCGAGGAGGTCAAACAGTCGAACTTGGTCTTCTAGAGAAGATCTCAAAGTTCAAGCACTGCTACTGACGTGCAATTAGTATCAAACGGATGCGGCAGTCAATTCGGGCTAGCAGGAGCCGTGACCGTCGATTGCCTGCCATAGTATACCTTTGTTGTCTCACGAAGCGTTACGGTTTAGGTGGACGGGTACTGTCTCCTGTATGAACTTTCGAAAGCTGCGATCTCGAGACAGTTTCGACTCGAGATGGGTAGCGAAGTGATTGGAAAGCTTGACGTAGATCAACCGACATCAATATGCGATGCTAGGCGGGCGGTCTTGTTGTGAAGGGTTCAAGACTGGGCGACGTGTGATCGACGTGCCCTCGGGGGATCGGCAAGGCGGGCGTACTATCGGGTATCCAAGCTGGCTTGTAAGACGACTTGCGTGGATGGGTCTTTAGAACGTGATCTGCTCTTCAACTCGCTGGTAGCTTGTCACAAGACCGATGACAGCACTGCTGTACACTGGCTTGGCGTATTGCGCAGAAGAAGGCGGCTCTGATAGGAACGATCAACGGCTCATGCAGCAGTGGCTGAGGGTTCCAGGATCGTGGATCAGTCGGTTGGAAAAGGAGAGAGGAGTAGAATGCCGGATTGCAGTGACAATGTCTCTTTTGTGAGGAGACAAAGGTGGGAAGCAGCCACATGATATACCTCCGCCCCAACCCTGTTGCCGTCGTAAGCCCTCCCGGATAGAGGTGGAGGTCGCGCTAGTGTCGCAGCGGGACCTATCATCTGGTGCTAGTCGCGGCGTCTTTCACTGTTATCATGCGCCTAGCTTTCAGCCGCGCTTCTGGAAGATGCGGCTCGTTTGGTACCGTCGCATTGCGGCTGAATGGCGCAGCATCTTCCGTATTCTTGGCTCCATTTACGGTCGTCCAGAAAGTAGCTTTTTTAATTGTTAGAACATAGCTGGAGTGAAGCGTTCGAAGAGTGGCGCCGCGAAAGTGTGGGGTGACCGAATGTGGTTGGTCTGTCACCGCTTGTACCTCCTCGATAAGGCAAGACGCTCAGGGTACTGCTCGCTCCTCTCCGCCCATCGTGAGAACCAGGCCAACGTCCGCGGGTCCCGTCGCATGGTGATTTGCTCGGGCTTGTTTGTCAAGATACGGATCGGAGTGTACCTGCTAATTGCCTATCAGTCAGGCTTGTCTGAGGAGAAGTCGAAGATCGCTCGCCACGTTGGTCATAGGAATAGAGTGATAGGAGACGTTCATGCACGGTGAGTCGAGTGTGCTGCAGTCCACGACTAGGAGACGTGGGGCGTGGTCATTTGACGTGTTGTTGTGATCAATTGCAGTGGTGGTATCTATCGCAGGCCGGCTTGCATGCATTGCCTCGTCCTTCGGAAGCAGGATTGGTGCTGGACCTACCGTTCGGAACAATGGCGTTCGCGGCCCCTCAGATATCCCGTAAGCCTATGGGGGTATTGCGCACCTTCTTCAAGCTCCTCGAATATCTCCCCCTCCGCATAGCATCATTCCTTCCTCTTCTCTTTACATTCTTCGAATCTCTGTCTCGCCAAGGTACTTCTCGAGGCCGGAGTTGAGGTGGCTCCACCATTCGAAGAGCATCGTCTCGCAGATCAGCTTGAACCACGGTGTGAATTTGAGCGACTTGTCCTGGAACATTGCCTTCAGTTCGTCCTGAGTGACGAATGCACTATCACGGACTTCGTTGGGGTTGATGTTAAGGTCGACGTTGGCCTTGATGAAGAGGATGTAGTCAACTGGGCAGTGTGTCAGCAAGGCTCCCCGCGAGAACTTGATGTGAACGCAGCACAGCTGGGATCTGCTTGCTCATCCACACCCCGGAGCTCTTACCTTCGTGCTCACCCCACTTGCCATCACTAGGCGCCTTGTAGTGTATCCTTGTCAAGAACTTGAAGTCACCGATGGGTACCTGAGAAGCCAGGATGCCAAGCTCCTGGTCGAGTTTGCGCACCGCCGCACGTCGAACACCCTGAACCGACTCCTCCAAGGTTGTTCCAGTCTCTCCGGGAATGCCGAGAGGGTGCGAGCAGCAAGTGTTTGTCCACATGTCCGGGAATGTGATCTTCTCGGTCGCTCGCTGCTGGAGGAGGAGGCGGTTCTGGGAGTCGAAAAGGAAGACGGAGAAGGCGCGGTGCAGGAGACCCTTGTTGATGTTCTCCATCAAGTGGCCTGCGGCACGTCAGTACTTGGAGAACAAATCGCGCATACCATCCCACGTGGGAAGCGAGTGCTTGCGGCAATTACTTACACACTTTCTTGCTTGCGCTTCCAATAGGCTTGTCCTCGTCGTCCAATACAATGCACACCTCGTCCATCAACTTGATTTGCTCCTCGTCGTAGCCAGCGAGTGCATCGTCGTCGCGGGCAGAGTCGTGCGACCCTCCAACCACGGTTGTGTTGACATCGGGAAACAGACGCGCAACATTCTCAGCTGTGATCTTGGGCTGCTCGGTGACGGTGGTGGTAGAGCTCATCTTCGCGACTGGTATAACGACAACAGGAACGACGGTCGAGGTGTTGGCGGGGAAGTTAGGTGGGCGGCAACAACAGGAGATTTTGTCTGCCGACGGGAGCGCCTCTTTACCCCTGCTCATCAGGGTCCAGCCTCACGTGCAGATCTGTTCTCCGCGGGGGTCAACTTGCTGATTTCTGGACGAATGACATCAGGTGAATAGTTCAGATTGCCATTTGACTGTAGCCTTCTCGCAGCGCGTCGATCTGAGGTATCAAAACAAAACGACTTTTCCGTAGCCGGAATATGCAGACATGCCGTGAAAGTACAGACCCCATAACTGAGATTCAAGGAAAGCAGGAAACGCCGAATACCCAATTTTACACACGCTCAAACGCTTAGGCGACCGGGGCCGATCTTGTCTTCTTAGCAGCGGGGACCTCTGCGTCCGCGTCTGCGGCAGCGTCCAGCGCCCTCTTCTCAGGCAAGCTCTTGAGCTCCGCCTCCTTCTCAGCAAACGCTTTGGCCTCCTCGTCGGTCATGCCGGGCAGGAGAGGCTGCTCCTCCTTGGCGTGCAAGTTGTGGTGGTATGTGCGGATGATCGAGTCGGTGTCGTCAAGCGCAATCTTGCGGATATCAGCAATAGCCTTGATCTTGGCTGTGCATTCCTTGTATTGCGCATCGGTCATCTTGATACCAAGCTGCTCGGAACGCGACTTGATAGCGTTCCAGCCAGTAAGTCTGCTAGCGAAGTGGACGTAACGGGACATGCCGAAGTCCTGGGGGTTGATGATCTCGTAGGTCGAGGGGTTGTTGAGGATCGCCTTGGCGTGGATACCAGCCTTGTGGGTGAAGGCACAGAAACCGGTGATGTAGTTGTTGAAGGGGATGTTGACCTCAACAAGATCGGCGACAAGGTCCTCGACCTCCTTGAGCTTCTTGAGGTTGTACTTGCCCATGACGTAGTCACGGTCCGCAACGATCATGCGGGCCATGAGACCGCCAAGGGGCGTAATACCGTTACGCTCGCCGATACCGAGAACGGATGTGTCAATGTGAGTAGCACCTCCCTCAAGCGCGCAGTATGCGTTGGCAATGGCACAGCCAGAGTCGTTGTGAAAGTGGGTCTCGATGTCGCAAGAGACGACACCACGGAGTGTGCGGACGAGGTCGTAGACCTGGCGGGGGGAAGCGCAACCAACGGTATCAGCGATACCAACACGGTTGACGCCCACTTTGTCGACGGCGCTGTAGATGGAGAGCAGGTCAACGAGGTCGGAGCGGAAGGAGTCCTCAGAAGAGAAACGAATCTCCTTGCCTTTGCTCTTGACGAACTCGATGACTTCGAGAGCGGTGTTCTTGATGTATGTCATGTCCTTGCCATGGCTGTGCTCGCGGAGGTAGCTCGAGGTTCCAATAACGACATCGAGTCCATCAACGCCGGTCTCGACGGCGATTCTGGCATCGTCCATGTGGCATCGTACGTGGGTGAGAATCTTGGCCTTGAGCTGTTGGGGGTCAGAATCTGATGAATCGCAGCTTTGCCGGACATTAAACATACACCAAGCTTGCAGATGGCCTCGCAGTCCTTTCTTGACTGCTCAGAGGCAGCAGGGCTGGTCAATTCGATGTCTGAACGCCAATTAGCTGAGCGTCCTCACTTGGCAACGTGCCGCGGGAATAAAGCGTACAGTCAACACCGAACTCATCAAGCGCCCTAGCGATCTTGATCTTGGCTTCGAGGTCGAAGTAAGCATTGGCAAACTGCTCTCCCTCGCGAAGTGTGGATTCTGCGGTCATTCGTTAGCGCGTTTCTTTATCTTTACTCATAGTGGCATTGTCGATGACAATGTTTCTGCGCGCACGCTTCGATTGCGACGGCGACAGCTGAAAATGACATACCGATGATCTTGAAGCGAGAGACGTTCGAGAGGAAGTCGCCTACGGGCTTGTAGGGGCTCACGTGGTCAGGGCGAGGGTTGTTGCGGGTCTCAACGCCGGTGAAGCCGTCATGGCTGCCATTGCTGTTGCCGTTGGTGCCATTGGCATGGCCGTTGGTCTGTTCGGGTTCGCAGGTAGGACACATTGTGAAGGGCGGGTGTGAATGTGATGGAGAAAGGTTGCAGGCTGGGAGCTCGCGGATATTTGAAGTACAAAACGTTATCTCCAGGTGAGTCAAGAAAGTGCACGTCAAAATTCTTCTGCTTGCCGATGATGATGAAAGCGCAGGCCGAAGAACGGACCCAGTGGGATTCAGCCAGTAGGCGGTCTGCGCTCGCCTGTGGGGAACACTGCCAGTGGCTGCAATAGGATGACGCACCAGGCTGGCCCAGGCATTGCCCTTCACGCTTTGCTGGTTCTGTTCTCCCCACACTGCGCGGAGGAACTACAAGCTGCGTGATCAGCAAAAGGACAAATCACATCCTGTCAATTGCCTCACCAGGCGGCAAAACTGCTACACCGCCTCGTCCTTCACCCACAGCTCTATACCTATCCATGCAGGAGGTCTGCATGCGACACAAGCCTCACGCACTTTAGTATGTTGCGGCATCGGACAAGTGCCCGAGTATGCGATGGAACATCAGCTCAACTTCGCTGACCGATGCCTCCGAGTCACGTAAACTGCTTCGTTGATGGTGTTTAGCCGTGTGGGATTCTGCTTGCAATTGACCTGCCAAAGTATCACCTCTCACTGCAGCAGCTGTGTGACTTTGCAGCGTTCAAGGACGATTCGAGCTTGCCTGTGGAACTGCCAGAGATGGGCTAGTAACGCCGTGAATTCTCGCCTTTGGTGGGGAATTCATCGGCCAAGCAGTGCTGCCGCGAACCGTGCTGTGGATCGTCGAGTTTGCGTGAAGACTCACAAATTGCAGTCACACTCCCGCAATTCCAGGGTGCGGAGATGCCCCAGCTTCTCGAACTCTCGTGCGACATCCGCCATCGTCCGCCTTCCGCCATCGTCCGCCTCCAGCAGGCTAGTTCAATGCTTCAAAACCACGACCTCTTCATGGAGTCTGCGTATCTTCCTACGCCTGGTTTAATGAGGTGACCTGTGTTGCATACAACAAGAATCAGGCTTGCGGTTGCATTGATTTCTTCTGCAAATCACTAGCCGGCATGCTTGTCAATTGATATCAGGGTAGCAAAATGCGCGTCTATGCTGTTGGTGGTGAGCTGCGAAGCGCTCTGACTGCATATCTCAAAAGCACAATGACATTGCGCGAGGGTTTGAATCTGAAGAAAGTAAGAATGCGTATCGTTCTAACTGCCAGCCATGTATGCAAAAGATCAATCCATATGCAGATCCCAGAACGCCCAAGCCAAGTTCAGGATGCAGGCCCAAGCACTTTGGCACCTGTCCCTCCCACTGGCCAATGCATATGCAACCGTGCCATGCTCGTATGCTATGCAAGAGTAAACATGAACAAAAATAGTAAGTAAAGCTCATGGCTATGCATGAATGGGTATCATCAACTCGTGTGTATCGTTGCCATCATCATTGTCGTCTTTCACGACGTTGTAGTCGGGTTACTTGAAGCCGAGTCCAAGGCTGGAGTGGTGGAGGGTGTGGGTAGTTGCGTGCACAGAGGTGTCGAAGTTGCAGCTGGTGGAGCGGAGGCAACAGGCGCCGGCGTAGGCGCAGCTGTTGGTACAGGTGTCGGTGCCTTTGTGGATGCCTGTGATGGCACGGGGGTTGTGCCAGTAGATGCGGGGGTGAGGGGAGCTGGTGTGGAGGATCGTGTTTGTGCGGGTGAGGGTGTGGAGTCGGTTGTCCTCAGGCATCGAAGCTTGAGCGTCAGCTTTGGAGCTCTTGCCACAGGGACCGGTGGAGGATCGAGCTGCGACTGCTGAAAGCTCGACATCACGCCACTCGACTCGTCAGATGAAGTTTCGCTGCCTTCAGGTGTAGAGTCAGAGTCGAAGAGGTGCAGGGGTGAACGGCGTTTCCGTGTCCGCGAAGCTTGGTCATCGTTTTCACCCTCTACGCTTGGACTCGGCCGCTTCTTTGAAAGTCCCTCCGCGTTGAACTTGACGTTTGGCTCGCCTACGTGAGGTCCTGCAGCATTGCGTACTGAAGAGTAGTGCTCCCAAGTCTGTGACGTGTTAGCACGCCACTTGTCGTGGGCAAAGTTGCATCGAACATACGTGGTATGCAATATGCAGAGTCCGCCTGTCGTCCTCCGCAGTCAAATCATCGTTTTGCGAGTAGTATAGCCGAGGTGAGAACACATAGGTATAGTCAGACTGCCAGAGGCGAACATGCACGTTGAGGGCGGAGGCGAACGCTGAGACCTCCATGTTGTCTGCCCATTCACCAGGCTGCCCCATCTTCTCTACGTGCTCTTCAAACTGCTTTTGCAGCTGTTCTTCAGTATGATAGGTGGTGTCGATACGTGTCGCCTGTGCAGCGGTAGTGGTGCGTTTAGGATTCCGCCGTAGGTTGTTTGCAGCCATGTATTGACGGTAGAATTCTGAGTTGTCTCGCATATGCTCGATAGTGGCCTCTCGGAGGAACGCATGCATCTCCTGGTCGCCGTAGAGCTGGTCTGATAGAGCATTGAACAGGCAGTTGCCTTGCACACAGTCAGCCCTGTTCACGACGAAAATAATTGTGTTAGACTCACCGTCACCTCGTATATTGCTGGCATAGAGGCCATTGGCATCTAGTATGGGAAACTCGGGTGAGTTCGCTGGCTGCTTGCGGGGTGCCATATTGGTAGCTGGTGCAAGCTGGTCGCGAGACAGGAGAAGTCGGTGTACAGGGAGGAAGGCACAAGTGGGGTGACGCGTTCATAAGTATTTTCTGGTTTGTAGATGAAGCACACGATGTGCGATATAATTCAAGCACAGGGCCAGCCACCACAGTTGGTAAAGGTAGTGGCCCGTAGTTGAGGGGAACGTGAACCGGAGGATAACTTTGTGATGCGAAGCTCAGGTAGACGGCCGCAGGGAGGGACAGGGATTGGCCACTTGGCGAGCTGAGAACAACAATCACCGCCCCTTGTCAGAGCCGCAGGCTATTCAGGACCGTTGAACCTGATAAAAGAACACGAATAAGCGAACAGCAGTGCCAATGGCTACTGTTTGTACCCAAGGGTAGCGCAGCGGAGGAAATAGGAACGGCGGGATTGGCAGAAATTTTCTGTGCGTACCTCGGGAGCAACGATGATGTCACGGTTCAGAAGGAAGCTCTAGCTTTCAGTCCGGCGCATGGCGATGTGTGGAAGTGCTCAAAAAGGACGCTTTCGGCGTCTGTCTGAGAGGTGGCTGTCTGCTGCACGTTCCAGGCAGTGAACGGTGTATCGTCACGCCAAAAGGGTAACGAGCAAATAGTGCAGCCTTCACCTTATGTGCACGTAGCTGAAGGTCAGCTTGCTGTGTAGACAAGAACATGTGCTCTCGCGTTTCTGTCTCGTGCCCAGCTCTGTGTGCGCGCCTATCGGGCTGCGCCAATCACCTGGGCACTTTTGCGGCGGAAATGCCTCGACCCCGCCAATCCGAGTTGCAAGCTTCGGAGAGGTGCTCCAGATAAGGCCCATGGGACAGCTATATAACAAAGCATGATTTTGTGTTGTAGGAAGGTATCATCAGATCAGGCAACTACATCATCAAGAATGTCACAAACTAATGTCGTCGTTGTTGGGTAAGCATGTGCTTCAGCTTCCACGCTGCCGAATCAGGCAACTTCAAGCTCACGCTGACTGGAACAGTGCCGGTGTGATTGGACTGTCAACAGCTCTGGTACTGTCCAAACACAAGAACTTCAATGTGACAGTCGTGAGCAAGCATATGCCAGGTGACTACGACATCGAGTATGCCTCACCATGGGCAGGGGCAAATTTCATGCCAGTCGGTAAAGAGGGCAGCAAGTTACGAGCACTCGAGAAGGCAACATGGCCAGAAGTAGACCGGATATGTCGAGAGCTCCCAGAAGCTGGTATTCATTATCAAGAATGTAGGGTGTATGGCAGGAAGAAAGATGAAGGTACTGCTGTTGGTGTCTGGTTTCAGGAGTTGATGAAGGAGGACCCATGGTTCAAGGATCTCATGCCAGACTTGCGCATCCTTGACAAATCCGAACTCCCACCCTCCTGCGACACCGGAACAGTCTTCAAATCCGTCTGCATAAACACCGCCATATACCTCCCCTGGCTCGCGGGCCAATGCCTCAAGAACAACGTGATCCTCAAGCGCGGGATCCTCTCGCACATCTCCGAGGCGCCCTCTCACCACAGTGCCGGCAACGCTTCCATTATTCTCAACTGCACCGGCCTACTAACCTCCAAGCTGGGCGGCATAATGGACACCACCGTGTACCCGGGACGCGGCCAGATTGCAGTCGTGAGAAACGAGCCCGGCGCTATGCACACGACCTCCGGCACCGACGATGGCTCGGACGAGGCTATGTACATCATGCAGCGCGCGGCTGGTGGAGGCACTGTCATTGGAGGTTGCTTGCAGCATGGCAACTGGGATAGTCAGGTTGACCCGAATCTGGCTGAGCGTATCTTGCAGAGGGCTGTAGATATCTGCCCTAGCCTGGCGCCGAAGACGGGGAAAGTGACGGAGTTGAGTGTGATCAGGCATGGCGTGGGATTGAGGCCGATGAGGGAGGGTGGAATTCGGGTGGAGAAGGAGAAGATTGGGAAAGAATGGGTTGTGCATAATTACGGGCACGCCGGGTATGGGTATCAAAGTTCATGGGGGAGTGCGTGGGAAGCGGAGAGGCTAGCGTTGGAAATCTTGGAGAAGGAGGGCAAGACGGCGAAGTTATGAGTTGAATCGGCAATTCGATCAAATATCGCGAACTTTGTTCGTTATTTGTCGCCAACCGAACCGACCTTGCTGTTCTTTACAGCCGACAGCACTCTTTCCTCGAGATCCTTCACCGTACCGCTCTGCGCCAGTCGCTCTTGTGTGCCGCTATCGAAGTGGGGCTTGACGTTGAACGCATTTTGGCAGTACCTGATTTTATGTCAGGATAGAACCATCGTGTGATGGGGAGCTAGTACGTGACGAAATTGTCAAAGTCCTCTTTCACAAATCCAATGTCTGCCAATTTTGTCTGTCCGTCTAGCTGGAAATCATCCGGCTTCTTCTCCATGGCCTTGAGAATAGTCTCTACAGTTCGTTCAGGCCGTGGCAGTACGTCATCACTTGGGTTTGGCGAGCTCGCAGTCATCTTGATTGTGTGTAGAGGTATACACGAGCGATTGGGGAAACAAGGATAGGGCACGTTGACCCAGCAGATGTCTGTTGCACAAAGTGCCAAGCTAGTCATTTATAAAGATTTAAATGGAAGACGCGGCTTACATGAGTTGCTCATAGAAATACCTCAAACACCTACGTAGTGTCGCCGCCCACTTGTAATAGTTCGAGTGAGGCGTGTTGACAAACAGGTCTTGTTGCGGGGTAAGCTGTGCGTGCCGCAATCGCACTCCAATGCATCTGACGTCGGACGCCCATCCTGCCAGCGTGACCGGATAAGATCGCCAATAGATGTCTCGGGGCGCAAAGCCGTTATCAACACCCCGCAGTCAAGACATCAGCCAGGACCGGGTGCGTTAACGCGAGCGAGATACAGGCTGGCACGGCAGCGCTGGGGAACGTCACAGAGAGCCTGGAAGTATAAGTGTGTCAACACGACCGCGAACCAGATCCAGAGCTTGCCCACATACCTACTCCGAGGCAGCCCCTGGCTGTCGCCTTGTATTCCCGTTGAGCCGCATCAGGCTTGCGCCACGCCTCTCTGACGCTGCTTGATAGCATCGACTGCCGGTTTCAAGCTTTTCGAGGGCAAGCTCCAGTCTTGCAACTTCAAGGTGTCTTCTTGAGTCAGTATCCACAGAGTCTCTGCCGCAGTGATCCGGATCTGTTATAATTGTGAACATGTAACATGGGGAGTGAGTTGGCGAACGCACCTTGGGGAACGGATGCAAGAGCATACTTGTTACTTTAGCAAGAGTGTCTGCACGAGTTGCTGGGATCGTACCAAGTCCTCGATATACATCAAGCGCAAGGTGCAGTTTTTGTATATGCGTGGACTTGAAGTGAGCCTTTTGGGTATATGACAGAAGTGTTCGAAAGCTGGAGTTGTTACTCACGTGCCGTTCCTGCAATTTTCGAGGAAATCTTACCTGAAGTTTGTGGATTCGAGGCGGTGCATGACCCGCATATCGAAAAGAAACGCCAATCCTTCGAGCAGTGGGAGCAAGACTCTGTCGTTCTGGAGCTCTTTCTTGAGCAACTCCACCAAGCATGTGGCAAAGTCCACTAGCGACATCTCCTTGCTCACTAGATTGGTGATCAGGGGCAATGCTTCAGTAAAGTCCAGCAACGCGTCTCTGCAGTTTTGCACAACCGACTCGGATGCCATGCCGGCCGAGCCAACGAGACCTTGACAGATGGCCTCTCTTATCGCAGGCGAGTCGGTCGTTTTCATCGCATCCAGGGCTTCTCGGAAGTAGGCTCGTGAAGAGACATCGTCAGCTGCTGCGGTCACAATCATAGACTGCCTAGCAAGGAGGCCCCCAGCGATGATAGCCGCTGCTCGTGCCCTGACCTTGTCCAACTTCTCCAATGATAAACGCACAACATCTGCGTATATCAGAAGGTCTGTCTCAGCTGCCTGGTCGTGGAACAGATTGGCTTCCCCTGCTGTTCGAACAGCATTGAGAGCCTCCAGCCGCACAAGCGAGCCTACATCACCCCGCTCGGTGACCGTGTAGTCGTTCAGGGCTATGTGCAGCGCACTCGCTATTCGGTCTTTGACATCGGCTGCTCTGGGCGCTTGGTCATCCTTCGTAAACTCCTGGCAGGTCTTCAGTAGAGTATTCAGCGCTCTCAAAGATACCGTTCTCGCTTCGATCGCTACCGCTGCGGTACACCTGAACGTGATTGTCTGCAGGATGCGCGTACGCAGCTCTGTAGCCGTGCCACCCAAAGAACACATCGATACACCATAAGCAGACCCGAGCGCGATTACATGGCCAGGACATCGGAGCCCGCCGTACGAGTTCCCATTCTCAAGCTTCGTCAACCACGTGGTTACCAAGGACTCCGCAAGATCTGAACTGACGTGCTGCAGGATTGTGAGAACTTCACCAGAAACATCGGCAATCGCTTCCAACACAGTCTCTTCGTGACGCGCAAGACACAAATTGACGATACGAATGATCTCGGCCACAGGCACTTCACAAACCCACTCGTTCCTTGGTACTGTTCTAATAGCACGAACAAGAGCTGCAATTAAGGTGCAATAAGATGCAGCTGTATACTCGGGCCGCATTGACGGTGCGGTGAAAGATCTATCCTCAAGTTTGAGCTGATGGTCAAATAGGTGCCATAGATGCGTGAAGGCTGCCTGTCGAGTGGATTTTGAAGGTGCCTCTGGATGATTTGAAACTTCCAAAAGTGCTGCTAGGGCTGCCACAAGCCCTTGACGCTCTTCAACCTCCCGAGGTCGTAGTGTCTTCAGCTGGCTGCATATCTGATCGATCATCTGTTGTACCATGGGGAGCATCTGGCTTATCGATAGTAAACCTATCGATCTGGCGGCGAAAAGACGCGAATCAGAATCCAGCGCACCCGTTCCTCGCCATCCCAGTGAGGCTTCGAACAGAGCTTGCCAGTACAATGGATGTAGATCACCGGCCTTGACTGCTACGTCGCACATGGCTCGCTGGCGGAGACCGACCGCGTGGAAGTCGACGGCCTGAACAAGTGGAATACCCTCGTGTATGGTATTCGGATGACGACCGATAAGCTCCTGCAATGCTGCAGATGACCCTCGACGGATATTGCCCGCTGGGTCGAAACAGGCAACAACGACTAGCTCTATCGCCAGTGTCTGAGGCACGGACATATCTGGTCGATGCTTGGATGCCCGTATGGATGAAGTCTGTACTGCCAGGAGATCATCCGTAGAGTAGCGGCGAGACATAGCCCATATACCGAAGCAAGCAGCGTCACGTACGTTGGTGCCAATCGAACCGCCGGTCGGTGATCGTTGTTCGAAGCTGAGTGACAGCAAAAGTGCGTTTAGTACGTCTGGAAGCTGATGAGTCGGTATGGCTTTTCGATACAGCAGGTGAGAGAGAGTCAGGGTCAGGCCGTGCCAGCGGAGAGTATTGACTCCACTCAAGTTGCGCTTGGTCCCTTGCCAGTACACATTCTCGTTCAGTGATCCGAGGATTGCTTCAATCACCTCTTCGGCCATATCTGAGTCGAGTTTTAAGGTGATCACACTGAGTGCTTTACTCGCTGCATATCGGACCGGTGTGTCGCCATCACCGACTGCTTCCAACACTGCCTCGACGAATTCCTCTAGCGCAGTCGTAGGATCGAGACCTGATGGTGTCAACGTTGCCTGGAGACAGTGTGTGACAATGTTTCGCATGGTCTTGACCACCAGTTTGCGCGCCACCGCAGAAGACTTGAGGAACGTGAGGCTCTCTTGATATAAGATGCTTTGACACACTTGAAAAGCAGGTGCAAGGAACGGGCCAATTTCCTCATTAGTGGCAGAAGCCACGAGACCCGACATGAACGACAGCACACCGATACATCTATGTATATCAGAGGTGTCTTGAAGAGCGTTTGAGAAGAATGACAGAGCCCAATCAACGAGCACGTGCAGCAGTCCAAGCTCTTGCATATCTGGGCGGACGCAGAGCGTGACCAGGAGTTTCGCAGCAGCTGTCCTTTCTTTCGATGCAGACTGCAGACATTGAAAACAGATGTTGAGGACGCGGAGTGTTATGCCGGGAGCCTGTGCCGGAAGTTCAATGCCTAGCACTGTCGCAGTCTCTTCTGACGATTGCAGGGCCGATATGGAGGCCAGTGGGAAAGGTGCGAGTAGTAAGTGTGAGAGCCACAGAAGGAGGACATATCGTTCCGTCCAAGGCACTATCGACTGCGGAAGAGAGTCATCACCTGCCTTCCGAAAGTTCTTTCCGACCTCGAATTCTCGCAGGATCGGCTCGAGGTAGCGTGGCTCGTTGTTGAGGAAACCTTTGATCACCTTCTCGCCTCTGACCTTGCAGAAGAGGTTGATGATGTAACATATCGCATGCGAGGCAGGGACCTGGCCTTTCTTTGCTTTCTCTCTGGATGTCGGTTGCAGCAACTCCAGATAGGCAGCAACTAGAGGAGGAAGCAGATTCTTCAGGTGCGTATCAAGAAGCTGAGGATCCTCCTGAAAAGGTTCAATCTAGGTCAGGGTTAATCACTGTCACGTTGAACAGAGGTATTGAACATACTAGAGCGCATGCTCGGTACATGTCCATCTCTCGCACAAATTGACGAACGGGGGCGGCTGTGGTCCCATGTTGACGCCCTCGGACTAGCTTTAGCAACAGCTTCTCGAGATCCGCGAGCAACGCAGATGATGCACGCTGTAACTTGAGGTCATCGTCTTCTCCGCTCATGGTGTCGACGCTGTTGTAGTGGAGCTCAATGGAAGCCTAAGTGAACGAGGGTCTTGGCTACACGACTCAGCGTCTGCCACTTTGACGCGTGCGCCTGACTCTGGGCCTTCTCGCAGTCCGCGACGCGTCTGACGTGCATGTGCCCGCCAACAACCACCAAAACTTTCAAATCGCACGACAGCACTCATAATGGCGGAGGTAAAATACAAAGACTATCTCGCAGCATGCATCATTACCGGAAACCAGCCGGTATGCCACTAATGACGCCTCAACTCCTTTCGAATCCTGACAAGCTCCAGGTCACTTACAAGCTGCTTTCAAGAGCTCTGCAGGTCAATGTCAGTGTTGCGAAGTGGTTAGTGAGTATGTTCTCCAGCTACGAGCTGTCCTGACTCACTATAGGATGCTCTTCGATTTCCATCAGAAGCAGAACGCAAAGAAAGCCAACTCGATCCACGCAACCTACCTCATCTCCGGCACGAAGCGCTCCCTCGACGACATCAGTGGCACCAATAGCCGGGGCGACGAAGTTGTCAGCATGCGCAGCTCTCCGTTTATGAGCTCCATGCCAGAGCAGGAGGGTGCAGCGCCGGAGGAAGAGCCTGTCAAGAAGTCTGCCTTGCTCATGGTCAGAGAGGAGGAGCTGGCGAGTGGGTCGCACTGCACGCATTATTTTGACAGTTGCGCTGATCATACATGCAGAAACTAGGGCTGAGTTCTCCGAGGAAGCCTCCATCCATATCTACAGCTTGGAACCAGGACCACTTGAGGTATGAATGGGAGGAAGGATAACAAGACGACGGCTAAGAAAGACAGAATTTGAATGTACTGGCAGCATGCAACCGCGAGGCTAACGCTGAGTCTGCGGACAACGACCCACTGGAACGATGGCGACTCTATGGATCAATTCAAAATCACCACATCAAGGTAATAGCGACTCTTTTGTTTTGGTTGTTTAGAAGGGTATTAGCTGATGACCGCGTAGCGAAGGACGGCAAAATATGCACCTCCTCTTACCGCCGCTGTCCCCACTAAGCTAGCTGCCAAATCTACAAACAAACCATCTGCAAAGCCTCTGGTGGCCATCCAGCTCAAGAAGGAAGTCTCGGCATCCTCACGTAGAGGTAGCGCTTCTGAGGATAACGCGTCTGGACGATCGACACCTCAGCCTGCTGCGGCTCCGAGCACATTGAAGAGGTCAGACTCAACCAAATCTACCGGCATAAAGAACAAGACTGCTGGTGATATCTTCAAGTCGTTCGCAAAGGCCAAGGCAAAGCCGAAGGATACTGTGAAGTCGAACGGGTCCACTTCTGCGTCTGCGCAAGACCGTAGGTTAATTAGAGTTCTTTGCTTAAACTTTTATCTGATTTCTACCAGAACCCATGCAAGGCATGTCTGAGGACGAAGGCGATGACGATGAGCCTGAAGTACAGGTCGACACCGAAAAGGTTGAGGCTGCGAAGAAAGCTCGTGATGAGCGCGCTGAAAAGCTACGGAAGATGATGGAAGTCGATGGTAAGCCTGGGGCCAACTGTTGCCTTGGCACTAGTTTAACAAAGTACAGACGAAGATATGCCTGACGCCCCCGTTACAAGGGAGATACCAACAGAAGCTTCACAATCCGAGAAGGCGGAGACGCCCAAAGAAGAGGAGCCAGAGCCTAGCGTCACCATACAGAACGGCCGAAGGAGAGGCAAGAGACGAGTGATGAAGAAGAAGACGGTCAAGGACGAAGAGGGCTACCTAGGTAGGCACAACCCGATGTTGTCGTCGAATGATGGCTAACAATCAGCAGTGACCAAAGAAGAGGCGGCATGGGAATCGTTCTCAGAAGACGAGCCTGAGCCCAAGCGAGCCAAACCTGCCCCCAAGCCAGCAGCAGCCAAGGGTAAGCCTGCTACAAAGAAGGGTCAAGGAAGCATCGCAAGCTTCTTCAAGAAAGCATAAGAAGCTTGCGAATACCGGCCCATTGTGTTGTCGATATATACTTTGCAGATACCCAATCGCGCAATATGCATGTTCCAGTCAGGTGAACCTTACTTCGACGGCTAAGAAATCTGCCTTGGTCGATCTGCGACACGTCCATGTCTGCCGTCTATGCTTCTAATGATTGCGCCGCCTCACTTTCGCATCACAATCACTTAATCGTCCATGCATCTGGAAGAGGAAGTAGGTGACGACAGGCGGGCCGCATAAATTCGGGCCAGAGACGGCGCACAGTGAGCACGGGGACGCCGAACGGTCGAACGAGTCAAGATCTGTGTACAACGCTGCTCGTAGCACGCTCTGTGGCACCATACTGTAGAGAACGGGCGCCTGCGTCGCACAAATCGGCGACCTGTGGAAGCTCGCTTCGGGGCAGCCGTGCATGGTTTGAGAAGAGAATGAATTATCCTGTCACGAGACGACGAGATTGTGTCGCATAGGACGATCACTGCTCAGATTTACCATCTGAAGCATGCTATTTTTCTTATGTTGTTATGGGCCTGCCTCTGCAATTTGTGGTTCACGGCCACAATTCCTCTGTTCTCCAGCCGGCGTTGTGACGCGCTGTCTCGCCGTCCCACGTGTATCTGAACCTCCTGGCCTTCTCTGGGTCGCTGAGATCGGTCTGCTCGACGACGTCGGGGACGATGACTACGAGACGGAAGTTCTTTCTTGCGACTTCGTCGTGAAGGTCATCTGCTTTTGAGCCAAGCTGAAGGCGCTCCTTATCGAAAGGTGCCGTTACGGGCTGGCCGGGAGGGGGATTCTTGAAAGAGCCTAAAGTCGATGTCAGTTTTGTATATCCTTAAGACAAGTTTGGAGAGAGGTACCCTTGATGGCAGGAGACTGGTTGCCAAAGAACCCTGTAAGCTCCCTTTGCCAGCTCCACTCGCTCTCTCCACCCTCCTTGAGCGCCCTCATCCTCTTGCCGACCTCGCTCTTGACTGTCCTGACGCCGCTGCTCTCATCGGAGCTTTCAATGTCGTCGGCGATAATGTAAGCCTTCCCAGCGACGCGCCATTGTGTTTGTGTCTCGCCCTCAACCCACCAGACAGCCTCGACTGGCCCTCCACCGCCGCTGCCCTGAATCTGATCGCCGCTCTCCGCGTGCCCGGCGCTAGTTTTAAAGATCTGTCCGACCTTCTCCATGCGCACATCCGTTGTGAAAGTTGGGCAATCGCTGTGGTAGAGCTCGGGGTTGCGCTCAGCACCGTTGTGCTTGTTCTCTGGCAGCTCGGCCCAGAAGCCTCTGAAGATGCAGTATCGCACGCGGGGAACGTATTCCACAGGTGCGCCTTCAGGGGCTTTGTCGAGGGTGCCAAGGACGAATTGGGGCGGCTTCATCTCGCCCAGGTGTTTGCTGAAGAGCTGCTTCCATGGTGCAGGCGGGAGCGTCGAGGCGGCGGGAGTGGTGGTCGACATTGTGCGTAGTAGACGCGAAAGACGGAGCGCTGGTCGTGAAGCTATGGTTGCTGTTTGTGACTATTTCTGAGGTGAACGCGAGGATTGGAGAGGTATGGATGAGAACATTGGAGCTCTCGATGCTATGTAAGAGTGGATGTCATGTCGTCATCAAACTGCGTCACAGCTAGAGATCTGGTAGCAATCGACAATGCGAGGTCTCGACTATAGTCGAAGGCTGAGTCTGCACCCTCGACACACATCTTGCGAGACTACAGAATATGGTGCCTCCGTTAAGCTGTCAATCTGTCGTCTACCTCCAGCTGCTGGAAAAGGTGCAAATGCTTGGCATTCACTTACCGATACTTCGACATGGAAAGCACGAGGCACCTGCAAGGCATTTACGAATCACAGAACTTCGATGACATGAGCGCTCGTCGATTCTGACAACTGTCTCGTCTGATGGGGTTCGTATCGTCAATTCCTTCGCCGCGTCATCACCTGATTAGAGCCCGGAGGCACTCACCAACGAGTCTAGCCTTGCACGGACACTGATGCAGTGATGAGCAGAAACGAGCGTTGAAAGACGCAGTTACAAGAAGAGGGGCGTTGATCAGCGCTCAAATCATACTTTCTTCTCCAATTGGTGGCCTGCAGATGTGTTTCGTGCTTCGCTCTGCCCTGCAAGAAAAGCAAAGCTAGAGGCCCGGCCCGGTTGCCTTTCCAAATAAAGCATGCAGTCAAGCGTCACAGGTGAAAGTTGAGCGGTGCGGCAAACACCTCCAAGGTCCAATCTTATTTAACCAACTTATCAAGTTTCTGCAGGTCAAGCAAGGACCGCAGCAGCGCTTCCAGAAGGTCGCCGACCTGAGTCTCAGTCTGGGGAACGCGTGCCGAACGTTGCATCTCGGATCTACAAGGTGTCTGCGATAACGGGTTACACGGCAGCCTATCTGGAGCGTTTTCGTGGACGTTCTCAAGCTCTGTAGTAGGTATGGATTAACTTGGCAGCGTGTCGGCGTAAGAATGTTGGAGGTGTTCGAGAAGGTCATGGTGGACACAAAGGATTAGCCTCTCAAAGAAGACACCAGACATATCAATGGTGGCGATCTGATCGAGATATTTGAGTCTGTCGGCTGTGGCTGGCTTTGTCCGTATCGCCGTACACATAGGCGCTTAGAGTATGAACCATTATTCTGGGATGGTGTTGGCCGTATGCAGTCAAATGAAGCGAAACCACCCCACGCTGATTTTGAACAAAGAGCAATCCTGGCTTTAACATTTGGTGCCATTAGAGAGTTACGAAGATAGAGCTGGAGGTATTCAGTTCGGTTTCGGGAGTCTCGGCTCTTCTAGACTAGACCCCTTGTCCTTCTGGTCATCATGATGGCAGGTGAGACGTGGTTGTCCCCTCATGCGCCGCCCTTTGCGACCATTCGTCCGGTGCAATTGTTCGAAGCGCTGAGGGGTTGTCTTGATGTGTTGTTCGCTGTGGTCATGTGCTCATCCTCTTCGAGCAGCGTCTGCGGATGGATGTCGCTGCTTTGCAAGATCTTAGCAGGTGTGTTATGGCAATCATGACGAACACGTAACTTTGCAATCTAATTCACACCGCAAGATGTGAGCAACGAGGCACTAGCCTAGTGCCCACGTTAGCCCCCGTTTCCGTGTGGAGGCACGGGAAGGAAACGCCAGCTGAAGGTGATTGGTGAACAGCCGCAGCTGCCACTATTTACCGCGCCGTTTTCGTCCAGTGAGACGGCCTTGCGTGGAGGGCGAATCCCTTTTGCTGCGCGTTTGATGCTCGAAGGATTGGTTTCGCAGGCATCCCGCCGATGGCACAGTCACGGTTGTCTAATACTTTCGAATTGCGCGGCTGTTGTCGCAGTCATTGCACCGACGGCACAGCTACGGTAGCCTCCCCTTTGTGGATCACGGGCAAGCAGGTGATGTCCTTGAAGTCTAATCATGCACTTGGGGTTAGTCGACTGCAAGTGTGTAGATCGTCTCATCTCCTCTGCTCCGGACTGCTCGACCACAGTGCGGAATTCTCAGTCCAAGGTTGATAGCCATGCGCAGCGTAGCACGCAGCAGACGTGCTCACCGGAAATACAGGACTGCGAGGCCCTCCAGAGGTTCCCAGCGGCCCAGACCAAAATCGACCAGGGTCGAGTGCGAATGCGATCGACGCCGCGCCAATGTGGCACAAAAGGGCCGTCTGAACGGGCTGAATCTAGTAAACGAACCGTTCACTCGGAATATTCTGCGTTCTTTGAGTCCTTGCGCCTGGTGCGGGCTCCGCTCTCCTCTTTCCTGCACGCTCCGGTAATGCGCCGTGACTTTGCGCGACCGTAATCATCTTGCGTGTCCGCCCGCTGGAGCATGGGCTGTTGATCATTTCATCCGTATTATATGCAGTACCCCTGCTGCCAACCGCCTCCAAGCAAGTCGCCGACGCACTATCCTCCCGCCCTACTCCGCTGGCTGCAGGCACGTTACATTCCTCCACCAACGCCCGCCCGCACTTTACGATCTTAACGACTGTTCGCTGGACGACTCTGCTTCCTGTATACCGTACTTGCACGCCAACGAACGCCGCCTCTACGCACTGAACCTGTGCTTTCCTACACTGGCCTCCTCTCGACTTGGCTTGCAAACCACTCAATCCAACATTGCACACGAGCAGCTCGCCCATCATGTCTGACATCACCAAGGCGTTCACTTTTCTACAAGACACTATACCACAATGGCTCCGGGACATCAACAACGTAGAAGAGAGGGTCTCCAACATGCAGCAGGAGATCGGCAGGGTCTCTGTGTCGACATCGCCGTTCGGAAAGGGCAAAACAGGATCCATGGAGTCGACACGACCCGGGAAACTGGACCCTGTCGCCGAAGAGACCACACCGTCGAAACCTACAATGCCTTTTAACCAGCTTGTTAACCGCAAACGCAAGTCGCCCTCGGTCACTTCTGGCCGTGCCTCTGGACCCACGAGATACCGCCCCAAGACGATGGTCGTGGTCAGCTATGACGGCGACATGCAAAAGACGTTCGAGCTGCTTGTACGCGGACTGGCAACAGGGCGCAATATGCTGAGGAAGGCTAAGATGGAGGCTAAGATGGCCGAGTTGGCTGCCATTGCCGGCTCAAGCGAGGATGAGGACGATGATGAGGAAGATGATCAGGAAGAACACATCATGTCGAAGATCAGCTATCGGCCGCAGATGGCATCGTTACGTATGCGTGCCGCGGCCAGGAGAGGTCGAGGTGGAGCCGGCGGCCCAACACCCCCAGCAGAGCTCTTCGAGACTACAGATAGGACATTGGAGCAAGCGCAGGAGCTGTGCGAGAAGTCAGCCCACCTCACTCTGCGAGAAGGGGACTGCAGAGCCGAGCTGAAGCTTGCCCATGTGCATCTTGAGAACGTTCTGTCGACAGCGAAGATGGAAATCATGAAGTGCGCTGCAAGCCAAACGCAGCCTACACAAACATGTCAAGACCAAGACACGTCGGACACATCCGTGTCAACGATAGAGCCGTCTTACAAGCGGCACTTCCCAAGCATATCAGCACCCAGACCGGTCATGGAGCCGGAAGCAAAGCTGGAACCCGTCACCACACAGTCGAATCTTCATGCTCCAGTCGCAACCTCAATCAAAGCACCGAAGACGATGGACATCGAGGTCGACGACGATGATGAAGAAGATGAAGATATAGACTTCGTCATGCCGCCTGTGCGCTTCACCTCACGGCGAGCTGCCCGCGCCTGAATATTCCTTTGAACTCCGTTTGGTCACATTTGTGTTTGAGCGATCTCATTGAAAATCTGAACATGGCGTCTTCAGGGCATAATAGTATACAAGGTTGCATCACACTTGTCACGAACAGGATACCCCATTTGCATTACCGCATTCAAGGGGTAGAAAGCCTCGCCGCTGCTCTTACTTCTCGCTGCATACTTTCTGAAGGTTATAATCACTGTCACTTTTTGCAGTCGGCGGCAGACGCTGCAGACTCTGCGCCATTTACAGCGATACCCAATGCACTACTTCTTGATATCAATCTCGCTTCGTTCATCTTACTCGCTTCCAAGTTGTTGTGCCTTTTGTGTGGTATGCCGGTCGTGGTGCCTGCCTGTTGCGCTCCTGCCCTCCACAATCAAAATCGGCCACATCGCGGGTACTCCTTCCTCGCACTTCCTTGCTACGCGGCTGCCTAGCAATCTTTCTCCCTCTCGGAAACGCTGCATTTTTCCGTGCATTCACATTCACCCTTACACCCCTGCCCGGGTCCACACAGACTACAACAGCCGGAGCAACCATCACTCTTGCAGTCACAGGCCATGACATCACCTGCCTCAACTGATACTGACGAAGCCACAAAGGATTTTCTCGGCAGGGTCGTCATCTCCATCTCACAGCGCTCGGAGAGTGGAATCGATGTGCGAGCCACTTCACCTCCAGTACAAGCATCAGCTGACTAACGTACAGGATGGCTCCGACTCTCCTCCGCCTAGCCCAGAGCTAGGCATGGGCAGCCCGAGTGGAAGTGAGATTGGCGATCTAGAGCTGGATGATGCAGACAGGCAAGACGTGGCGGATGCAGGACCGTCTGCTACACCTGTGAGTGAAACCATTCCAATGTCAGTTCAACAGTGCCGACTCTGACTTCCCAAGGGTTTTCAGCAGCAAGAAATCGATTCAGCGGCCGAGTGCGCGAGTAAAGAGGCTGCGAAGAGATTGCCGCGCAGACACCACATCCAACTGCCACCATTGGAGAGCGCCCAACGAGCAAGCACGGACATTGAGAACGCTCAACTCAAGACACCTTCCCCAACATGTCCGCCGATCCGACGCAGTGCCCGGGCTAAGAGTACCCTCATTTACGACCAAAGGTACCATCCAATGGACGATGTCATTCGACCGTCACAAGCAGCCAAACGCCGTTCATTGCATGGTGAGCGACCTCCACTTGGAAGTGGAGTAGACGGTGATGGTTCGGAGGAGTCAGGTTCTGACGTTGGAAGTATGGCTGGCGATGATGACAGCGATGGCGAAGAGTCGCAGCCTACGCGGGGCCGTAAGAGGAAGCGGGTGAGGACTCTCACTTCTGAACCTACTCGGCGTTCGTCGCGCAGGAGAACGAATCCGAAGGTCTCCTACAACATGAACATACACCCTCAAGACAGCGACTTGAAGCGAGTCTGGGCATGCGACGGATCGAAGAGCTCACCATCACCGGCTAAGCCGACTAAGCCTGCCGAAGCCATGTCCTCGACAATGGAAACTTCGTCTGATGATTTTGAGGAGGTGTGTAGAACACTGCTAGTGGATGACTCAGAAGGTGAACGCTCCGTGCAAAGATTCCAACCGATACCTGTGGGCAACACTGACTATCTTCAGACTGCTCGTCAGAACCAGTACCAGAGCCTCTCCCGGGGTCCTCAATACATCATTCGCACACTCTGGTACCTGTCACAAAGCAGGACCAAGAAATGGTCGATAAATACCCAGCCTTGCGCTCAGATGTTGCGTATTTCTCTGCTGATCAGGGTGTGTGGCCAGTTGTGAAGGGGCTTCCGTTCCAGATCTTCACGGAGCGAATAGAAGATCAGCTGAGCGCGGAAGCAGAGGCGGCATCGCCATTTCGTTACGAAGATGAAGACAAAGAGAACGACGTCGTCAACCCTGAACTTGCGCCTAGACCTAACCCACTCGGTGGCATTTCTATCATACCAGCTTCGCATTATCGTCGCGCGCCGGGAATCTACACCACCTCAGGTCACGACTCGATAGCCAGTAATGCCTTCTATGTCAACCCCCAGTTCGAAGCATCACCATACGGTCTGACCTGGAGTGACGGCGCTCATGACGTGCACATCAGCGGCACCAACGACTGTCCGGTCCCTGACTATGTGCGCATCTTAGCGTCCGGTGAACACCTGCCTCGGGCATCTATGACCGCTGAAAATTGTCACTCGCGCAGAGACCACAACATCGCCAGTTCTTTTCCGATCCGAGGCCTCGAGGGTCTCGAATTCTTCCGCTGAAGACTCGTTCTTGGATGCAGTACCTATCGACAGTCGACAAACTCACTCCTAAGGTGGACAGTAATGAGCGTGGCATGACTCTGGCATAGCGCTCGTCGCGTATGATCAAGCGGCACGTACAGCAGATGATCTTTCGTATGTTCGATCATATGTGACACCCCATCTCTGGCGCTTCGATTCCTTATATTTGGCTCAATGTATGAGGAATGGACTGGCATCTATGGAAAATCAATGCAAAAACGCACAAATCCAAAGGCATGTTGAGTGACATCAGCCTAATAAGCCTCAGAACTATAAGTCAGCACACAGACCTTGTTGGAGGCGCCTGCGTACTACCGTGGAGGCGGTGATCCTCGGACTTGAACAGTAAGGAAATTGTGATAGACGGCAAGTACTTGTCACGACTTCGTCAATGGCTGAGGTGGATCTTTGCAAAGTCCGGCTCGATGCTCACAGTCCAGAGGCAGCTCGTGGCCTAAACAGTCTTTTGACGAGCATCACCATCGCTGAGGTCTCGTAAGGCTGCTGGACTAGTTGAGGATCCCTGTGTCTATACGTCACTAATTGTCCCACCCAAAGCTTATATCATCTTAGCGACCGTGAAACAAGACATGATCGATCATCTTCGTGTCGCCGGCTGTTGAGTTTCTCCCCCTGCGCAGGGCCACTTGGTGGAGTCAGCCAAATGGTAATCTGACGGAGAGATTACCGCTGTGGCTGCGAGGCACAGTCGAAGGGTTCAGCGAGCTGATTCCCCAACTGAGCAGAATGTACAGGGATCCTTACACTGTGCTGACTGCGAGTAAGCTTACACTGTTTTGACTGCGAGTAAGTTTACACTGTGCTGACTGCGAGTAAGCTTACACTGTGCTGACTGCGAGTAAGCTCAGCGCGCAGACTCGAGATGCAAGGCTGACTGCCGAGGTCCGTGCAGATGAGGCTTGCTTGAACTCGATGCACTAGACGTGCATACATACACAGTACCGACTTTGGCACTCTTGATGGCCTCGCACTGACGACATCGAGCCCGCATCGCTCTTGTACTCGATTTGTGGTGCTGCCGATATTCTAAAGCGCAAACCCGGACACGCATCGCCCGCGCGGTTTGTGAAGTTGGGCAGCGGTGCAAGCCTAGACGAATTACCACTGACAGTATCTCCGCCTCAGCGCCGCAGAATTCCCACATCCACTGCATCTGAACACGAGCGTAAGTCATTCGCACACGTGCGTGTCTGCCTTTGCAGAGCGCGGGCGCCCCGTCTGCAAACTCTGCACTCCTCTCAATGGCTGCGCTGGCTGAGCGGGCGAGCCTTGCACTTGTACACATGCAGCTAATGGGCTTGGCCATCTTCACCAACACAACATCTTAGGGCAGGCCTTAAAGGCGTGCCGAAGGATTGCGACTGCAGCTAAATTTGTGCGTCACGCCGGCTACCTGTCGATCCAGGCTTGCGCTCGGGGCGTTGACTTAAAGTGGTCGCATTGGGAACACGTGGGCACGAGACAAGCTCGAAACGAGTCGAAAGGTCGTTGACCGAAGTGCTTCTATCGTTGTCGAAACGTTCACATTTGCAGGGCTCTGCATTGAATGCGATCTGTAACCGACACAGGGTGTTGAATCGATGTTCGCCGACAAGCTGGTTAGGGTTGAGACGGTGGCTGATCATCAACCAGGTGTTTGCTGGTACCTCGAGGAACAACCGCGTTTCGACTGCACAAGCAGGGCATCACGACATACCTATGCACCGCTGCAAAGCATCACCGGCGCGCAACACAGCCCTGTGGGTCCTCCCTGCTTCTATGAGCATTGTTCGGAGGCTGCGTCCGTCAACCAAGAACACAAGAAGACGGGTCAGAGAACAACGGCGGCACTGTATCGATTATGAACGACATGCAATCGTCACATCCGGTCGCTGTCGAAGTGAATCAACAATGATGCTTAATGCGACAACGATGTTTCCGAAGTCAGCATAGACGTTTGGGCGAAGTAGGCCGCATCCCTTCCTTTGCAGCTCCGCTATCTTCCTCCTCGGACGTCAACACCGTCGAAACATCATCCCGTTCGTAAACAACGCAACCACGCCCATAAGCCGTCGACTCAGATCTTTCCTTGCGCGGTCAGATCGGCAGGATTTCCCCATCATCGTGACGCTCGCGCAGCTTCGTCCAGAACGCCATGTGTATCCGACTGAGGAAGTCACGATGTGGCCGCGGCGCCTGTGAGAAATAGGCGTCTTTAGCCTACGACCTGAGCTTGTGGCTGGCTCATTTCGGTCGCCCGTCATCAATCAATACACCAATCCGCATCGTGCCCTCACCAAGCAGTGTGCAGATCGGTGGGAATTCGACGTAGTCCCCGCCGGACAATGCAGGGCTCTGCACATTGCGCTACAGCCTGCAGCTCGTCCGGAAATTCACCATGTGCATTCGGACCGTAGTCGCTGTCTCTAATGATAGAGCACGTTGGTGTTGGTGTTTCCCGCGGGCTGGACCCCTACGATCGCACGCATTTAGAGTCGCACTAGTACAGATGCATGATCTGGGTGCGTGCACGCATCGAAGGGCACAGCCGCATCCTCACTTTCGGGGACCAGCGGTCCCAGACTTTTCGTAGCTGGTGATATGGCACGAGCTCACGGCAGCCGTGTGTTTCTAATGGTGGTCTTTTAGGATGTGCTCGGGCGCCGCCCCATTGAGGCACGCTGTGTGAGTGTGCGCGAGGCCGCTGTCGCTGTCTGAGACTAGGATTTCTCACACTGTCCTGAAGGTTATAAAGTCGCCGATTCCTTTTAGTTTGGAGGAACTCAGCATCCAGAAGCAAGTACCCAACTACGACTGCTTCATAAGGTACCAATTTTTCTTACCGTTGCCGCCTCAGATATACACCTGCCGGCAACGCGAACTTCCATCTCCACACCACTCGTGCCTTTACGAAGATAGCCCCAGTACGCCTTGCAACGCACGGTCCCTAAGACTATCGTTGGCTGAAGGCGAGTAATATCATTTCTTAGCACCACTCTCAGCTTAGCTCCCATCCCCTCGCGGCCATATCGTAGACGGGCCTGTTCATCCTTTCCCGTACATGGTGAACGTCCCTATAAACTAAATCGCCCCTTCGGAGTTGATAACTTCAATCCGGACTTCGCCGCGAGGAATCGACAAAAGCGTTCCAGTATCTGTATACTTCGAATTATACACATACTCGAACCCCTTCCACGGACCTCCAGGTCGTCTTCATACATACCCAGGATTCAGGATGGTCAAGCTTGTTGCTCTTGCCTTCGGGCTGCTCACTGCTGTGGCTCAAGTGAGCGCTCAACAGACAGTCAAGGTCATGCCATTCGGTGCTTCGATAGTCAGCGTAAGTTCACGCGTGCAGAGGCCTTTGACCAGTAGCTTCTCTAACACCCACCCAGAGATGTTGGCGCACCAACCTCCAAGCCAAGCTCCGCAGCGACTTAACCACAAACTTCGACTTCGTCGGGTCGCAAAAGAGCACATGCGCTGGGACTGCCGTCGACCAGGACCACGAAGGCCACCCCGGTTCCCAAGCAACAGACTTCGCCGCCAACGGCAACCTGACCGTCTGGCTGGACCAGAACCCGCCCGATGTCATCCTCATGCTGCTTGGCACCAATGACATCCTGATTGGCAAGAAGTCTACCGGCGACATCCTCAAGGCCTACGACACCCTAATCGCCCAGATGCGTGCTAAGAACTCCAAAATGCAAATCATCATCTCCAATCTGCCCCCCCTGGACACCAAGCGCTGGCCACAGGCCGCACAGGACGGCATCGTCAACTTGAACACCGCGATCAAGCAGTACGTGCCCAGCAAGACCACGCGCGACAGCCCTGTGACCTTTGTAGACAACTACACTGGCTTCGATGCGGTTGCCGATACCGCGGATGGCGAGCACCCCAACGACTCCGGAAATGAGAAGATGGCGACCAAGTTCTTTGCGTCGACGCGTGATGCGATAAAAGCTGTGAGTGCGAAGAACATGACGACGAGAAAATTTAAAGGATTTTTTGGCCGTAGACTGGCGATGCTGGCGCAATAGGGGGAGACCAAGACATGCTGGCATGGCTGGGACGGACGACACGACTATTATGATCCACGACTTAATGTGTTATGCAATTGCATGATGATCTTACTGTACTTAGACCGTTTATCTTCTGTCTTGGAGTCTTATCAGAGGATGTGAATTGACCGATATACAGATTTCTGGCTCTGATATGAAGGCTAAGGGTCAGGCGCAGCAGGCCCAAGAACAAGCTGCTACACCCACATTGATCATGTCGTCCATCAGGAGCACTGCACAAGCCCAAACTACCGCTGCCCCCAGCTCTTACCAAACCCATGGCATCAAGGTTGATGTCTCCACGTTTGCCTCTGTAACTGCGCAACCACAGGCGACAAACTCGGCAACACCGGAGGCGAAGACCAGCGCGACACAGAGCACTCAGCAGACGTCGTCAGCAACCAACTTGAGGGCACCATGGCCACTGGGTGTGTTGAGAAGTGTAAAGAGGAAAATATGGAGGGGAAGATCGACGCAGAGCGTGCTGTCGGTGTGAGACTAAGATTTTGGTATGTTGTATAGAATGACGCAGCCATAGTGCTTACTTGCACTTGCATGTAGACAGAAGCGTTGTACATGAGAGAGGCATCATTGGGGTTCTTGCGGTCTGGTGCGGGCTCAGACATGACCGCAGCCCTGTTCTTTAGCTTTTTAGCGACCTGCATATAGAAGTCAGCGATAGTCATCATGACGCATAATATATAATGATTTGCCGATGCACAATACATAACGACTTGCCACTCACAGTGTCCACACCAGGTCCAGGTAAGGGCTGGGGCCATAGTGCGTCAACGAAAGCAGAGTACCTAGCAAGGGGTTTGGCAAGTGAGGCTCGTGGTGATTTTGCGATCGTCTTGAATCGATTCCGACGGTGGAATTCATGTTCCGTACGTTGCTGTTGCTTGTATTGAATAAGCTTCTTTGGTATCTTTATTCGTCTGCAAAGGTAGGGGATCGGCATGATATCCTCCAAGATACGGGATGGCCCCGAACGCCTCCGGCTTCCTTGTCTGTGCCTGTCCTCTCACCAGGCACTGGCCTGTAAAAAAAAGATTGGCTCACCGGTACGAACCGCTAGCGCAAGGATTGCAAGGAACTACAAGAGTGGCAGGTCCGAACAGACCAACCCCCTCTTGGGGGGGGGGGGGGGGGGGGGGGGGGTGCGGTCTGCGGATTTGCTATGAATTGGACGGGAGATGTCCATTACCGTACCGGTAGTGTCCCTACCGTGTCCGTGCGCGCAACGCCCGATAATCACCCTGCAGCACTATACAAACTTGAGGCTGTAGAGCCACATACAATAGCTATTATCGCAAGATAATTTGGTGGATTGTTCTATGGACCTATTCGACGATATTCTCTCATACACATTAATTATATAGAGTTGCTGTTCTGCCGCTGCGCAGCTACTGCACCATGATTCTGCTTCTTTCTTGGTGCTACAGACTGTGACACCTTGCGCTTGCCTCTTTGGGGCAATTGTACAGCTTTTTGAGCGTCGTGAGCTTGTTCATCATGCTCTCTTTGAGCCTTGCGTTCGGCTGCTTCCTCGGCCTTCTCAGCTCTCACTCGCTCACGCTCCTCCTTCTCCCTCGCCCGCTGCTCACGCCTCTCCTGGGCAATCTTCTCATTGTATAGCTTGTTGGCGTGTCTAAGCTTCGTCATCTCTGCTTTTTTGAGTTCTTCTGCCTTCTGGTTCTGTTGCTTTGTCCTCTCATCAGAGCGTGCTTTCTCTACTCTACTAGGAGAGTAGAACTCAGCCCCACCGTGATAGTCCTTGCGAGGCTGAAACTGAAGAGCTTTGCTCTTGTTCTTATGCTTTTTCTAAGTCTTAAGCACCTCTTTAAGGCCATGATCCTTGTGGTGGAGAAGCTGATTTTGAATTAAGTTGTGGTGGAGTGAGCGGCTGATCTTCCTCAGCTCCTTACTAGTCTTATCCCTGACTACTTTCCGCAACAGAGTCTCTATTTTAAGCTAGTCTTTGCCAGAATAGACTAAAGAAGAGCTTGTGCTGCTGTCAGAGGCCTCAGGGGTATCCTTAGCAAAGCGTTGGAGGATGACGTTGGGCTGCAGGGGTTGGTTAGTTGGTTAGTATTCATTTTACGTCTAGATAATGGGGATCAAGTCCACCATCTCGCCTCCCGGAGGGCATATACGACGTGCTAAGCTATGGAATTACAGTGCTGCCACTACCTTAGAAAGCATTTCTTGCCTGCGCGGGTATTGCTACCATTTCAGAACTACAGCTCCCCGTTCAGTTGGGGAGACTGAGCCGTGTGTGTACATTAGGGTGGATCCCTTGTGTGTGTTTAGAGGCAGTTAAGTGCCGGAGAAGTGGGAGAGAGGAATAGTAGGAAGGAGAGTAAGGAAAGAGTACGGTTGTTTGCTGCTGTTGCAGCAGGGTGAGCTACCGGGGGCAGACCTTGGTGTAGTACTGTGTGAGTTAGACAAAGGCTTCAAAAGCCTCTGGATCCCCAATCAGCGCGGCAGTATACGCTAGGCCATCGTTCTGGCTAGATGGTGGTATAGGTGGTCGAAGTGGCCATCGGCCCTGTTGCCTTAAAGGAGCTGAGTATTAACTCCTGAGTAAATGTGCTCACCCAGGCCTTCTAGAACAGGTGAAAGAAGTCGCTCTTCTTAATTACTGATAGTCCCTAGCCGCTGTGAAGGTGTGTTGTGAGCTCCTTTAAGTACGCAGATGACAGAGGCTTAAACATCACTTTGTCAAGCGGCTGCAGCGTGTGGGTCGAATGAGGAGGAAGTACAGCTAGGAGTATCTTGTTCTAATCACAGTAGTTAATAAAGTCCATTGTTATATAGGAGCTGTGACCGTCAAGCTTCGAGCTGCAGGAAAACTTACTCTGTTGTTGTAAATCCCTCTCACGGTGAGGAGAGAGCGAGACATTGCGATGGTGCTGTCACCTTAAGCCACACAGGAGCAGACAGGAGGCCTGAAAGGCAGGGGGTGCATGCTTGTGACAGGACGGAATGTGGCAGATTTGAAAGATAAGGAGGGACGAAAGTCAAGTTGTGAGAAATCTGCGTGTGGGAGGAAAGTGAAGGCAGGAAGGTGCCACCCTAGCAACCTCCGAGGAGCAACAGCTTGAACCTTGACACACATTGAGGATAACATCGATGCTGGCATCCATCAAACACAATCGGCTCCTTCTCTTTCTCGCAATAGCGACTCTTGCTTATCGATGTTGCACATCCTTGATGCGCAGAACGAGGGGAACACAGCGACAGCCAACAGCATCACAAGCAGGACATACAGCCATAGTGGAGTGGCAGCACAGACACACTCGGCAGCCCCGTCAACCCAGATCTTTCCCCCAGACGATGGCTGCATGGATGTCGGTGCAGTTTGGAAAGGACGAAGAGCTGATGGCTGCAGTTGACACAGCAGATATAGACAAAAAAATCAAACAAAACGATCTATCAATCACTAAAAGGGAGAAGATCGCAGGGGAGCTAAAGTTGCGAACGCTCGCAGGCATCGTGACGATACCGCTAGTGATTGGAATCGGCCAACGGTGCGTAGGGACTTCAGCATGTGCACCAGCTCAAGATTGCAGCGTCTCTCTATCAGACTTAGCTCGATACTTCCAGTAAAGTTGACTGACCCTACCTTGTGGTTTCTCGGAATGCGTGTTGCTACTGTTAAAGGCTTGGATGTTAGCACTTCAGATGCTCACCATCTTCGAGACGATGCCATCACGCAGAACCTCATCTTCAGGCCAGTCAGAACGAAAAGCAAACTTGAACCAGTATTTACACGTGATATCTCATCTTCCCTGAATCTCTTCACTTTGTCCTGACCTGCTTCAACTTTCCAGGAACGTGTGTGAAGTTGTTGGCATACGCCTTGGGGACGAACTTGCGAACGTTGGGCTCCTGGACGAAGTACTCGTAGCCCTGCTTGTTAGCAAAGTTGATGGCATCCTCCTTCGACTGGAACTGCAGGCGGTGGCCGTTCATGAAATCAGCGGACGACGCCCATCCCATGAGGGGGTTCTCCCAGCGGTGGCCCTTGGCGAGGACGTCCCAGTCCATAAGCCAGTGCTCCGATGTCCAGTTTCCGGACTGTGTGGCGGTCTTTGCGGGCTTGTAGATGCTGCAAGACAGGTCAGTATGACGGGTGCTTTGCAGCTACACATCGACTACCATACCGAACTTGGCGGGCCTGGAGGTCGACGGGTGCGCCAGACAGCACAGCCGCAGCCACGCTCTCACCAGGCTCACTGCCGTCCATGACGCGCTTGGGGATGGGGGAGAAGTTGCTGCAAGCTTCATTAGCCAGCCGTTGATTGGTTGCGCTCCAGAGCGACGCACGAGGTCCTGTAGTCGACAGCAACGTTGTAATCCGGCGCATGCCTCAAGCCCTCGACGGCGCTCTCCTTCCTGATCTGGGTGGAATCGCTCTTGAGGGGGACAGCGGGCGCATCCTCGGGGGTCGTCTTGTGGTGGTGGGGAGTGTCCTCGTTGGTCGAGTATGTGCGGTATGCGGGGGCAAGAGCGCGTGTCGCAGAGGGTCGCAGGGCGGGCGCGAGCAGGCGGGAGCCAATTGACCGGGAGACGGCGGACATGGTTGCGGCGGTGTGCTGTGAGGGTTGTCGACGTCGTGCGTGATGTCGATATGTCGATGTTGGAGCTCCTGGAAGCGCAATGCGCCTTGCCAAGCGGAAGATGCCGGCCGCAAGAAACTCGTAGCTGTGAGGACTTGACGACCGCACCCACCCACGACCACCCCATCTCGCCCCATCGTCCTGCCAGCCCAAGTACGCTCCCTGCAGCGAAGCTGCCCGCCGACACAGTGCAATTGATGCTAATGGAGCCCCAGCCGTCACGATGAGCTTCATCCAGCGCCGCGCCCTCTCCACCCTGATCCCTCCCAAGGTACGCCTCCGCACCCACCGCCCGTACCGCCAGCAGTACTGACACGGCCGTCCAGATCGCATCTCCCAGTGTAAGAGCCTCTCCAGCACAGCCTCCGGCGACTCCGATGCCCGCCCACCGTCTCCGCGCGACTCTCACCGAACCGTAATCGGCCCTCAACGCCAGCACCACGCTCCTGTACCAACGTCGCCGACACTCGAGCACCGCCTGCACACACGGCGCATTCAATCGCAGAGCACTGGGCTAACACATGTCAAGGCTATCGGCGCATCTCCTAATGCCGTCCGCATGCAGAAGGTCGTGAATTTCTACGAGAAGCTCCCCCGTGGCGCCGCTCCTGAGGTTCAGGCCAAGGGCCTTCTCGGTCGCTACCAGAAGAAGTACATGGGCAAGAATGCTTCCGGCAAGCGTACGTCAAACCCCGGGCATCAAGTAGTGTTTCTGATGCAGAAATGCTGCTCTGCAACCACCAACATATCCCTGCAGTCTTGCTGACCAAATGCACAGCGCTCGTCCACATCATCGCCGCCCTCATTGCCCTCGGATACGCACAGAACTACTACTTCCACTTGCGTATGTCCTCGCAATATCAGTATCTGGAACGGTTGACTGACTGCCACAGGCCACCACAAGAACAACGTCCACCACTAAGCGCAGCCCCAATGATTCGATCTGAGCGTTACGGTTGGGACGTGTAAATATAGATGTAGTCGATCAATCAAGATCTAGCCAGTGCAGCTTGCAATCTTTCCTACCCTGACTTCACCGAACAAGCCGGCAGAACGATAGATTGAACACCTCAAACCGTTATATAAGACTAGACCAGGCGCAGAAAAGGCCTGCGACTAGTATCTGGTGTGGCAGCTGCAAGCTACGAACATGTAGACTGCTTCACCACAGCATACTCTGAGTCGACCACGACTGATTGGATCGATCGCAGATGCGATCGAGTCAGTGATGTGTAGCAGAGCTTCTCTCCATCCAATCTGTTCAGTCTGAACACTCATGGCTGTATGCGGACTGAGCGCTGTGACAGGTGGGTTCCGCTCGGCCCTTTGCCGGCTCTCGTGTGCAGTGAGGCTGCTCTTCTCGCAGCTGCTCTGCGCCATACCGGTTTTTGCAGTTTCGCCGCGTCTGTTTGCTTTCACCTGCTGCGTCTCTCGTCGGCAGTGCCTGAGTCATCAGTGAAACTGCGCGACGTGCCCGAAAGCGCACCTTCGATACGGAGAGCTGCGCCAACGCCAAGGCCTGCCGCACCTGCACGATTGACTCGCGGCAGCCACCCAGCTCCTTGAATCGCACCACCTCCGCGACCCGCCCAAACACCGCAAGGGCTTCTCTCCCCCTCTATCGCATACCCGGACGAAGCCACAGGGCCGTTCGGCGACATCACGCGACAGAGCCTCTCCCACCGCCAGCAGCTCGAGCGACCGCATCGCACACGTCCGCTTCCGCCGCGACAGCCAGAAACAACTAGCAGACCACGTTTCTGCGGAAGCGCCAACTCGAACTTCGTGGCGACTTGCAGCATCTGACAATAGGTGAATACATTTCAGCTTTCTCTCACTCCCCGCGCGTCACATGGAGGATGAGCGCGGAACCGGACACGACGCACCACCGTCGGCGTCCTCAGCTTCAACTCCCGTCCCGCATGCAGAACACGGCTCTAACAGCGACTCTTCGCCTGCGACAGTTCCGGAAACTGTTATGGCAGAGCAGGTCACCAACCATGTGGTAAAGGAAGCACAGTCGGTGGGACCCTCCGCGCCCATCGACGACACTGCGTCGACTACCAACTCCCTCGCCGTCAACGGCGAGCAGCCCTCGGGCACAGCGACTACGGTCAGCACATCTCTCGAAGCTCCCTCTACTCCTGCGAATGCGACAACGACGGACTCCGCCTCGGCTGCAGGTGCACAAGCTTCGGCGAGCAGCGATGGACCGGCAACAACAGTAAGTGCGGAGGACCGAGTGAGTGGGTTTTCACTAAGCGTGCTAGGCCGCCTTCGATGTGAAGCAGTCGAGTGAAACGCAGCAGAACGGCGACTCTGGCGAGCAGTCTGGCGCAGAGTCGTTGCAAGTCAACGGCGAAGCAGTCAGCGGCTCAGATACAGACATCAGCCGCCCGGGCTCCGTGGATCCTTCTAAGCAAGACGCCGGACATGTTCGCACAAGCTCGATGAAGAAGCCAGCAGCTTTCAAGTCGGTCTCTGTGACGAAGAGTTTTCTCGCCAAATCGGCCGCCTCGACCCCGTCTGCCGCTCCAGGCCTGAAAGCGGCCCCCGCCGTGCAGCCGCCCACGTCGTCCGTGCTGACTGCAAAACCGCGACTCGTAGCCAAATCTGGTGCCGCGAATGCGCCTCGGACCTTGGGAAAGATGAACGGTGCTGGATCAGGGCCGGATGCAAGCAAAGTATGGAACAAGAACCAGCCAGTACCCCCGCCACCACCGAAGCAGTACACGGACGAGGAGCTTAAGCAGCACTATGGTATTCATCTTGCGACACGTCTGCCTATGGACGAAGCCGGGAAAGAGGCAAAGTGGGCTGACATCGACGACGACGATGGCGACTGGGCACCAGATACTCTGGAATGGGCAGACGGAACGAAATCGTCGGTACCAGTGGTGGAGAACCAACCACCACCGGTTGAGGAACCGCCGAGACCAACCATTCTTGCGAAGCCTGAACCTACGATCGAAGCACCAAAGCCTGCAGCGCCTGCAGCCACGAGCGCGCCGCCAAAGGCAAGCGTAACAGGCGGGCCGAAGACGATCCTGAAGCCCGGAGGACACGTCCAGGCTGGCGCTGGTAAGTCGAGCTTGGTGCTGAAAGGCCAACCTGAGAAACCCACGCTTGTGGCCAAGCCATCCAACGGCACACCTGCCAAGTCGCCTTGGGCCACTTTGCCTCCCGTTGAAAAGGTGTCTCCGCTGCAGATCAACCCGCCGGTACAGCAGCAGCCCACCGATCGTCGTTTCCCTACACAGGACTACCGCGCTTATGAGTCTATGCCCCCACACCACGGCAGGGAAATTGCGCCAGACGACTTCAACCGTACTTGGCGCGAAGAGCGAGGCGGACGTGAGCTTTTCAACTCGCAGAACGGTCGTTACGAGCCTGTTCAAGATACACGGCGCGGCTCCTTCCGAGACTCTGGCTATAGGCAGCAGCAGCAACATCCATCGTTGTTGCAGAGACCGTCACATGATGGCCCCGCGGAGCCGTCTTCTGCTTTCCAGACTTCTCGATCCAGTGCGGATATGCCCTCTTGGGGTAGGCGACGAACCTCTTCGAATGTCAGTGGAGGACCCGGACGGAGGATGTCGTTCGATCGACGCGGACCAGAGTTCCCCAGCGCCATTGTGGACGAAGAGCAAAAAGCTTCGCCTTCGACCAATGGAGCACACATTGCGCCACCCCACGAAGTTTCGGCGCATCCGGCAGCACTTCAGAACTCGGCACCTTCGAACGTAGACGCAGCGCCCCCTACCGCAGCTCCAGCTCCTCCGATGGAAGATCCAGTAGAGGTACAGAAACGTATGATGGCTGAGAAGATCGAGCGAGCTCGTCTAAAGAAGCAGCAGGAATTGGAGACCGAGAAGAAAGAGGAAGAGGAGAAGAAGGCTCGCATTGCAAAACGTCTTGCAGCACTTGGTGACGCGCCAAAGGCAAAGTCCAGCGAGAAGGTACCATCACCTGCGGTTGGACGCTCGCCGCAGAAGTCAGATGCGGATCTTGCACCTGTGCAATCACCACCGAAGCCTCCTGTCCCAGTAAACGATGGCGAGGTTGCTCAGTACGGCATGATGAAAGTCCACCAGCCCCACCCTGTGAAGAAGCCTTCACCGGTGTCACACCCAGTGCGACCTGTCGAACGCCATGCAAACGCACCTGCGGAAAACCAAGTGAGGCTACCGCTCTCATTGGACCAGCCTACTGTGTCGCCGTTTGATTCGAACCGTGACCATGTAAAGAAGGCACATGAGCACTCGCGACCACTAGCTGAAGCCTCGATCCCGCAAGGTTCAAAGCCGACGCAACCTGCCTGGCAATCGGGATCCGCCTCTCAAATTAGAGGGGGCTGGACATCGCAAGTTTGGGGCTCTGCGCAGACAAGAGACCGCAATCTTGGAAACGGTACTTTCGACTCAGGTTTCAATCGTGGACAGCCTCGGTCTGGTCCCCAGCAGTCTTTGCCAACGCAGGCGTCTTCTGCCGCCATTGCACCCATCGGCGTTGATCCTGCTGCGTCAGCTACTTCGCATACGGTCAGGATGCCGCTCTCAGCGCAGCCAATGCAACCTCAATCAAGGCAATTGTCAGGTCAAGGAGCTCCAGGCCCAATCGCGCCCCCCACAGGCAACAAGTGGGCTAACTTTGAGAAACACATTGGAGATGATGACCAGAGTGTGATTGTGAGAGCACGTCAAGAGCGCGATCGCATGAGCGGCGAGACCTTCCGCCCTGAGCTTCGAGAGACATACAAAGATCAGCGGGGCCAGGCGCAGACGATGATCCACAGCAAGGTTAGAAATCCTAGCTTGGACAGCGCTGCTAACGCTAGAGTACCACCTGCTGGCTCTGATTTGAAGCTGCGAGACGATGTAATGAAGCCCTCTCTCGACAGCTCCCCGCAACAGGTCCCCATCCAAGGCACACCTTTGCAGCAATCAGCCGGCTCGCGCTCCTCACGCTTCTTCCCTCGTCCGATTGAGACGACTCTCCCGGCACCGCCCGCGTCGAGCAAGGCAGACTCTCCTCCACCTCCGCCAGAGACAGAGAGCCACCCCGTCTTTACTGGCAGTGCTGTTCGCCATCCACTAGTCAGACTCCCTAGGCCCTCGCCTGTGGTTCGTCTGCCGAAGCCAGCTCAAGAGGCGACAGACCCTCACGTCAGCATGCCTCCACGTGGGTTTCAAGGACCCGGCGCCCGCCCTCTGGCTATGAACCCTGAGTGGCAGGCACGATTCAACAAGCTTCTCGACAAGCCTGCTACCGCTGAAGCTGCGCCAAACGCTCGACCAATTCCTGCCATCCCAGTCGTATTACCCGTCAAGGCAAGCTCGCTTGCTGTCGCAGCCTCTAGTAAAGCATCTCTTGACGTCCGTGGCCCTGCAGGGTCTGCGACTGTCTCACTACCCACTGCTACGGTTGGCAAGAACCCAAGCTCTGATCGCAGTCGCGGTACCTTCACACGTGATGGTACTGCCGCACTGTTTGAGGATAGGGAGTTCGGATCTCTGCCTACCGTGCGACTGCCCAAGGTACCCCACCTCACCGCAAACGAGCCTCCTATCAATCTCCCCAAGACTGATGACGTTTACGCTCGCCTTATTCGAAAGGAACACCCGTTCACGACTAAGAGGCTGGATGCGTTCGATTTCGGATCAGGCCCTGAGATTGAGGTCATCGTTCGCCTGGCCCACATGAGGTCTCCCATCACCAAGACGATGCCAAAGCCACGTCGGTTCAAGGGTAACGGAACCTCCAACAAGCCAAAGCGCAACATCACAACTACTGGCCCTCAGAACGGTGGCGCAAAGGATCGCCCTCGCAAGTCATCTCGGCAAGGACAAGGTGAGCGCACCAACAGCTCGCCTAGAGTCAACTTGCCCAGCGTCTGGCCCGCTCAACCTCGCCCTGCTGTCCCTCCCAAACGCGATTCCTGGGCTCAGCGTGCTGCAGCGGCTCCGGTCCACTAGGGCTGAATCAGCACCTATCGACTATCGAGTCTCAAGCACCGCCTTCGGGTAATTACGCGCCTCGTATGTCTCAACACCGATTTGTTGAATTAGAAATGTTGCAGCAGAAACACCAGTCGCTATCGAGCTTTCGATACACAGCCTGCCCAACTGCGCAGGTCTGTTACATCATGAAATTACGGCGTGTACCCGGTTGTTTTGGAATTCATTGCTCTCCAGACGGCGCGTCATGTTTACTTCTTCACAGCAGTACATACTGCGGCTCTTGGACCACAACGCTTTGGTGGACCCCAATGTCGCTTCTCTGCGACCCTTCTTTCTGCTTTCATCAACTCATGAACTCGCCTATTCTGGCCACGGCGCAGGACGCGGATGTCATGATTGACGAAAGCTCTATGCGAAATGCGATGGAATGCGATTAGACACTTGTGCTGCGAATAATACCGATACAAACACTTCATTTGCGAGTTTACCGACTTTGTGATGCCATGTGCTTCGTTCCCTCCTCTCATCCTGCTGTTACGTCAGGCTGTCCCTTCCCATCGACTAGAGTGGAAGCCGCACCCTTTACTCCCTTACGTGATCAATTGCAGTTGCCTTGTCGCAAGGAAAGAATTCGACGCTGTTCAAGCCCCAACTCAGGATGACAAATATTTCACGCCTTACCAACCAACCGGGAGAGTCTTTAGCCTATGATGTAATCGACCTTTAGAGCATCCCAGCAGCACAACAGATCAAAGCTCCAGTGAGCAAATAAGATATAAGCCATTGTATTCTCCGACCCAAAATAACCCAACAGATGCAATCCACACGCTCCAACATTACCACTCCCTTCGCAAACATGACATCGCAGCCCTCCATCGTCTTCCCCAGCGAATATTCGCCAGGCACCACAGACAACTTCGTCTCGAACGAAATCATCGCCAAATCCATCTCCGCCCAGCAGATATGGGCCCAGCTCGTCGACATCTCACAGTGGACCTCGTACTACAAGAACTGCGCCAACATGACCGTCCCCGACGAGGGCCCGCATCTCGAAAAGGGCCGCGTGTTCAAGTTCTCGACATTCGGATTTCCGCCGCTCACGTGCACGGTGCGCGAGAGCGTTGCGCCTCGGGGGAACCGCGTGGAGGGCAGGTTGGCGTGGGAGAGCAGGACGTCTGAGGGCTTGGCGATTTACCATGCGTGGCTGGTGCAGGACCTCAAGGGGGATAGAGTGCGCATCCTGACGCAGGAAAGCCAGATTGGGCCGGTGAGTTGATCGCGTCTTCTTTTTTCGGGTAAGAACGCGGCTAATGCTCGATGCAGGTGTTCAGTGAGTGGAGCGAGCAGAAGCCGAATAAGATGCTGCTCGGTCATCAGGATTGGCTGGATGGGCTGGTGAGTAAGGTCCGTGGTGAGAGCATTGGGGAGACGAATTTGGAGAAATTTGGGTTCCCTATTCGACAGCTGGATGAGGAAGACGTCAGGAAGGCGGATGTAAAGCTTGGTGTCTAGTTGGGATCTGCCGAGACAGGTACTGGTTGAGTGGCTGATTGGGAAAACTATTATACAAATAGGTGGCTACTTTCAGGCACGCAGTTGGTGAGCTTAATAGTGCTGCATGAAACCTGCTCCGTTCTCCGAGCTCATCTCTACCCCCGAGTCACCGTATTGCACGTCTATTGAGCGAGGTGCGACCGGCACACAGCCGTCTTCGGCCCAGTAGCTGTGTGGCGGGTAGTACTCACACGCAAATAGCTGCCCTGGAACATGATGCTCGCAGTTGTTCCCATATGTAAGCCCTTCTGTCGGTAAAGGCAGCAGATGGTGTAGCTCTGGCTCCAGATGCTCCAGATGGGGCTGCTGGACGTTCCATCCACTCGGAATCATGCAGCCATGCTGAAAGCGCATTGATGGGGGAGGCATGTGGGTGCAGTGACAGCTTTGATCATGGTGATGAAGGTAGGTAATGTCGAAGCCGAAAGAAAGATCTTCGGACGACGGAAGGCGCAAATGCTCGGGGAAGAGTAGACTGTGTTCCTGCATATACGGTTGCTGCATGAACTGAGGCGACAGAACCCAGTCGATGGGATGCTGGATTGCAGATTCGACGTGTGTCCTCGAGAATGTGGCCATGTCATTCTCACTTTGAGGCACCAATATCGAATCAATACCAGCACCTAGCTGCTGGGAAGGTTGCTGAACTTCTCCCTGGTATTGTGAGGACTGTGAAGGTACGGCGGTAGTCGACAGTGCTTTCGAGGCTTGGGTGTCTTGTGCGTATTTGTTGGTGCCTGGTGGAAGTTTCATAGCGGAAGACGTGCTCATGAGGTCTGCAAAGTCGAAGAGAAAGTCGAGAGCATTCATGATAGATCTTGAATGTGATGCTGTTCGTGTTGAACAGATTTGATTGTGTTGTTGGAAAGTTTGGGTGAAAGGAAAGTGTGCTTCACATGGACTTGATCGCATAGTCACGGTGAAGCTATCACCAAGGTGGCACAGTGCTGTAGCGTACATGACGGGTGTAACAGAACACCTTCCAGCAACTGCCTAGTCAGGTACGTCGCGTACGAGCACTGCCTCATCAGAATCAGATCACTTGCACAAGATTGACTGTACGGCGTACACCGCATACATTAATATTGTTAATCTGGAGTGTACTAATCCATGGCATCCAATCTCTGCAAGAACGCCTCTTCGACCGTGTGTAGATCAGACCCGGTTGAAGTCAAACTCGCCATGAGATAGATGACGTTGCCGAGAATGCGCGAGTGGATCTGGATCTTGCTATGCTCAAAAAGAAGTGCGTCGCGAAGTCCCACGGCTGCAGAAGATGTGTAGCCTTTCGAGTTAGCACATTTTTAGATGATCATCATAGATTGTGCCAACTTACCAGCTCCAGACTGGTCCTTCAGTGATACAGCCAGAACAGATCCGAGAGCGTTGACATGGTCAACGCGTTCGTGACGCGAGAGATTGAACACAAACTCTTTCGACCAGAAGCTCCAGAATTTGATGCGAGCAGTATCGGAGTCGCGCATCGACGGTATTACCTTGCATGGCGTATGTACCCCGTCGGTCTCTTTCATCCCCGGTGGAGATGCTTCTTTGTTGACTTTCCAATCCGACTTGAAAGATTGCCACTTACTTCCGTTATAGTACCCATCCATAGTTTTCAAGCTCACATTAGCAACGTGAGAGCCAATAGGATGGGCAGTGTAACTGTGTCCGTGGAGTAAAGCCTCGGACTTCTCGTCGCCCCAGAAAGCTTGGAAGATCGAGTCACTGGCAGCTGTGATCGATAGGGGCAGCAGACCTCCCGTGAGAAGTTTAGCGTGAACAGAGATATCCGGGTGTACTTCCAGGAAGAATGCAGACGAGAATTGCCCAAGACGGTACAAGCCTGTGAAGACTTCGTCAAACATGACTGGCAAGCCAGACCATGCATACTCGCCCTCGATCGGCGCAGGCGCGACCTCAGATGTCGCGAAGTTGTAACGACGCACAACGCGTGCAAGGCTCTGCTGGAAGAGGGGATCGACGAAGATCATGCCACCAGCCCCAAGAATGACTGGCTCCATGACCAGTACGCCGAATTTCCTGCCTTGTTCCTTGACAAGCTTATTCAACGTCTTCTCGATGTAGGCTTCGTAGTGATGAGATCTACCTCTGGCTTTGAAATCAAAGATATCGTCCTGCTCAGCAAAAAAACGTGTGGGTCCAAACTCCTTGTCCATACCCTCAGGTGGCTCAACGACCCATCGGTCCTCCTTCAATTTGAATGTTGGATAGTCGAACCAGTAGCCGCGTCCTCGGTACCAGTCCACCTTCTCGTTAAAGACACACGGCTCAGATGCGTCCATGGCGCCAATCGTGTCGCCATGGTAGCTGCCTTTTAGTCCAAGCACTCCGATAGCCTCTTTCGAGCCGTCCCAGTCGTAATGTTTACAAGCAGCACGGACGCCCATCTTGATGCCAACTTCGGTCGCTGTGCTCCCGTCATCGGTGTAGAACACCTTAGTTAGGCGAGGATTCTGCAGTCCTCTGAGGACATGCTCGGCAAGCTTTAGCGCTGGTTCGTGGGTCGCTCCTGCAAACATAATATGTCCGTAACGGCCAGCTGCGTACGCCGCTTCAACGGCCAAACGAGGATTACCATGTCCCAGCCCTGCAATTACAGTCAGAGTGTACTCGAGAAGGATATGAGCGTTCGACTACCTTGAGTCCACCAACTCGCAGATCCGTCAAATGCAGGATACAGTATCGGTGAAGTGTCCTCAGTACTCTTGGGATCTGATCTTGCAGTGCGTTTGACTTGGAAGAAGTCACCATGAGCCGAATCGAATACAAGCACATCCTCTGCCTTCTCGACATGTTTGTGCTGTGTGAACGGATGCCAGATCTTCTGTTGCGTCCGTGAAGCCATACTGTCCATGTTCTCAATTCGCGCAGCATGTCGATCTACAATGCGTTGTGCCACCCCCTCTACCTCAGAATGTCGGGAAGTCTCGTTGTAGTATTCCATCATCAACTCTTGCTCCAACTGAGTGGATGTGCCGACAAGGTGGGGGATCCACGGTATGGTATAAACGGGGAGTTCCATGTTGTCCTTTAAGTAAGTCTTCAGATACTCCGCATTCTGATACTTGCCCTTATCATCAAAGCAGACAACGGCATCGATATCGTAGCCTCTCATCTTGAGCGACTCGGCAGCTGAGATTGTAGCAGCTATACCGCCCAGTTTGTGGTCGCCAACAAGCACTACTGGAAGTCGTAGCGATCGGTAGATATCAGCCTGTGGCGTTCCTGAGGGCCCTGGGCTGAGTACTCCTCCAGCAGTCTCCACAATGCCCAAGCCATAATCACCTGACTCTAACTGGAGTGCAAATGCATTTTCGCAGAGCTTCTGACTAAGACGAGCATTGACATAATCATCGTTTGGCTGCCATGATCAGCAAAGTCTCAACGAATAATCCAGTAATTTCTTACGATATCTCTTGCGTGTTGCGCTATTTCTCGAGCTGCGATGTGAGGACTGACAGGATTCTGAAACTGAAATAGTGTATGTACAGCTGAACAACCCGAGTGCCTCCGTACGTAGCTGGCTCTTATTAGTAATGCTAGTGACTTGCTGGAGAAGGGCAAACTGACGCATCATCGCGGTCGCTTTGAGGGCCCGTCGAGACAGGCTTGATGTACTGAACCTGCCATTTTTTACTGTTCACTTGTCCAAATTTGAAACGCTTGCCGAGGAGTGAAGAGAACACTGTCTTTCCAACATCAGTGTTGGCACCATATACCTGCACCGCAATGAACTTTTTCCACAACCCCGCAGGCACCTTCGACATTCTCGCGACAGGAACACCAACCCCAGTGCAATTGATGCGGGACCACAATGTTCGATGGTTAGGTGGAGTGCCTGCGGGACTGGCGGATTTGAGGTGGAACTTTGTCCAGTCAATCTATGGCGAAGAGGGCAAAGCGCGTGGGCTGGGCCAGTTCCTGCATCGACCTGCATACACAACATGCTCAACGAATTTTGGACCGTGGCGGTTACTCGAGGTCTGGAGGGGAGGCATTTGAGTCAACGAGTGTGTCATGGTTTCCCCCCGCCTTCCGTCCGACAATTGCCTGTTTGTCGAGCAGTGATCCTGCCCGCCCTGCGGAGCAACCTACGCTAACTACTGGTACCTAGCGGCCCAGCTCGGCAGGAAACAACACCTAGACTCATCTGGAGCTTTCGACCTCGGTGATGGCAGCAACAAGAAAAGAGATGCACAGCAGATATGGAAAGGGTTCGCTTGATGCAAACATGCAGTATTTGCTTGACCGGCGGCGCAATAACTCAACAATGCGCAACCTGACTCTGCCCAAGTCCGGGCAAACCGATTTTAGCTCCAACGATTTTCTGTCACTATCGACGAACGCTCGCTTGAAGGACGCATATCTTGCGGAACTGCGGAATTCAGACTTGCCACTTGGAAGCGGTGGATCTCGACTATTGGATGGGAATTCGGCTTACGCTGAAGTATTGGAACGCGACATTGCCAGGTTCCATGGGGCAGAGGCAGGATTGCTTTGGAACAGCGGGTTTGATGCCAACGCTGGGTTCTTCTCATGCGTACCGCAGCCTGGCGATGTGATCGTCTTCGACGAACTAGTGCACGCAAGTGTGCATGATGGGATGCGGCTTTCGAGAGCTGCACAGACCGTACCTTTCGTACATAATTCGGTGGCAGATCTTCGAAGGGTGTTGCAAGAAATGGTTGAACTGCCGAGCATGTGTAATGTCTTCATCGCTGTGGAGTCAATCTACAGTATGGACGGCGATGTTGCACCACTGCGAATGATCGTCGATACCGTCACGGAGATCATAGGTGCGGAAAGAGGGCACATCGTTGTTGATGAGGCTCACTCGACTGGCGTGCTGGGATTTGAGGGACGAGGCCTGGTGTGCCAGCTTGGTCTGGAGAAAGAAATCTTTGCTCGGTTGCATACATTCGGCAAAGCACTTGCCGGCAACGGAGGTGTGTTCTTTACTCCATCGTGTATCAACAATCACAAGCTAACGACATGCCAGCTATCCTTCTCGGCTCTCAAACACTTCGCCATTATCTTATTAACTACGCTCGTCCTTTTATCTACACGACGTTCTTGTCGTATCCATCTCTTGCGCTTATACGAACTTCGTACGATTTACTTCGCTCCGGCGGCACAGTGTCACTCCAATCGCATCTCCACCACCTGACAGAGTTCCTATTTAAGGCCATGCGACAATTACATATTACTTCTGCGGCTGCAAGAAGTTTGCTGAGCATACCGAGTGCTTGTCCACAGTCGCCGATCTTCGCGGTACAATTGAGATGGCCGAGAGATCTAGCTATCTATCTCCAGAACAGAGGGATGATGGTCAGGGCGGTGGTATCACCTACAGTACCACAAGGAACAGAGCGAGTGAGGGTTTGCTTACATGCAGGCAACACTGTTAAAGAGGTTGAAAAATTAGTCAGCGCGTTGCAGGAATGGTGTGAGAAGCATCCTGAGGACATCGAGTTAGAAGGTGGGAGCCCAGAGCAAGTAAGAGCTCGGCTTTAACGACATGTATTCTTTTTAGCCTTTGAGGCTTCAACGCTAGATCGTAGAGATTATGCAGATATCGACATTTGCTTGGCCTCCTTAGCTGTCTCAACAACAAGCTTCTCGGCCTTGCGCACCTCGCCAATAGTCTCCTTCATCTCCATTGGGCGTAGACCCCACCGTGCGAACATAGCTTTGTCCTCTTCCCAGCCATTGCAAGCAGTAGTGAGCATCTTCTCGCCAGTGAAGACAGCGTTTGCACCAACCTGGAAGCACATGATCTGCTTCTCCTCGCGCATGGTATGACGGCCAGCTGCAAGACGAATGATAGTCGTCGGCATGACCAGTCGAGCAGTCGCAATGGTACGGAGGATTGCGTCGAACTTGACAGATTCTGTCTCTCCAAGCGGTGTGCCCTTGATGGGAACCAAAGCATTGACAGGGAAAGATTCAGGGTGGGCCGGGAGCGTTGAGACGGTATGGATGAGGCCAACGTGGTCTTTGGCCTTCTCGCCGAGTCCAAGAATACCTCCAGTGCAGACGTGGATACCGGCTTCCTGGACGTTCTGGATGGTCTTGAGGCGCTCGTCGTATGTTCGTGTTGTGATGACGCTGGGGTAGTGCTCTCGACTGGTGTCTACGTTGTGATTGTACGCAGTGAGGCCGGCATCCTTGAGCTCCTTTGCCTGCTCAGCGTCGACCATACCAAGAGTCACGCAAGCCTCCATGCCCATCTCTCTGACACCAGTGATCATGGCCTTTATATTCTTCAAGTTGGTCTTACGACCTCTCATGTCACGCCATGCTGCACCCATACAGAATCTGGAGCTACCGTTCTCTTTGGCAATGCGTGCAGCCTCGAGGACAGAGTCGACCGACGAAAGCTTAGTAGCCTTTAGACCTGTGTCATATCTGCTGGATTGAGCACAGTATGAGCAGTCTTCACTGCAGCCGCCGGTCTTGATGTTCATCAGAGTGCACATCTGAATAGCAGCTGGGTCATGGAAGCGCTGGTGCACTGAAGCCTATCATGGATCAGAATGATGCACTGGTTGACTGTAGTTCAAACATACCGCCGCGTATGTCAGCTTGATCATTGGAGTGTGATAGATTTCTGCGATTTCTTCTCTTGTCCAGTTGTTTCTAGTTCCGGTAGCATTGACAGCATCCTTGAAGACCGACGATTTCCGGGCAGCTGGTGGGGTAGCTTGTTGGGTTTGAGGATCGATTGGAGTGTCCAAGACTGTGCTGAAGGGACGAACAAATTGCTGTCTAAGAGCAGTGCTCAGAATAAGGTCAATTGGCCTCACAAGTATTCTCTGTGCCATCCTGAAGCTCCCAATATGTTTGTGAAAGGTGCTTACGGGACAATCAACAAATGCCCCTCGGTCAACGGGACGGGATGCTGGTGGGTGATGGGTAAGATCCTCGGACCGTGTTCAGCGCGCGTCTGATTGGTGGCTGCTTCTGAGGCCGCGGGCGTGGGGCATTCTAGTACATACCGCGTCTGCGCGTCCGCAACACTAGCCGTATCCAACCAACAACTCACGCAAGCAACGTGCGCAGCGCAGCGACCTTCCATGTGTCGCTTCGAGCTTTTGAGTTTGCTCATCGTCTTTATCCAGCGTCTCACCGTGCGGGGCCGCAGCAAGCAGGCTCCGACAACGGCAGCCCCGCCATTGTCGCCGCTGCCATGCTCCACGAAATCCTCCTCTCGCTCTCCGGACACCCATCCGCGCTCTTCGATGCCCAGCAAGGTTCCACGCACGTGACTTCGACTACGAATCGCTTGTTGTCACCACCAGAAGCGGAACTGTTGACCTCAATTGGTCATCTGTCCCGACTGCACCGGAAGACGCGCGATCATGTTGCAAGAGTTGCCAGCATTCATCCATCTACCGTCTGTCGGGCAGTTGCCACCGCTGTGACTGCGTATCATCTGGATGATTTCCAACGAAAGATTCTGGAAGTTGAGAGCCAGATTTTGAAGCAAGACGCCTCGACCGTTGGCGCTTATAACATTGTGCCGCTGGCCAGCATTGTTGGCGAGTTCTCTGGGTGGGTCAGACTGATGGAGTGGCTATGGGACATCAGTAATTTTATGCAACCGTCAGATGTGCCATTGGAGAGTGAGAAGATCAGCCAAAAGACATCTTCGGGCTCGGAGCTCATCGATAAGCTGCGAACCGAAGCCCAGACAGGGTATCCGGACATCGAAGAAGCAGCCCAGTACTTAGGCAAGGTCGCAGAGACAGCGTGGTTGCGGCAGCTGTCGACATGGCTCCTGTACGGCCGCCTGCCGTCTTTCGGTGCATCAGACTTCTTCATAGCGCAAGAAGACGAGGACTCCAAAGAGCTGTCCTTCACAGCCCGTAACAGGCTTTTACCCAAGTTTGTCTCACGGCAGACGGCACTGTCAATTATGTTCGTGGGCAAGTCACTCAACCAGGTACGGTCTCTGCCGTCCACGTCGAAGACGAAGGCCGCAACAACGCAAATATCCGAACTCGAGCTACTGCCAGTGCATGTGCAACATCTCTCGCAAGTGACTGCGCCCATCTCTTCCGCAAAACTATCAGAGGTTGTCGCCAATATCCGGACGTCACTCTCTCGCAACCTACTTCAGCATCTGCTGCCTCGTGAGAAGATCGTTGAGACTCTCAACGTACTGTACCAGTTCTTCTTACTTGGCCGAGGTGAATTTGCGATGGTTCTAATTGCGGAAGCTGACGATAAATTGTCCTCACGACATCGTGGCTCACAGTCGACAAAGGCCGGACAGTCTATTAAGGGTCTGCTCTTGAAGGAAGCCGAGATCAACCAGACCTTAGCACGCTCACTCTCGGTCTTGTCAACACTGGGTGGAGAAGATGACCATATAGATGACATCCTCGATGCCGCGTCAGACATCTTGCATTTGGATGTGCACAGTGCATCGGGCCATCGTCCTGGTACACCTGGCCGCGCCAAGGACGCTGAGTCGGCGTTGCCTCAGATACCAAGCATGTCATTCGACGAGCTGCTGCTATCGGTACCTGTCTCTCTCAGCATGGACATCCTGTCGCCCCTTGATCTATTCATCACCAAAGCCGATGTGGACGTCTACTCATCCATTAATGATTACCTTCTCGCTGTCAGAAGAGCTCATCTTCATCTGGCGCAGCTATGGAGGCATAGCACAATCCGACGAGATCACCCGTGTCCACCTGGGTACAAGCACAGCAACTCATCCCACGGCAAGGCCATATTGAAGCGGCGGCGTCAGCGTACAAACCAACGGGCTCGAAATATGCGCAACATCTGGGCGACCTGCCGGGCTGCCATATTCTTCCTGGCCGAAAGCGAGGCTTACTTCCAAGGCGAGGTCGTGCAGGAATCATTCAAATTATTCTTGGACTGGGTGCGAGGACCTAGGAAGCATCAAACTAGTGAAACCCGCCCTACGACACCAGACCGACCGCCAACACGGGGAGCTGACGACATTGGGACAGAGAATGAAACGCAACAGCAGCACGATCCAGAGGCGCTCGCATTCGCTCATCGACACTTTCTAGCTTCTATCGCCTACTCCTTGCTCATCACAGACGGTACTTTCACAAAGCTGCTCCGTACGTTCTGCACACATGTGGATGATCTCGTCGGCCACATCACGCGTCTTCAGTCAGTCCAGGAAAGCCTAGATCTCGAGGAAGACGAAGGTGTCGAGGACTTCTCACAGAACTACAGAAAGGAGGAAGCAGATATGAGTCTGGAAATGGATCGCGCAAGAAGAAGGCTTGACAGCGACCTCAAAGGGCTGGTGGAGCGTCTCAGAGAGATCGATAGCGAAAGGATCGGTGCCAGCGGACCACGACCGAAAAACGCTTTAGATGGCGACGAAGGCCGATACGAGCCACTTCGGGTCGGTGGTATCGACCGACTGCTCATGAAGTTGGACTGGGGTGGTGAAGATGCTGAGGAAGAACAAGAAGACCTGCTGTAACTACATCCAACTGCGAATATACCCTGTCGACCTTGAGCGAAGATCAAATGAATAAAAGCTCTTAACAAAGCCTTGGTAGTTGGTCACCGTAACTCAGTTCACGCCTCCTTTAGCCACTCGCCACAGCTGATGTTGCATCGCCCCCTTCTCTGATGGCTTTTAAATCCATACTCTGCTTGTCATGGCGTATTCAGTTCAGTCCCAATGCAAGCAATATGTCCATAGCTGGTGCGATGTTCACAACATTCTCTCTTCGCCACCTCAGCGTATTTGGCTTGGTTATGGCCATGGCCAATTCACTGTTGATCAGCAGACCCAGGTCTCCACTAGATGACTTGCTCTCGACTTCGACCGTAGGAAGGTATGGTCCATATCCAGGCTCTAGCACCAGGACTATCAAAGATTAGAAACAAGGATTGACGATCTGGAGCTGTTCAACTCACCATACCTGGTCCCCAGAAGCCCTGACTTTAAACTCAGATGCCAGAGCTCTTTCCACTCCATCTATGCGGCTGCTTGGCTATTCTCATTGCTTCTTGGCCGTTCGGCAGACGAAAGATGATTGTTTCCTTCTCTTCTTCATCGATGGGCATGAGCGGTGCGCCTGGAGCACCCGCAGGAGAGGCAACCGAGATTTGGTAACGTGCCTTCGTCGACGAACTACTATCAGCCTTGACGAAGAAGATCTCTGGCCGTTGGGTAGTGAAACCGGGGAAAAGGGCTAGGCCGGGCTGAGGAAGCGCTGCGAGCATGGTGGTCGATGCTGTGGGTATGGAGGAATTCAGTGCTGCGAGTGAAGTATCCGACACATTCACTCAAAGCTACTACGCCGACGATGATGTTGTATATTAGCGCAATCTCTCCTGACTTATCAAACACTCAGGGTAAACCTCTCTTGTCATTCTACCTGACTCTGCCGGTGATTGTATTACAAAGCAGCACAGCTAACCTGAACGGTTGGTCCGATCAAGCATCAGCACCGCTATATGCTGACAAGGCCGAGCGGCCTCCCGATTTAGTGCCTTTTTTGGGCAATATCAAGGGCCAAGGTAAGATTGCAAAGCCACTGCGATCTGATTCGTCGAGACAGCGGGCAGTGACGGCAACCCCGTCTCCGGTCAATGGCAACCCTGCCACCAACCTCCTCAAAATGTCCAAGAGCAAAGTCGTGGTGACACGGAACTTGGTGGCGGATGCGAAATATCTGCTTGACGCACGAGTTGATCGACTTGATATTGTGCAGTGGCAATCTGACATGGTAGACAATGCACCCTCACACGCACGGGAGGGCGCGAGTGCTAACCTTCCGCTTGAAGCCTTGTTAGCGATCATGGCTCCTCGAGAATGTAGCAGGAGCAGCCGGACTTCTCGTGATGGTTTCTGGTACAATTAATGAAGAGCTACTCGAAGCAGCTGGCGCCCAACTCAAGGCAGTGGCAACGTTCACTGCTGCACAGATCACGGACTGCCTTTCCGATGCAGTAGCAGATCTCGCAGTCATGCTTGCTCTGATGGCACAGCGAAGAGTAGGCAAATCAATGGTCAGTGAGCAAAGGTGAATGGCCACAAATGCCATGGCATCCTTTGCTCATGACAGGCCCTCAGATCCGTGGAGCTACAATGGGATTTCTAGACTTTGGTCGGATCCCGCAGGCTGTATTGAAGAGACTGATTGCCTTCGGCATCAAGAGAGCGATCTACGTCACTTCGCAGCCGGGAAAGCCCGTGCGAGAAGACTATTACGATCTCTGTGGGAGCGGCACGCCGGTTGATGTTGCATGCGATCTAGATCAAATGGCAAACGAGAGCGGTCTCGTCATCGTAGGATGTGCCTTGACACCAGAAACGAAGCATGTCATCAGTACGCACTTTTTCAGCAAGATGAAGACGACGGCGGTCATTGTCAACATTGCACGGGGTCCAATCATCGACACAAACGCGTTAGTGGAAGCGCTTAATCAGCACCCAATCTTTGGCGCAGGACTTGATGTGATCAAAGACGAGCCGAGTGTTGCAGCTGATCATCCCATCCTCAAGCAGCCGCGTTGCGTGGTGCTGCCACGCATCGGCTCTGCAACATTTCAAGCACGAGAGCAGATGGCGATTCAATCGGTGCAAAACCTTCTCGCTGGATTGACAGGAGAAGACATGGTCAACGAATGGAACATGTAGGCTATATATGAGTTCTCCACCAATCAGTCCTGTGGCAGAAGATCAGTCCGTCCTCTGAACTGGCACTGGGCGAGCCTCTCTTCGGTGATGAGGAAACTTCTCGGAAACCAATCCAAATCCCTCATATCTACCGGTCCATCGTTGACCCGTCCTGGCCCATCATTCTCGATCATCTTCACAAGTGCTTCTGCCGACTTCAAGCACAACACCATGCCATGTCCGTTGAAGCCTGCAGATATCCACAGATTCCTTAGGGGTACTTCCCGTTCGATGCCGTTCCTCTCGGGAAGACACTTAGAGTCCATATTTCCTGGTACTTTGCCCACGAACGGTCTTCCGTCGGCTGTTACGCCCATAATGCCGGTCCATTCTTGGACAATCTGGTCTGGAGCTTCCTCGCCACTGGTCTCACCCCAGTTTTTGGCGCCGAAGAACCCAACAAGACTGCATTGGAGATACTTTGATATCTCAGGATTGAGCGAGCCGTCGTCGACAGTGCCAAACTCACTTGCCCCAGCCTGAGGCAGACGGCCGAGGCCGCCACCGATGACGATATCCTGGCCTCCGTCTGGAAGTGGTCGGGGAATCATGTATTCGTACCCATTCTTGTAGATGAAGGAGAAGGTTGTTGGCAGTGGCGTCGGTAATGCTGTTTTCGTTCCAGGTTTCTGCGCTATGATCTGACCGCGCATCGGTACGATCTTTCCTTGGAGCGATTTCTCGAGCAGAGGCGTGTATCCATTCGTAGCAAGAATCACACTGAGCGCCAAAAAGGCGCCACAACCCTCGGAGGTGACCACATCCCACATGAAGTTAGACGCATCCATTCCAGGCTTGATTTCGAGCACCGGTGTGTTCGTGCATATTCGCAGGCCCATGTTGACACACTCAGTCAGTACGCCTGTGGTGAATCGGTACGCGTTTAACCTTCCTGCAGTATACTCGAATGAGCCAGCTACTGTCTCATCATCTTCAATGACGGGATTCTCGTTCTTAGCACTAATTCGGAAGTGCTTGCTAATAGTCTCAACGTTCTCCCGGATGTTGTACCAGGCCATCTTGCCTTCGGCCTTCTCCTCATCTTTTGCATCCGCGCGTAAGGCATGGACGGCTATCTTTCCAAGCTCAAAAGTAGACTTGTCGTAGACGATATCCACAGTTTTACACAACTCGTTCTCACAATCGATCTTCAGCTCTTCCGCCAGGCGGTGTGTCTCGATAATGGTGTCGTATTCCAACCTCGCGACCTTCAGCGCTTCCTCTTTCCCTGACTCTTCGGTGTGCTGAAGATACGACCGGTAGCTTGCCGCTTTTGTGTGACCTCCGTTGCGACCTGTTGCTCCGCTGCATATCTCGCGCGCCTCGAGCATCATTATGCGGCGCTTAGGAAATTTTTTGAGCAAATTGTAAGCAATCATGGTCCCAGAAATACCTGAACCAATGATAATATAATCATACGGCAAATTAGAACCATCTTGGCCATGGTTGGTGTTTGCGAGGGGTGACTTGGGATTGTGCCAGTACGATGGTGATGGATCGGCAACTGGTAAGCTGACAGATATACGTGCGCTATCTTCCATGGTGAGCTGTAGATGATCTTGAAAATTATGATGGTGTTGTAGTAACGGCAAGAGATCTCGATATGTATCTGCCCTGATAGCTAAGGTGGGGAAGGTGGTAATCCTGCCTATACCTTCCTATTGCAGCCTTAGTGCGTATGGGAGGCACGATGCTCAAAGATACAACATGAGTGTCACCTCTTTACTATAATTGTGTGTTATCTAGATTCAACCTAAACCTTTGACAAAATTGAGTAGATGTGGCCGACGATTCTGCTTAGAAGTACGATCCCTCCACAAGGAAGCCTAGTGTCAGACGGATGTGCTGGTGCAAGTGGTCGAAATCCATCGTCGAAAGCGCATCGTTGGTGGTGTGGAGGTAAGGCGTCGCATCTACCATGTTCTCATCACAAACGTACGCTGCCGGGTAGCCAGCATCATAGGCGGCACCGCTATCGTGGTCGTCAGCAAATGTGTCTGTGACTGATGATGACCACGAGAGACTTACTGGTCGCTGCAGGCATATCCACACTTGTCCGTAATCACTGGTAGAGCAGTGTATATGGGTACCAGCTTGATGATGAAGTTACTAAGCGGTGTGCTCACGTAATCGGTATAGACCGCGATGTTGTGGTTCGGAGAATACGCGGTCATGTCCTGGTTCATGACAGCGAGGACCGCGACACCACGAGTGACGTAGTCCTGCATGATGGCACGGGCACCCAACAAGCCACCCTCCTCTCCGGAGTAGAAGTGGAACTCGAGGGTGTTCTTTGGGGCGTACTTGGCAGCGGCTAGAACACGGAGGGACTCCAGGATGGTAACGACAGCCTTTCGACATTAGAGTTAGACGTGAGCGCTCACGAACAGACTTACAGAAGCGTTATCATCAGCGCCCGGAGCACGACCTGTGGTAGGATTGGCTTGGTTGATCGAGTCGAAGTGACCAGATACAACAACGACGTTGGAGCTGGTACCAGGAATCGTAGCGATGACCGAAGGTTGATTATAGCTGTGGGTGAATTGTTTAACGGTAATCTTAGTGTTGGTTGCAGCAACAGTCTTGACAAGGTCAAAGACCGTAGAGGCAGATGACGCTGCATAAGACCCCTTGTAGTATCGGTTGTGGATATTGGTCAATGTTGTAGCCCATGTCTTGGGATTTGTCTCACTTATTTGAGCGATTAAGGGATTGGCCTCGACCTGGTGAGATGCTGCTGAAGGGAATGATGCAGATTGGCGTTTGTCGACTTTGAACCCATTCGCAACAGCGACGCGGTGGGCCTCAAGCTCCTGTATTGCTATCAGACATAAAGCAGCAGAATTCGATAGCCCATTACCAACCTGGGTCTCTGTAATGTCCATGAAGTGGGCACATGATGGTGTAGAGATGAACAGATCGAGCTTCTCCTGCTCGGTATACCAGGTGCCGTTGTCAGCATCGGACGTTTTGATCAGTCGAAGTTCTTCTCCAGCTGCATTCAGCTTCGGTGTGAAAGCCGTAGCTGAGGTAATTACACCAACAGCCACGCTGGCGAGGAACGTTTTGCAAACCATGATGCACTTGAAAATTTGTTGATGACAGAACGGCCTCTCCTTGTTAGTGAAGCTTTGTCTTTTGACAGGGACGCTTCGTTTATAGCCAAAGCACTATCGGTGACACCCACATACTGGGTCTTGAGAGCTCTGGCTTTCTTTCCTCGTACAGCAGGCGCCTTCTGAGACGGGCAACAACCGTCTCGTCGTCCAGGGATTGAGATGGCATGTTTGGCTGAGCTTTTTCAATCCCGACTAAGATCATGCAAGCACTGCCGGGCGGCAGTCACCAACGAATGATAAGCAGCAATATCAGCTTTTGCGTTGAATTGTAAAAAGACCTTGTCCGGAGTCACTCATGCTAAGACTCTGCGATAAGATTTGTGTCTTGGCTCCTGCCCCTTTTGATCCTACTTCCGTCCACACCGACGGTCTGAATATCATGTCGATGAGGCATTAGACTGGACAGTAGGATTGAGAGAATATAATGTAATATTTGGCTGGGGTGGGCGCCTCTGTGTCGTGCCTGGGCCGCTGCGACGCTTGTGATGTCATCTCTCTCAAAGATCGCTCTCTACCCTGCAAGTCGTAAGTCTGCACATGGGATTTCTGCTGCGGTGCCATTCGCCGGAAGACTTCGATTCTTATTCAACGTTACTCGAGTCACGAACGACACAGCTCAATCGCGACATGTTGCGGTGGACTTCGCCGATCCGATACCGGTACTCTTACTGCGAACATCATTTACTATCTTTTATATGTATGATATTAGCGTTATAAGTACATTGTTCTTGCTTACTACAGCCCTATGGCAACGCTAATGCAACATAGGAGAATAAGCCTCAATTTGCCGTTTCTCACCTCATAAGGTTAGGCTAGAGCTGAGATGAAAGTGAACGCTACCCGTGTCCGTGCACCCAACGATCGGAGTCAACCAACGATCGTTCCGAGCCTGTACGGCCATCACAAAATTGAGGCTGTAGAGCCACCTACAATAGTTATTATCGTGAGATATTTTGATGGAGCATTCTATAGACCTATGCGACAAAGTTCCTAATACAAAGTCACTGGTATTTCGTGGCAGTGCGGCCACTCCGGGTGATAATAGTTGGGCGTGGCAGAGGAGGTGTCGCAGGCTTAGAATGACTACGAGCACCTACAGCACGACGCAGAGGCTTCTGTTTAACTGCAGAAGCTTTTGAGGATGTGCAATTGCCTCTTTGAGATGATTTGAGAGCTTTTTCAGCGTCGCGAGCTTCCTTATCCTTGCGTCTCTGCTCTTTGCGAGCATTAATAGCTGCTCGCTCCTTTGCCTTGGCCTGGTCTCTTGCTTTTTTCTTCTCTGCCCGCTGCTCACGCTTTTCTCTTGCTATCTTCTCATTGTAGATTTTATTAGCAGCAGCTTGCTCCTTTGTCTCTGCCTTTTTTTGCTCCTCCTCTTGCCTCTCGTGGTCTGCAACAGCCATGCGAGCGCGCGCCTCCCGGAAGGACCGAGGAGACCACATTATTGCACCTCCATGATACTCTTGGTGTTGTTGCAGGTCTAGTTGCCTGTTAGGTTGCTTCTTATGCTTCCTGTTTTGGTATAGCTTCTTGCGCAGGCCATCTACTTCAACTTGAAGTAACTCTACTTGAGATGATAGATGGTGGATAGTTTGACCCAGCTTCCGCGCGCCTACACTGCGCGAATCCCTCACCTCTGCCTGAAGTGTGGTACAAGCCTTGAGCCAATTCTCTGCAGAATAAGCTGTAGAACTAGAGGAGACTGATCCT